ACTTGAAGCTAGGCTTCATCCCCTATCCTTCCAGATATTTTTGAAAAATCCGGTTTGGCTGGGATCCGTGCGTCAGCTCATTGATCTGCTTGATGATGTCATGCAGCTCCTTCTCCTGATCCGTCGTCATCACCACATCGATGCCCATGCCTTTGAGCAAAGCATTGGGCGGGCTCAGGGTATCCACAGACGTGGTCGATTCAGCTCTAGCCAAGGAAGCATTGGCACCCTTTCTCTCAAGCTTTGACCCCGTGGGTGGATCAACATGGTTTTCATTCTCATAGCAGTCGGAATCATGGTTGACTTCACCTTCGAGGTTCAAAGGGGCTGGCTCTGTGGGAGAGTCAGCAAAGGCCCATTCTGAGCGAAGCTTTTCGATGATGGAAAAGAGTTCTCGCACCTTCTTGTCCTGCAAGTGGTTTTGAAGGTGCATATATATATATATATATAAACATATGTTATCATGTTATATAAAGACTCTTTCGTCCCTGAACTGCAGATTTAAAAAGATAAACCGTTTTCATTATATTTTTGAGAACCCTGGTCCCGGGGCTTCTGCCCGCGTCTGACACTGTCCCGCTGCCTCTTGAATGCGAATGTGTAAAGTCGCCTTAAATCCCAAGCATCTTGATAAGCTTCATGCTTCCTGCTGCTGGGCTCATGCTGGCAAAGCTTGAACAACTTGGTCACCTTCCAAGGGCCGATGTCCCAAAAGTATTTAAAAACTTGGGGATACAGGGCAACTACATGGAGTGTATTTTGGTGCATTTTGGAATGTATTCATGGGCAACCCATTGGCAGCAACACAAAAAAAATCACAGGGGCCTGTGCAGATAGCTGGTGGATATCCACGAAAGCCCCATGGTAGAAATGAACCATCTCACGGACACTGTCAACATTGAGCTCAAGGCTTTTGGTGCAAATAGGGTGGCGTTCCACCTCCCCCTCTTCCACATCAACGGCCGCAATTGGCCACTGAAGCCAGGAGAATTGTTTCCTAAAGCGCTTGCGAAGCATTTCACAGCGTTCCAACATGGTTGCAAGCTCAGGAGCCTCATCATCACTCATGATTGCAATCTGGGAAAATGACTGCACTACAAACAAGCCTTAACTTGAGAAAAATGCAGCGCAATTCCAAGAGTCAACCCGTCAAGGGAGGCCACAAAACTGTTCACCATGTCCCAATCAAGTTCTTCCTGCCTGTGCAGGACAAAAGGGCTTAAGCTTGAAGCAGGCCGGGGAGACATGCAGCGCAGAGTAGGAAAGTACCAGTCCTTGGCAGGCCATTGGTTTGAAGTTTGAAAGCCACAAAAAATATTCAAAAAATGATCTCTTGTCCATATACTTATGCTTCCATTTGATCTTTTGGGTAATGCGCAGCTGATAAACACATGCTGCTAAGATTCATCACGAGTTTGCCAAATCTCTTCAGCCCAAGTTCCTGCATGAAAACGAAACCCATGGAGCATTGTTTTCATGTGTCCGAACGAAACTGTCGGGGTCCTTTGCCCCAGCTGGAGGCCAATAATGGCAGTGAGCGCCATGGCAAGCTTAGCTGCAGGGATCTGTTTTGATCAGATTTTATGAAACATATCCTGATGTATATATAAATGTGTTTACTGTATGCATATGTACATATGAATATACAGATATATATATATAGATATAGACATAGATAAATAGATATAGATATATAGATATAGAGATATAGTATAGATATAGAGATATAGATATAGACACATATATAAAGATATATATATATATATCTTTATATGGGATGGATCCCAAAAAAAATAGTGGTGTCTCACCTGTCACCACCAAATGCGTCATGGTGCAGCCAGAAATGGCCTCGAGATTGCGCAGGTGGAATGGGAAAGGTGTTGGTGAGGTATAAAAGTGTATAATATAATGATTTTATTGCTATAAACAAATGGAATTACTGTAATATATCTGTATATCACATATATGCCAAAGTAGCCTATTTTAGGAGTAGAAACTTGAAAGTCGCTAGATAAATGGTCACTGGCCCAAAGTAGCCTGAAACTTTAGGCTACTACGGCTTTGCAGGTATTTCTATGGTACATGTTCAATAGCTATCTTAAATTACCAGAGGGTATTTTAAAGGTGAGCAGAATGGTACTGGGGTTTTGACCCATACCCTTGGATCGCGCGTTTGGATCAGCCATGATCCTTGCTTGAAACACCATTGTGGTGTTGGCCTAAAACACTGTTTAAAACAACGATGTTGGTGAGACATGGTGTAGGTTCCATCTTTGCCAAGCACTGTCCACAATCCATATTGATTGATTCTTAGTGGTTGTACTACCGGGTTTATTGGGTATAATCATGACCCATTGTGCGAATCCCGCCTTCAAACAACCAGTACAACTGAGGTAACAGAGGGTTTTACGAACATTACTTATTGTGGTTGGGTATAGTTGCTGAGTTGTATTTGACTATATGTTTTATCTATTTTTATCTTATATATACATACTGTATAACATTGTATAACTGTATAATAATGTATAATATATATATATATGCACTGTAAATATGTGTTTCTATACACACACGCTGTATATCATATATATATACACACTAATTATAACATCCCTTTCTCGTTGCTGGTCATACCATGTCCTTCCATCACGTTTCCATCACGTTTGTTTAGGCAATCATAAGCCTGGTCCAGGACGCGAAGGCTCGAGGGCTTTACTTCGTACGGAGAAGGGGATTGAAAGAACGAAAAAAACGATGACAACCATGGTACCTTTCTCTAAAATAGCTGGTGAAAGGATGATAAAATCTATGTTTATCTATGCCATCTATGGATGTTTATCTATGGTACAGTTATGGCCCAAAAAAAGCAGTTATGAAATGGGTTTATTTCATGATATATAAGATATATAAGCCTAGTTATAGGACTTATAATTCCATTTGTAAGTTAGTTGGGCCATAAGTGTGGTACCATACTTTCAAATAGCTCGTTAATGGATGTTTATCTATGGCTAACTGATGGTAGTTTCATAGGTGTTGACCCATCCTCTAAGAAATTGCCTTGCAAATGGCTATAAAAACATAGTGGTTTAAGCAACAAGAAATGGCCTTCTTAGCTAGAGATTGTGGTTCAATAAATAGGGTTCTATAAAGGGTGAATTAGACCACCTATTTCTGGTAAATTTCCATGTTTTCTATGGTCTATAATTGGTTTAGTTTGTGTTGTCAGTTTCAACATGTTTCAATCCTATAGATGATGATCCAAATAACCACCCTTTTTGGAAGGGTTTGGATGTTGTTACTTATAATAGAAATGGTTCATTTTTGTTTGTTTGTCTGAAAATAGGCTACCCCCAATTCCAATGGGAACTATGGCTATAACTTGGTATAACAACAGTTATGGGTCACCCATCTATACATATATAATCATATATATATATATATCCAATGGCACTGGGGCATTCCCTATAACTTGGTCATAAGTCATTGTCCACGTGTCCGATGCGTGTCATTGGCGTGTCCTGCATGTCCTGAGGCATGGGATTGAGCCACGTGATTGCAGAGAGAAAGGCTGGTGGTAAGCCTGTTTAAATATGTGTATATAGTATACATATATTATACATATATATATATATATGTATAAATGTGTATGTATATATATTATATATTATATGGAATATCCCCATTGGACTATTTGGGATGAAAAACTCGCCAGGGATCCGATCCTTCCGTGGGGCCCGTCCGTGGGATGTGTTGGACGAGGTCGAATCAACAGGCCGTGAACTGGCCATGACAGGCCTACCGGTAGGTGCCTCTGGTAAACTAATCCCATAGGATCCATGGTGCTGGTATATTTACCTACATAACTGGGTGATTTTGTTCGGGCAAATGTTGGTAAATATTCCATGGATCCTATGGGAATATAGCTATTGAAAATTGCCATTTATGGTTGATTTACCCAGTAAAAATGGTGATTTTCCATAGTTGTGTTAGGTTACCGGAGGGTATATTAAACACTACACAAAAGGACTTCAATGCCGAAAAAACCACGGTTTCTGGCCGGAATTTCATGAGGATGGGAATAAACACACCGCTCCAAAAATACAGAAAATGGTCTGAAATCAGTTGTTGATCCCTTGCGAAAGCACAGTTTCTGGCTGGTGTTTCATTTGAACGGGGACCGGATTGTACGTGAGAAAGAGAATTACCCAGGTGTGGATCACTGGTTTTCGTACCTGCCGCGCCCATCATGGACATCACATGACGTTCATGTTCAATCTTCCTATTTTTTGTCTGTGACAGAAGCTGCACGGAGCCCCCCATTCTTTTCACGAAAGTGTCCCATAGTTATCTATAGCCCATTTTTTTGATGTTGAATATCCATCAACATGAAAAAAACAATCTTAAGTGGATATTCAACAACATGATAAAACAATCCCGAAAAAAAGTCATCGAAAAAGCACACTTTTTCATCAGCAGTGGACGGTGAAGATTCGCCAAGGTGAACATGCCATTGAGTCACTGGTCCTCTCAGTGTAGCACTCAGCGGTGTTTTTTTTTTTTGTGACTTGGGACGTGGAACTCAGCGAACTTGGAGAACATGGGGAGAACAGCTTTGGTGAAAACATTTTTTTTGACCATCCCCCAGTCATCACCATAGGTGGTATAAACCATTCCCAAATGGCTAGTTTATTATTATTTTAACCACATTAAGGATGATTTAACTATAAATTGGGATAGTTGAGATAATCAGGCAGGGTTGTTGGAGGAGTACATAGAGTCAACTCCCAAATGCTCCATGCTGAAGGACACATTACAATTTACGTTATACCTGCATGAGTTGTTTGTTCTACAAATGACGACTGGTAATGTTGTGGTGTCAATGTCGGTAAACACAAGAAAACTATCAATAAATGAGCCGGTCTTCACATCTAAACATGCTGTGTGTTGTGCACGCCGTGAATGCTTTTTGTGCTCTTCCAGTTGCTTAAAAGAGAAACATGTTGTGCATTGCAAAAATCACCCTCAGTTCCTTAGATTGCTCTGATTTGGAACGTTCAAGGCAAACCACACCACTACCATTTGACGTGCATTGGAATCCATGGGGTATCAACGTGTAAACGCCACTTTCGAATACTTTCGCCATGGCCAAGAAGATCCCTGCACAAGCATTCTATGAAGAATATCACGGGCACCGAGTGGAACATCTGCGTCACTTGGTGACTCTCAGCTCAGTTAGCGCCCCTGCCAGTGTCGATTTTCGAGGTGAGACAGTGTCTTTAAAAATGGGGCGGCCAAGCCAGTTGCATCTTCGGAAAGTACATGAAAGTACTGTTCTCTTTCTGAAGCAATTCTCCAAAATCGGAGCTTTTAACCTTGGGGTATTGTTTAAACATGTGCTCGTTGCCGAACTCAGGAATGGCCTACGTGCCAAGAATCCGCGACGAAGCTTCGTATACTTGGCAGGTGATATGGATATGTTGGTTACAACCTCACAGTGGAAATGAATGGAAATGATGGTTAGGACTCGTAGGGGTATCCCATAGGAGGCTGAACTTTTCAGGTGGGTGAAGTATTTGAACTTTTGGCCATTTTGACAGGAAGCAAAAACATACAAACCCGCCGGCCCGATTACCGTTCAGGTGTTGTTATAAAAATGATCGTTTCGCCTACGCGAAACCAGAATTTCTTCATCAAAAATCATGGTTTGGTTTCATGTCATTCAGCTTGGCATTTTTTGCTGCTCTGTGGTCTGGGTAGTTACAAGTTCTGCAGCGTAGCATCAACGTCATGTGCAAGTTCTAACGAAGGTTCATCACGTAGCATCAAAGTCATGTGCAAGTTCCAACGAACGGTAACATGCCCCACCCCACCCCACCCCATCAACTTCATGTGCAAGGTCACATGAACGGTAACAAGACATGACTGGTCACGGGAAACACAAAAACGTTGCATTTCGCTGGACGGTAAACGGTCCGTCAGCAAAAACCGGTAAACGGTCCGTCAGCAAAAACATATTATATAATTATATAATGTCTTAGAATCAATCGTTTGCAAAAGGTAAACTCAACTCTTTTTTGCAGCGTATCTACCATTTGTAAGTTGTCTCCTCGCTGTGCACGTTGATTTCGTTTATGTTTCGCCCGTGATATCCCCACTTGGGCTTGTTTGAAAACGTCCAACCTCAAAATCCCATGGCTAGTCATCAATGTCATCATGTTCCCATTCAAACAGCTAGAAATTGGGGATGTCATCTTCTTGGCTATCTATCCCAGTGGTTCCCATGATATCCCCTGATGAGCCTATAATGTTTCTTTGTGACGATATATCCTAACATGAAATAGCCCGAAATGCAAGTGATAACTGGCTTATTTCATGATAATCAACTAGTTACGGTTGCAGGAGTTATTTCATTTTACTTCTACAGTTATGGCCCAACTAACAGTTATACATGGAATTATAACTCCTATAACTAGGCTTATATATCATGAAATAGACTAATAGACCCATCATTCTCTTAGTTGGGCCATCACTGTATCAGCTTTTGTGCCGGGTGAATGGGGCCAGGGGATTCGACCTTGGACAACAAGCACTGGCTCTTTCAGGGCGGGAAAAGTTTGCCGGAAGAGAAATCGAAGAGCTCCCCGGCAGGAAAAGCCATCCAGATCTCAAGTGGAATTCGGAACTATGTAAGTTAGTGCCATCTATAGATGTTTAGATACGATATATTAATATTATATATATATATACTGTGTATATATGTATATATATATTTTGATATTATAATATATTATATATGTTGGGATATCCCTATTTTTTTTTAGACTTCAAAAAAACGATCACCAGGCTGAAGCGATCACCAAATGTTGGACAGGTGGGATCCTCCCAGTATCCTCAGGTGATTAACGGCCCATTATTTCACATAGCTATGGACAGTGGCCCATGTTTATCCATTGTTTTGGTTTACCTTAAGTAAAAATGAAGTGATTTTCCATAGGTACATTAATAATATTAAATAGCCAGAGGAAGATCAAACTAGTTAACTGGATTTAACCAGCACAACTGGGGGATATCAAGGGGATGTATTCGTGGATGACGAGCATGTTGGGACAGTAGTAGAATCATTAGGGATTTAGACAACATTAATTCATATCCAATTCATTATTATATTATTATCATGTCCTGATTGTTTTTTAACATACTAACTTAAACTGTCCATTTTTGTTATGAATTTTGGATCTAGTACATTAACGGATATGATTTTACAATCATGGACAGATCACTGGCTAGTGGGCCTGCATGCGGTCTTGTTGATGGTGTCAGTGCCTGAGAGTATTTAAGGTGTTTGACTCAGTTTTACACAAAGCCATTTTTATAGGTGGAGAATTCCTAGCCCCAGATATTTCACCAGTGGTAATTTAACAGAAGGAAGCCTTGTTATTCAATGCTGATGTCCCATATATATAGTTCCCCTCTGGTCAACGTTTACATAACTGTGAACAATCACCATTGCGAATGGGTACACTCTGGTAAATTAACATAGACCCTGGCAAATAGGGGTTGGAAGACTAGTTTCCATTAAAAAATGGTGATTTTCAGGGTCTATGTTTATTTACCAGATGGTAAATCAACTATTTCTATGGGCCATGTTCAATAGCAAACTGTCACAAATTACCAGAGGGTAACTATATATATATATATTAACCATTAACCATAGATTATCCTAATATATAACTTATAGTTATGTAACAAATTGCCAGAGGGTAGTTACGCTACGTAAAAACCCAGAGGGAACCGCGAAGCGCTCGCCAGGCGCGGCCTTGAATGGCTATGAGGAACTGCTGGAGCCTGCTCTGATGATGCACGATGTGAGTTTCTGGGTGAACTACGAGTGCCTTGACGTGATCCGCGGTGAGGAAAACATGGATTCCACAGAAAAATGGCCCTTATTTAACGGTTTTTTTGATGGGTTTATAAGGTTTATAATGATATAATATGATATATAAGCCTAGTTTTTGGAGTTATACTTCCATTTACAACTGTTAGTTGGGCCATAACTGCATGGAAAGCTCTGATTCTTTGGAAGTAGTAGAGTTTCCAGAAGAAGTACGATATTAATATTAAGCAATATCATAATGGGTCTTAATTTGAAAAGCGATAGAAATGCAATTATTGCGCTATCTGTAAGCAATGAAATCTGTAATACACACTTTTTTCGTGTGGGTTTTTGTTCAATGTTCATCCATGTTCACCTCACTTCCACAACCTTTGAGAAAACCTAGAAAATAAAATTGCCATGATGTGACACTCATCAGCTTCGAGGCTGGCAAAGGCAAAAGTGGAACCGCCCATCGTGTGCATCAATGGAGCGGTAGAAGAGTCGTGCATCAGTCAGAGGGAAGCTTGATCCATCTTGATCAAGCTCAGTGGGGGACGTAGCATTGATCCGTTGGACCCAAAATGGGGGAATTGAAGCACCCTTAAAATAGGTGTTGAAAAATCGATTTCTGATAGATCTGTGCCGGGAACCATAGAACCATAACTACAGGCTAACTAACTTTTTCCCTGATTATATAATATTATATATATATATCTATATACCTTCTGGTAAACTACCATAGCTATGGAAAATCACTATTTTGTTTTCATAGGTAAATCTATAAATGGTCCGTTTTCCATAGCTACTGTATGTGAGTTTACTGGAAGATAGCATCATATAGCTCAATTTTGGGTGCGAAATCAACGTATGATGGGTTCATATAGCGGTGGTGGATTTTTGTTCGGATTGGATTGTTTCACCCTCCCCTATGTGCCCGGTCGGTGCCTGGTTGATCGGTGTTATTATGTGTTATTGCAAAGCAATAAATATCTATCTATATGTATATATATATATGTATAGACACAAAATTGCATTCCTTTGGATGTATTCTCTAAGAATTTAGGTAGACATAGTGTATATGGGTATTACATTGCATTGTATCACTGGTTGGTGCTTTGGAAAATGGCTTTTATTTTCCCATATATTGGGAATGTCATCATCCCAACTGACTTTCATTCCATCATTTTTCAGAGGGGTAGGTCAACCACCAACCAGAGAATACCATAATTAACCATCATTAATTAACCATATAATAACCATTACTATTACCCATTAACAGTATATTAATCATATATTAACAACCAACCATATAGGTCAACCACCAAGCAGATAACCAATCAGGGTGTTTCTCCCAGATATCGATCTCCGCCCCAGGAAGTGGAAGGTCTATTGGCACAGGCCTCCAACTTTTCGGCGGAATTCATTGATGGTTGGGCATGTTTTTAGGTCCCTAAAAAATGCTGGGTTCCAACAAGAGAAATGTGATTGATATGTTACCAAGTAGCAAGTGAAGTTCTTGCAGTGCTTCCATGTCAGACTTCAACATGGATTCTTAAATGACACATGTGCGCCGATGCAGATGGTCTTCGTTCCGGATGTTCCCTGAGAACTGGAAAAAATCTATCTGGTAGCAACCATCAAAAAGTAACGTTTGGATGAACAATGATGGGATCCATATAGAGAAAAAACACACACCCCTAAGAACAAGTCCCTAGCTCGGCACGTGGTGCTGTAGTTCAGATTCGAAACCCTGAAGTGCATAGAATGGGAGGATATGGGAAGCATTGTTGAAAGCGACTCAGATTGTTAAAGATATTCTTAGGTCACAACTAATTCATTGTCACATATTGTCACTCTGGCCGCTGGCCTGTACAATGATCGACTGATCGGTGAAGTGTCATATATGTGTTGCCACGATCACAAAAAAAAACATGTCCAAGCTGCCAAGGTATCAGGGAAGTCAACCTGAGAAACTTATGTTAACCGTTTTTTGGTTCATCTGAACAGTAAGACATCGATGGGTTAATCATCATTGTCCTTCTAAAATCATGACCACGTTGGTGGGCTATGACAGACAACAATTCCTTAAGTTTTAGACATCGGCTCACGTCCCATAAAAACCATTCGCCATCATATCATCGTTAGTCAATTCACTGGTTGGTGGTTTGGAACATGTTTTATTTTTCCATATATTGGGAATAATAGCCCCAACTGACTTTCATATTTTGCAGAGGGCTAGGTCAACCACCAACCAGTAATTACTGTCATGTTTTCAGGACAAATTCATTCGCGACAGCCTGACGGAAGACGACATCTTGGTGGTAGACGTGGGTGGGAACGATGTGGCTTTGCGGCCCACCTGCGGGATTATCCTGAACATGGCGCTGCTGCTGTACCTGACGCCCACCTGTCTCATCCGTTGTTGTCCCTGGCTGGTGCCAGGTGGACGGGACGGGACGGGACAGGACGGGAGGGCCACGAAAAATAACGGTGCACCGCCGGGTTTATTGCATCCTATGGATGCACCCTAGTTCACTTCATAGAAGTGGGGATAGTCCATCAATCGAACTGGGTTTTGTTGACCCATTTACAATTTGGATACGAAGTTGGGTGCACTCCCAAGTTGGAAAGAAACCATGGTAAATTACGAGGTGGTTTAAGCCCTACTGTGGCAAAACCAATGCCATAAACATCCCCAAGCCATCACCATCATAAATGGGTTGGATTTCAACCATCCCCTTAAATAGTAGGTTTATGTTATTCGGTAGCCAACCATATTTTGGATCGGTCTTAAGGTGGTCTGAAGTTGGTTTTCTGACCACTTCCTGTAGCGAGAGTGATTATCATCTTAAAGCCAGCTAGGCGATGTTCACCCGCTTGGGCGCTGGGGCACATCGGCACCACCAAGGGCGGGCAATGAAGAATCAATTGATCATTGAACCAACAGTTATGGCCCAACTAACAGTTGTGAATGGAATTATAAATCCTAATACATCCTAATACTATAACATACTATAACTAGGGTTATATATATATATATATACATATACATATACATATACATAATTATAAACCCATTTAAAACTGTTAAGGGCCATAAATGAAGCCGCTGATTAATCAAATCTCTTAGGGCTGACCAAGATGGTTAGATCACCATAATCTCTGCATCATCGATCATCATTGAACATTGCGAGGTTTCACAGGTTTCCCCATGAGAAATGCCTTTTTCAGTGTTTGAAAGTATGATACTCTATCAAAGTATATATACATATCATATCATAGTATAGTATATTGTTATATCATACATATATATACATATCAATGGATATCAATCTCTATGGATTGGTGTCATCATCGGAGACACCCATATTTAGTGGTAAAAACGATGGGGGTTCCTCTGGATTCGCCCGTATAGACGATGCTGTTGTCGAAATCTCCAGTGTTCCAAATATTACTATGATATGATATGATATGAATATATGTACAATATATATGTATATACATATAATACATATATATATATATGTTTCTTGTGAAATCCCTGACTTATTGTCACCAAAGTGCCAGGCATGTGGTACTTCATCTACATGTTCCGCGTGCGGCTGCGCAAGATCACGGAGAAACTGATCGCTGCGCGAAAGCCGAAGAAGGTGATCATTTGTTACATGGCAGGGCTGTAATACCCTCTGGTAATTTAACATAGCTATTGAAAATGGCCATTTATAGTGGATTTTCCCTTTAAAATGGTGATTTTCCATAGTTATGTTAGTTTACCAGAGGGTATATGGGTTTCATCACAATATACGCACTATAGATGGTTAGGTGAACAAACTAATCGATGGTGATGGGTGAAAAGAGACTAATAGATGGTGATGAGTATATATATATATAATGTATACACCATAAATGGTTAAGAAACTTTAATAGATGGTGACAGGTGGTTCATGTTGCTTTGATATATTCACTCATATCAATGGTGAATCATATGGAATGGTAAGTCCAAAGATGCCCGGGAACTGCCGGGAACTGCCGGATGGCTTTCCCAGGGGTCAAAATCCCAGACATCCTTTCCTGATGTTACCCTCATCTATAATAATAGATTATACCATCTATAAATGGTTAATCTATAGTTGATCTATGGTTAATCTATGGATAATCTATGGTTAATGGTTAATAGATATACCCGGCCTGGTAAACATTCACAGTTTGCGAACTGGAAAATGGCCCATAGAAATAGTTGATTTACCGTTCTTAACGATGGTGATTTTCCATAGTTATGTAAACGTTTACCAGATAGCCAGGAAATGTTTGGTTTTTCCAGTGGATCTCTTCATTCTGGGGGTCCAGTCATGGGAGGTAAAACCATGAGATTGGATACGTACTGCACATACCATATTTGTAAAACACATATGTTTAATATCAATACACCTAGATGGTTCAACATGTTCGATTCAAAACCCCGAAAAAAAACACATCACCATCGTTTTTGTTGCCAAAACAACTACCTGCTTTGGCGTCGCCATGGCCCAAGGCATGCTATACTTCCTGGACGAATCGCCTGGTGGCAGTTGGGCGGATGGGACGCTGAAGGCACTGGGCTATGATCGCAATCCCGAGAAGCTGCAGACGGTGATGCGCCGCTCGGCGCTTGGAAAACACGTGGAAAACACCGTGGCAAACACGTGGCCGCCATGGCTGTTAAGCCAGTTACATGAGCAGCGGCTTTTATTTGGTTAAATGATGTTAAATGGAGAATAGTATTGTATAGTCTTGTGGCGTACCCCGGTTTGTCTAAAACATCATAGTTAGGTTGTAAAACGAGGTAGGAACACCCCGTCAATTGCGTTTTGTACCAAATAACTTCCGCGGCTCATATATATATATATATATAACTCCTGTAACCAAGGTTGGTTATATGATTGTATATCATGAAATAAGCCAGTTATAAGTGGCTATGGGGCTATCACTGTGGGGATTGGGTGTATTGGGGCTGCGGAAAAGATCGGAAAAGTTTTGTGTGTTTTGTTTGGCAAATGGCTTGTAATAGTGAGTGAGATTGTAACTTTTGGATGATTTTGAAGAGGTCATATATGAATGGAGCAAAAAAACAGCAGTGGGAATCGGAACTTTGGATTTGGTCTTTAATCACACAATATGATTTATGGAGATACACAATGTACAATGATATGTATATATATATATGTCTTATACATGGGGCTAAGAAGATCTAAAAAGGGGACAACAATTTCTTGCTAGGTCACTCACAGAATCGATGAACGGAGAGCTTAGCTTCGCACTGGGGATGAGGTTGATGAGTTGCAGTAGTGGGGTGATATAACCTTTATTTCACTGGGGATCAAAGCAACAATCTGGATGATTTTTGTTCATGACCTCACTGTGACGTTACCGGAATGATGGTTAGTACGGGGAATTATCCCAAGATGGCCTTATGTTTAGTTACTTTCAGGTTAGTGAATTATTATGAATTATGAGATAATTACAAACAATATTTAGAGGTGCGTTTGAACAATTGCATAGGTGTTGCGGTTGGTACCGAAAATCATTTACAAATGGGGCTACTAGCTCGAAATTTGATGGGTAATCTATGAAGTGATACGGTGGGTGAAAGAAATTCTGGACCACCAACCGGATGGTTGAAACCCTATAAATAATGGGATGTTTACCATCTATCAACTGGTGCAGGATTTCGCAACCATCCACAGTATGGTTGGCTGAATGATGTGATCCCTAAATGGGATTTTGATGCCAGTATATTGTTCTGACTTGGATGTTCAAGAGGACCACCTCAATTCACTCCACTGTTCATTTGTGTTCACCTGTGATTTTGTCAACCTTCACACTTATAGCATCTTATGGCCCTTAACAACTATAACTGGCTATATAACCCAAATTTACATGAGTTATTCTTCCACTTACTGATCGTTGGGCTATTTTTTAAGCGTTGCTTCGATTTTTCCATCACCAGCACTGATCCAGGGGACCGTACCCAATTTTTACCATGTATAAACCATGGTTTTTATATTTTAGTATGAACTATCCATATTTTTTGGGGGGTACACAATAAACATACTCATACCCATATGGGTATAACCATGTATAACCTTTTGAATTAGTGGTACAGCAGTATTCTAGCTAGTTACTTGATGTGATTTTTTATAGCCAATGTCATTCTAATGGGTGATCAGTGTTTTTGACCAGTTGCAGGGTACATCGAGGTCAAGTCTACTCCATGGCTGTGTCTCGAATTCGCATCCCCGGCACTGAAGTCGCTTGCTGTTAAACATGGCTGGGCAGAGGGCTGGGGGAAGGGGTGAGATTGAACTTGGACATAGCAAGTGTAAGTTGATCACCTAAAAAAGCAAGGGTGATGCGAGGCGATGCGCTTAAAAGGTTGGAAAGCAAAATTGATGAACCTGAACTTCAAAGGGGAGCATCGTTGTCCAAAGCCGGTGGTCCAAGAGGTACGATTCTGTGTTTTTTTCCCTACAGGATGCGGTTGTTTCTCAATCCATGTTTTTTAGATGCATGCCTGACGTCCCCTCCCATGTCTTATGAGTTTTGTGTCTGGACGGTAGAAAGCAATAGAAACGGCATCCATGGCAGCCAGATTCTAGTGACTTGTTGGGCTGAGTTGGGGAGTATCGTTTCTTCGTACCAGATCCATGGGGGCGCTTGTTGTGTCCCACACAATACCCTACCCCAAGATCCATCATTTGTGAACGGCCACTCTGAACCACCCATGCGGCCATAGGTTAGGTGGTGGGTCGAGACTTAGTCGCTCCAGGGGGTATGTGAACATCAAGGACCAAGGAAAACTCATGTAAACTGATGTAATCCATCATGTTCCATACAACTGGAACAATGACCAATAGGGCTATCTAACTATCCCAAAATGATCCAAAATGACCACATACCCCAGGTTGGTGAACCACAATAATTTATCCTTTCACATGTTCGGCACAGACTCACCAGTAAAACGCACAAAGGGTGCTGTTGACCCACAGCAGAATTTCTAAGTTTGAAGTCTTCGTCAAAAAAAAACAATCCCTGTCCTACCTCTGGATGGTCATATCCCCGCAAGTCTGTTGGATAAGTATGGATAAGTCATGTTAAGTCTCCATGTTATATCCCATGTTATTTCGGTTATATCCCTCATAAAATCCCCATGTTTCCCAATGATATCCATGATCCACCACCAGTGGAAATCTCTGTTGAACTGCCCTTAAGGTGGTGACATTACCATTGTACGAGGTCTTAGATGGAAAAGTTCCTGGCTTCAAAACGGCCGGGATCGGATCACCAGTTCAAAATGCGGTAAGGAAACTGAAAATGTATATAACTGAAAAAAACGAAAACATGATGATAACATGATGATAACTGAAAATCTATCTTTCTTTTTTGGTGGTGCTATAATCATGAACTAATCCTGTAGTGTTAAGTATCATAACGGCAACGTGGGGCAATCGTCAGTCTACGGTGGTTCCCCCTCAGTACTTGATATTCCCCGGAGAAATAAACCCGCATTTATTGATTACGGGGTCACCGCCCAAGGTTACATTCATGGCAACTAAAATGGTACCCCTGAATTTTCCACAATCCAGGAGGTGATTGATCCCAGTGCTTTAGTGAACTATCACCATCGTTACACCATTGTATGATGAACAGTCATCATCATTGTGACTATTGATTACTGGTTGGTGGTTTGGAACATTTGTTATTTTTCCATATATTGGGAATAATCACCCCAACTGACTTTCATGTTTGTTTAGAGGTGTAGGTCAACCGCCAGCCAGTCATTATGACTAGCAGCATTGCTCCAGAGCTAAAAGTAGATGGTAGCAACTAGGTCCAGCACCCAACAAAAAGATGCAGAAAAGTAAATCTACCATTGCTTTAGTATATTAGCTTATTTGTTTCTTCATTTTTTTGGGACTTTCTATATGTTGCAATTATAAATAGATATTCTGGATGGAAACGCAGAGAGCAACGAGTCATGATGTTGAGGCAAAACAACATTCATCACTCAACCGCAGTTCCAGTCCCTCTGTTTTTGGTGTGTACCAAAAATCACCCTGAAGTCGATCGAATTGTTGAAATATTGTCCCTAGTTTGATCTTAAGAGAGGAAGTGTCCATTTAAGATCTGATCATTGGAACTATCTAAGTTAGTTATTCACTTTCCAATGAAACCCTATCTAAGTTAGTTATTCACTAGGTAGGTGTCCATCCAAGATCTGTTAGTTATTTACTTTCTGACGTGAGTTTTCCCGATCTGGGAAATCACGTCATCCGTTTGTACTTCACATGTACAGTATATGTTGTTCATACATTTGCATATATGTATAATATATATATATACATATAAAATTATATATATATATATATATGGAGATTTTGTTTGTATATATGTTCATATATATATATATATATGCCTATACATATTGGGTTTGGTAGGTCACTCAACAAACTGCAGCACCACATTGTATGAGATGCTTTATAACCCACAAAATTGGAGGATATTCTATGGATATCCATAGATATCTATGGAGTTCTATAGATATCCATTGATATCTATGAAATTCTTTAGATATCCATAGGTATCTATGGATAGATATCTATGATTCTACAGATATCCATAGATATCAATTGAATTCTATAGATATCCGTAGATATCTTTGGAATTCTGCAGATATCCATAGATATAATTCTATAGATACCCATAGATATCTATGGAATTCTTGAGATTTCCATTGATATCTATGGATAGATACCTATGGAATTCTACAGATATCCATAGATATCATAGACATTAGACCTTTTTGAAATCTCTGAATCCCACGGACTTTCTATGAATCAATGGGTCTGAGGACACCAACGACTACGTGGCACGTGTGGAGCCCAGTGACCCCGGCGGTCACAAGTTGGCCGTGGCGCTGAAAGACGCCATCCTCGACGAGCGCCACGGCCTCGTTTCCGTCCTGGGATGAGTTGTTCGGAGAAAACCAGGATTTTTTCTGAGGGGAACCAGGAAACATTTTTTTACCTGGGAAGACCTCTCAGGTTTTTGCACCATTCACCTGGTACAAAACATCTTTGTTGCCTGAATCTGTTACAGTAAAGTTTGGTGTCCTTTGTGATTTCATATGATTTCAGATTGGGAAAGATGGGGAAATGATGGGGGATTCATGGGGATTCTAATGATTCCAGCATGAAATATGGTGATGTTATAATTTTCAGAAGGTGATTTAAGCATATTTAAGCTAGAATCATGGTGAATGCGAAAAAGAGGCTGTTTTCTACCAGCTACTGGTAATACGGATGAATCCAATGATTGGGCACCAATTCTCATGTCTCAAGTCTCAGGATGTTCATTGATGACCTTCTGGTAATTTAACAGTTCGCTATGGAAAGATCCACCATTTTGAATGGGAAAATCAACTATTTCGACTGGGCCATTTTCAATAGCTATGTTAGGTTACCAGAGGGTACCTACCTTTTCGGGTAGCTAGATTCACAAGATTCTGGAAGCCGCCTGGTCATCCCAATTTTGGAAACTCAAAGATGTTGCCCGAACATGCTGTTGAACATGCCAGAAGAAAAATTAGATACCCAAAAAAATGATTGGTCAATACATAAGAATGAACAACAATGAACAACATTTGTGGTCGGGTTTTGAATTTAGACCGCCCATAAATATGAAGTATCTTGCTATGGTTACGTAAGAGACATTGTTTTTCATGCGTTGGGACATTTCTGAGTTCAACCAGCAGAACGGACACATTTTTTCAGGTGCTGATTTTTGAATGATCTAAGTTTTGGTTGAATCTGGTACGCAATGCTGCAAAGAAGTTTCAGTTCCAAAAACCTTTACAATGAATTGAGGTTTGAGAAAACTTGACTGCAACAAATCTGTTCAGTGTTTCTTCAGGCGAACTGCCCAGCATGGCTCTGCCGCGAGCAAATTGTGAGTCCGACGGCAAACTGTGTATACCCAACAGTCAACAAGCTAAAAAACGTGGACCCACACCCACTGTTCTTTCATTTGTCCTTCAATGTTTCCCATGAAATACATGAAATGCAGCAGTGTGTTGGTATTGAAATCAGTGTGTTTCCAAGATTGATTCTGGTTGGTGCTTTCGATTTTTTTTAGTTTTTCCATTCAGTTGTGGATTTCATAATCCCAACTGACTTTCACTCCATCATTTTTCAGAGGGGTAGGTCAACCACCAACCAAACTTGATTACCATTTAGTTCGTTGATTTACCTATTAAACATGGAGATTTTCCACAGTTTTTTAGTTGGTTTATACCTATAAAGCCACAGCTTTCCTGTGCTCAAAATGTTTCGAAACATGGCATCTCCCGTGTCTCCCCTGGCGGCCGGTACGCCGGCGGTACACAATCCTGGTGATACCAGTGCCATATTGAAACAAAAACTCAGCTAGAGATCTGGGCTGGTGAAATTGCAGGAGTAAATATATATGGAACTAATAATAATATACATATAATTATATATATATATGGATATTATATATATATATGGAAATAATAGATAAAACTCAGCTACATATATATATATATATAATTGGATAATAATCAAAGAAGAATTGTGGAAATCTCACAACTATTCTTATACTGAGCTATACAGCCATTCTTTGAAACAATATGATGAGATTTTATTCATCTGGACCGATGTGACGACCCAGCTTTCATTTCTCACAGCACCAAGGTATGGTGAGGAATGAACGGGCTCCGCTGGCAGTGGCGCTTGACCCATCCATTCAAAAATTGGATGAAACATGGAGGTTGTTTCGGCCATCATATTGAGGGACCAAGATACAATGATAAACGATAGTTTATTAATTAGGGGGTACTTCCCCAATAGCCATAATATGGTTTTTAAATGATACCACCCAATTCAACAGCCTAAGGGATTATTAGTCCAGGGTTGACATTAATTATTATAAAGGATATCACGTGATATAATGAGATATCTATGAATCATTGTATTGATTCATCCGATAAAATGGCCCATGAGTTGCAGCGTTGCAGTTGGTTATCATTCATAGTTACCAACTGCTGCAGGATTTCGCAACCGTGATATGGATAGTGCTGGATAAGTTATGTTCTGGCCTCATTGGCCTACCACAGATGATGGTTAAGATTAGGTGGGAATTGCAAATCAAATATGGCAAGTGTTTTTTTTTTCAAATCCACCATTTAGTTCGATGTTTTTGTTCTCATTAAATATATTACTGGTTGGTGGTTTCAAACATTTTTTCCATAATATATGGGATAATCCTTCCCATTGACTTTTATCTTTCAAGATTGTTAAAACCGCCAACCAGATTCAATCCTCAATTTGTTTGCCGGGGATTTTCCAAACAATTGCCATCGACACCGGGTGGGGTTCAAGGTGGTACCCCATAGTTAGCTAAGTTGGGGGCCACATAACTCCAATTTCACTTGGGTTTATGGTAGATATCCTATCCTTTGGGTGGGCACCACCTTGTAGGTAATACCATCTCTGGTAACTTTTCACATAGCTGCTACAAATGACCTAATTTATAGTTAATATATGTTAATATAGGTTAATATGATGATGGTTGTTTCAACTAGCTTTCCCATCACCGGGGGGGCACCACCTTGTAGAACTATGGCTTGCCCTTGACCATCTACTTAGAGGACCCACTGAAAAAAATGGGACAAAATTCGCATAAAAACTATGGTGGGCTTGAGAAATGGTTAGTTTACCCCACTTATAACTTATTTTTATGGGAACTTATAAACGGTTGATAACCCTAGGGACTGACGACTGACAGGCTTATTAACCACTTACGATCCGTGGGATGATCAATGTTGTATATACACACACGGTCTTTAAGCCTATGAATTGATACTTGTAGAGACAGAGAGAGAGGGTATTGCAAAGCACAGCACAGCAATCATTATATGTTGGTCCATCCTTTAATTAACATGTTCCAACGCTTCCATAGATTGGAGGATTGGATATGAACAGATCTTAAGGTTCTTGGAGAACATATGCTGCCAGCAGAGAAATTGCACGAACTCAGCAAGCTTGTGGTACCAGGAAAACCAGGATTGTGTACAGTTTCAATCCCAGATCCGTTAAGTTTCACTGTGCTAAACGTAGGGATTTTTTCGGGAATGATCCACTGGCTAACTATCAAGCAGATCATCCCAGCAACCCCCAGCAACCCATCCATTCCCTACGTAAAGTTTAGCACCAGTAAGAAAAAGGCGGGCAAGCGCGTTGCGACGATGGAAAGAGAAATGATTGGGATCAGCTTTGGCCTTTGGTGATGGGATTCACCCAATTTCATGTCCCTAAGTCATCACCAGAAATGGATGCAATTTTTTCATCCCCAAATCAATGGGAGATCTTCAGTTTCCTAAAATGGAGGTACTAACTTAGTACATCTTAGTACCATATGTTTGGCCATATTTTCTTGGGATCTTCCCTGAAATTTAGGCCTGAATTTTAGGCCTATCAATCGGTTCCGCTTCGTCATGGCCATTGGCGGCAAGCCACCAGCTGGTACCCGTAGCTTCACCCAAACCGATGGCATCATGGCTTGGAATGTTGACAGATGAAAACTTGGATTAACATCTTTAACACAAGGTTGTTGTTGTTGTTGTTGTTTAATGATGTGCTGGTTGTTGATTCTTGGGTCAATTTCTTAACGCTTGAGTCTCAATCCTGTCGACTGGAGGTGGATTCAGACAGTATTGAGATGCCTCGGCTGAGGCATATCACCTTATGAATTCTTCCCAGCAACATAGTCAGCCAAACATTGCTGGAATGTCTTTTGACATCTTTTGATATCTTTTGTCATCTTTTGACAATTTACTTTGACCTGGCCGAACTTTGTACGATCCAGAAATAAAAAAAATGATAGAAATTTAACTCACCAAAGGTCACTCGCCATCACTCTCCAACGGTCAATGGAGATTCCAAGTTTTGGATCTCCATAGGATTGGAATGATGCAGTACAGTATATAATCCATGTGTATATATATATATATAGAGAGAAATGGATTATATACTGTGCAGCTTACAAAACACACATATATATATATACTTTAGGGTATTCCATATATATATATATACATATATATATATATACATATATAACTTTCTTATGTCGTTGTTTGGTGATCAACCACGTTCTATTTCCAGATGCCATGCCAAGTGAGGTGGAGAACATCACTCACCTTGACTTGCGTGGCAACCGGCTCAATGCTGCATTTGGTTGGAAACTGATCAAGGCATCGCAGCTTGCGCAGTCGTTGCCTGGACTAGTTGATCAAAGCAAAAGCAATCAGGGTGGAGCTTCATGCCATGAACTTCAGTGGAGTTGTGGTTTTCGTGCAATTTTCTGGGGTTATTAAAAGGCCACATTTTAGCCACAAATATTTGCCCAGAAATGGCAAATCATCTATTTTGGATGGTGGCAGAGGTTGTCGGGCAGGTCCAGGTTGTCGATGCCCCCTATGTTTGTTGGTTTTTAACCTCATCTATAACTAGTTCGTTTTATCCCCTAGGACAAACGTTCACCAAGTTACTTGCATCAACTTAGCTAACTATGGAGCCCCTTCCTGTATATGAACTTAGAAAACATAGGTCATTAATACACTGGTTGGTGGTTTGGAACATGTTTTATTTGTCCATTCAGTTGGGAATAGTCATCCCAACTGACTTTCACTCCATCATTTTTCAGAGGGGTAGGTCAACCACCAACCAGAGAATACCATAATTAACCATCATTAATTAACCATATAATAACCATTACTATTACCCATTAACAGTATATTAATACATTTTACATCTTATCCCATGAAGGCCATGAAGAAGAAATACCTGAACCTGGAGTTCTGCCGTCGTCTCAGATCCTCTGGCCTCCCATGTTCACAGGCTGGATATATTATATATATACATATATATATATGATATATATATATAATATAATATGATATATATATAATATAAATATAATATGTAAATAGACCCATCTATGTGGGGCTTAAAATCATGGTCCATGGTTTTCCTGCGGATTTTTCTTGGAACCAGTTGAACCAATGCAATGAATGTGAGCATTCGATGTCATTTAAAATGAAACCTGGACCCCCCCAAATCCCAGGAATTGCACTAGAATCTAGTGACCCTTTTTCTGCGGAAAACGATGTCAAATTGATGAAGACTCCTTATTTGTTTAATGAAACTCCTGGAAATTCATCCTAACCCATCACTTGTGGATGTTGCGGGCTATATGCAAGGTTTCTGCAAGCGGTTTTGTTTGCATGTTTGATGTAGATTTTGCTGTTCAAAAACATAAAGAACTCCCACAAAGATAAGTGTCAACCTCCCGTAAAAACCGTCAAACTCCCACAAATCCCAAAACATCATTGAATCGAACTTCCAGAACCCACCCCATCACATCATTGACTGCAAAACTTGTGGTCACCGAGAAAGTTCTCGGAAAAGAGTTCTCCAGGACAGGGATTGGAAGCAGGATGTTGTGTGTCAAACATGGAGACTTGTTATGTGGGGGATCTTATCCACGAGAAATGTGCAGAAATTTTAATCTAAACCAAGGTTTGGGGGGGTGTGACCTTTTTTGATTTGGAGTTAATACTGCGAAATTCGTGGGAAGATAACACTTCTTTGACCTGCCATGAATCCCATATTCCAACTTCAAAATCGCAACAAAAATGTTGTTCGACCCAATTTTGTTTGTCGTCTTTTTTGTTCATGACATATCCAGATAGGCGGTTTTTAAACCTAATCCCAGTCATTTTCTGTGCAACTTCCGGTGCCATGCCATGGGAAAAGCCATGAGTTCCCCCGGATCACCATGGCCTCGGCGCCGAGGTAACGGCATTCCGCTTCGGGCCTTGAAGATGAACACCATCGAGGTCCTGGACCTGTCGGGATCGACAGGACGTTGTGGAAAGGTGGGAGTCGGCTCCGGGTGCATGAGAAAACCACATGTGTTTAATATATGGAATGATATATACATATATATATAAAGATATGGATATATGGATATGTGGATTATGTGGTTTTGATTTAGTTTTGATATGATTTGATTCATGGTTAAACGATCGATCAGATGGATTTCCATGGCTTTTTGGGATGAATCAGATCGAGATCTTGGATACGTTGGATGAATTCCCAGGTGGATTTGTTTATGGTATAAATATGGGGGAAAATACATAGAATCTACAGGAAATCTACAGGAAATCTACAGGAAACCATAGAATTCACATATTTCAATAGTTGGTTTGAAAATCTACAGGAAACCATAGATTTTCCCATTAAATATGGGGGTTTCCGGTTAAAATTTTCCCGTGAAAACCAATCCATTGAATATTGGGAGAATCTATAGGGGATACTCTCTGGATATTTGTGACATAGCTATTGAAAACGGGCCAGTCGAAATAGTGGATTTACCCATTGCAAATGGAGATTTTCCATAGTTATGTTAGTTTACCAGAGGGTATGTATAATTGATTTTGTTACTTTTTTGGGGGTTCTTAAGAAAATCCATAAAATGAGTGTGGTCCTGTGTGGTGCAATGATGTGCAGTTTCTTAACTCCGGAGAACCCCTCGGGATGTTCAGTGGGTAGGAATCAACCAGGCTTCGTAAAGAAAACGGGTTAACATTGGTGTTTTTGTTGGCTGTGTGCTGTATACAATTCCTCAACTATATGTTTAACTAATGTTCGTTTGGTCAATCTTAGATGGGTAGAAACTAATCCGAACTAGTCTTTTGCTATGGGATTATCAATGGATTATCTAGGTTCACCAGTTAAGAATTTGTTGAACATTGTAGTAGCTAGGGTATCAAAAATATCAAAGATTGGCCATGTTGGCCATGTCTTTCTTTTTTTCGCTGCACTACATCAAGTGCTTGCCCTCAGAATCATGGCATAAGTTTTCGCTAGTCCTGGAGGGTCAACTTGGTGCATCCCAGTTTGTAAATGGCTCATACTCCCAGCTATATAGATACATGATACATATATATATACACATAGAATTATACTATGGGATGAACTAGAAGCTCTATATATACAGTATATACATGGATGAAATAAACCACGGATCCAAAGTGGGGCAGCCGTGCCTTTCTAAGGTCGCCCTGTGCGAGCCACATCGGCATGTCGCGAGCTCGGACACGGAGTTCACCTCAGCATGGTTTGGCTTTCGGAAAGAGTTAGGCAATGTTAAGCAGAGAACATGAACCAACAGGATATATATATATAATTTTATATATACATTTATGTACATATATAATCATATATATATGATTATATGTATATATATATATAATACAAAATCTGAAAATAGAATCTATCCTCATTCCAAGATGTTTTTCTCCATATGTTTCTCAAGGGAACTGAAGCTCCCTGGAACGTCGAGGCCATGGCAAGAGGATTCCAAGGAAGCCGCCATGGAATTTGCCAATCGTGGTATGTGCCGACGACATGCCAACTGCTGTGGGTTGTCATTGACCGATGTTCTTTTTTTTTTTCGGAAACAAATATAGAGGCTGGTTGAAAGTTCCAGTTACACCGCTTTAAAAAAATAGCATTGACGCATATATTGGTGGTTTGGAACTGATTGGTGGTTTGGAACATGATTTTTATTTTTCCATTCAGTTGGGGACATTTCATCATCCCAACTGACGCACTCACTCACTCCATCATTTTTTCCAGAGGTCAACCAACAAGCAGGTCATTAATAAGCATACACCATATCTATTGATTATTATATAACCATATTATCCCATTAATATCCCATACATTTCCAGAGGGGTTGGGGTCAAGCACCAGTCGTTATGACTTGCGTCGAGTCGATGTTTCTCTGTGATGTCTGGAAGGTGAAGGCCGCGGAGAATATGTGTAATATAGGATATAACATATAATATACATATATATATATACACGATAATATATATATATACACAATAATATATCTAAAATATAATATATATATATATTATATATATATATATATATTCAATATATATATATATATATACAGGAAACGACAGAATTATGGAAAAACAAAACCGTTTCAATTTACAGGCGCCGCCTGTCTATGATAGAAAAGTTACGAACCTTTTTTTTTTTCCATAATTATTTTTTCCATAATTATTTTTTTTCCATAATTCTGTCGGTGAGTGACTGTATGTCCATCGATTCGCAATTTGAATGCATTTTAAGGGGGAATATTGAATTATAGAAAATATGTGTCTAAAGATCTGGTATATGCCCCTAAGTCTTCCATAGTGGTACCAACAAAGGAAAAACAATTGCACCACCAAAACTCATTGTTGTACGTACATACATATGCGGGATGTATCCTTTTGCCAAGCCACCAATTGGGTTGATACTACATACTTGCATTTGCATACATATTTCCATAACCCCCAAAAAAAAGGGTTTGAATTGTGGATCCATGACATGTCCAACAGGTGGAGCCCCAAACATTAATTATGGAAAAAATAATTATGGATGGAAAAAATAATTATGGAAAAACCGGTCAATCTGCCCTAGCCCCCTGATTTTACAGGAAAAATCAATTATGGAAATAATGGCCACCTCCAAGAATTATGGAAAAAAAAAGGTTCGGATCACTTCCGGGATATTTTGAACCCTTATGGGGAAAAACCTAATTATGGAAAAATCGGACGCAGGCGCCGCCTGTCTAAGTTGAACGTTTTTTTTTTCCATAATTCTGTCGGTGACCATATATATAAGTAAGTAAAATGGAGTCTCCAATAATCTTCCCCAATGTCAAAAACTGTCCGCTTGTTGTAAGAAGAACCACAGAAGTGTGGTGCAGAAGGATCTCAGATTGAAGTTCTTCCCTTGCTGCTGATGGCTTAGAACCAAGGTTCCACGACATTTTCTCAAGAGAAAAGACATATCAAAAAATGGTTTGAAGTCAGATTCTTTCATATTCTTTTATGCGTCACTTGCCACACCAAGAGCAATATATCCATAATTTTGCATAGTGTCGATGTCTGAAGCTGTTTTATACTGATTTTAAACAGAGTTTGCATATGCAGAGACGCAATGGGCGAAATTAGCGATACCCCTAGCGGTACCTTAGCGATACCAACTTGGTCAAAAGGCAGCCCCGACCACAGATAGACGATATTCCCTCTCTTCCTTTCCTCTTCATTTCCTCTTCCTTTCCTTACACCGATCATTCATTTCAGCTGGTGGCCCAGGAAATGAAGTCGGAAAGCAAAAAACAAAACCAACAACCGAGTTTTGGCGTTCACTCAAGTTGACCAGCTTGGCTGCCGTGCACATATTGTGCATTCCATTTGCTGCGATGTGTTCCTCCATCATTTTCACAAGTACAAAACATAACAAAATTATGTGTAGCGAGCCCTTCAACTTACTTTTGAGCAAGGCAAAGACAATGAGTTTTGTCGGCGACGCAGTCAAGGCCCAATCAAAGAGGATAACCCATCACAACAAAACCGCACCTTGGTTGGCTTTTCTATGATTTCACTGGCCTCGATCAGGTATCCAGGTAAGTCCAGCAAATCCCTGCCATTTTGGGGGACGAGACCCCTCAGATCATGGCAGGAGCTTTAGCCTGCACAGTGTTGATTTAATTGATTCAATCCCTTCTTCGTTGTGGCAGGTACGGTATTGAGGTGGTGGGTGCCATTTTCTTGGCACATTTTTTGCGGCTGAACACCTCTTTGACCACGTTCAACTTCAGGCGGAGTCCACATTGGGTATTTGGCGTGTTAGCTTCTGATAATCTCAGCCGGCAAATGGTAAATTCATGGATGTTTTTTTTTTGATTGCCAGGCTAGATATCCATGTGTGTTTGAAACCAATGTTGGATCAGAATGATTGAGGAAAGCAACTCGAAGCAACACGCCTTCTGGCCTTGTGTCTATCCTGGATCCACCATCCCTGGTTCGTTGTTGGGAGAAGATGGCCAAGATGGTATACGAGTGAGAAAATCAAGGGTCGAGATTAATGATTAATGATTAATGATTGTTGACTAATGATGAATTATTATTGATGATTATTGAATAATGTTTGTTGATTATTAGTTGATGATCAATGATGGTTGATTGGTTAATGATTTAATTAATATCAATACGGTATTAATGATTAATGAGTACTAATGGTTAATGAATGTTATATGATTTATGATATCTTTTGTACAGGGAATCTGCAAATCCGAAGAGCTCTTGGGTGATGGGTGGCCATGAGGGCCCCGTTTATGATAGATAAGTTGGTGACCATGACTCCAAGAAGTATGCTTTCTGAATGTTTCATATACACATGAATTCATATATATATACATATATCTAATTATATATATATATGTATATATACTATGCATATATACTGTATACACACATATATATATATATATATATATGATGTATAACCAACCAACAAACATCACAAGTTGGTGATGTACCCTACAAGAATCATCCGTAACAGAGCGCAGGCGCGCAGGCTTAGCCGTTCCGATCCGTTTCGATCCGTTCCGATCCGTGGGATCCTCCAGGTGTTTTTCAGCCAGTAAATTTAGAGCTTGATACTGAAAATTGGTGACTGGAACCATGGAATTTTATGACTTCCCCAGTTGGTGGTTTAGTATGGGACAATGATGGTTAAAGATGGTTAATAATGGTTAATAACATCTGGTTGGTGGTTTGGAACCATGAAACTTTATGACTTTCCATTCAGTTGGGAATGTCATCATCCCAACTGACTATTTTTTTTTGGAGGGGTTGAAACCACCAACCAGCATATATTATATATACATATTATTATGTATATAGTCCGAATTGATATGTTGATCCTGGAAAATTTTACCCATTGATCCTTAAAATTTTGTCCGTTGATGTCAGTCCAAATTGTTGGAAAGTCATCTTCCAATCCCAAAGTCATGGCGTCACAGCCCGAGCGGCCGTAGGCTGAACCATGTGGAGAAGGATGGTGCCAAGGCGGGGCGTGCAGATGCGTGCAGCCAAGAAGAATCGTTTTTTTGGATGTGCCATAAACAGATGAATTACCCCAGATATCCAGAAGATCAGCTTATAAACCACAAACAGATTCCACCTACGATTTCTGGCTCCACATCCCATGAAAAACATCGTGAGCAACGCTGCAGCGAGGATTTTCTACCGCATCCACTGCACCACAACGGGGTGACTCAATGGTCGAATCCGTACTGGATGATAACTCCCGCAGCCTTGGACAGCCTATATATTCATCATATGTTGATTTAGAAATTAATCCGAGTATATCCAAGATTTATCCAAGTACTCGTATATCTATATCCAGTATGAAAGAATTCCGTTTTTGCTAGTTACCCTCTGGTTATTTAACATAGCCATGGGAAATGGCCCATAGAAATAGATGGTTTACCTATTAAAAATTGTGATTTTCCATGGCTACGTTAAATAACCAGAGGGTATATCTCATGTCATATCCCATGAAAACAGCAGAGTATGCCAGGCCTTAGCACAAAGTTTGCTGGGCAACGCGCAGACAGTCTTGCAGACGGTGGGGAACCCAACACATCATGGGCTATGCGCCGCAACTGCACTGGTAACAGCATTGGCAAAGGAGCCTTTTAGCATCTTGTAGCCACAAACATGCGTTTGTGTGGGTTGACCACATGGCAGTGGCAGTCCGCTTTCTTGCATTACTCAAACATTGATTTCTCAGGTGCCTATGTTTTCTTAGTTTTATCCGAACTATTGCGTCTTGTGCATGTGTATATTATAATATACACTATTATTCATCAGTGTCGTTTTTCTGGTTATCCAATTACATAATATGTAATTATCATATATATATAATATATATATATATAGATTACTGGCATCTATGCAACCCAAAGGTCTTATGAAGTATATATTGGTTGGTGGTTTGGAACCATGGAATTTTATGTTTCCATATATTGGGATTTTCATCATCCCAACTGACTTTCATATTTTTTACAGGGGTAGGTCAACCACCAACCAGATATGGTTCGTGTGAAAATAGAGCACCACCAGATTTTTTACGGTTCCGCATTAAATTGTCCTCGTAAAATTGCCATTTGTTGATGTGGATCCCATGTTCAAAGCTCACTATCCCCATTCAAGCTCCCATGATCTCCCATGATCATTATTAATCTCCCTCTTTCATGGGGGAATATCCCATGATCAAACCTACAATAAATATCAAATTGATATATCGGGTAGGTCACCAACCAGCCAATTTTTTTTAAACACATGTTCTGCACTGAAATCATCTGAAATCCCATTCGAATCACCATTCGAATCACCATCAGATTGTTGATCATATCATCAGATCTCCCCGTTGGATTTCTCGGGGGACCGGGTAGCCAAATGTATAAACCATGTTAGCCATCTACCCCAAAAAACTACCATTTGGGTACCATGATACTTATGGGTACCCAATAACTATAGTTACATCATGTTATATCTACCATAAACATCCATAAACCATATAGAATTCAACCACTTCTCTTCAAAAACTGAACGCGAAATCGAACGGGGGCCCCATTCTGTACCAATCTTCACACCGACAGAGGTAGACCATTTGTAATTGGACCGATGCTTGGAAGCTGTAGACCTCCAACTGTGGGACAAATACGACGGGCCCGCAATAAACTAACTATGGCGAAGTGGAAAATCAACATGGTTCATTTCATTGCTATATTATAAATCATAAGATATCTATATATTAACTACAAATGGACATGTTCAAAAAAACTATGTGAATAGTTACCAGATGGTATTACCGGTAAGTCGTTGCTACGTCCTTGAACTGTGAAACACAGTTCTCAACGTCGCACAGGTCAACACTATGGGTCCGACTAAGATGAAGTGACCTGGTGATGGGACATGGGGCATGGGGCTGTGAGATTCAAAAAATATATGGTCAATATGGTTTTGGGGTGTTTTTGGAGAGAGTTAGAGAGTTGGTTTGTTGATGATTTCACTGTTCAATATATAAATATATATGTTGTTGTTTTTTTTTTTCCAGTCCTCTTTGGAGGTTGGTGATTTCCAAAAAAAATCCCAGAATCCTTGATGTTCAAGCCTTTTTTTTTGATTGATCATGCGACTCGACGAGCAGAAATCAGATGGTCTCAATGCTAAATCTGGGATATCTCTTGGGATGGACCGGTAAAGCAAAAAAAAGGCACTGACTTTTGCCAGTTCAACTTGTTGCAAATTGCGTTGTTCAGCAAACATCCTGTGGCGATTCCGGCAAGATATATGACCTCTTCTTCGTGTTTGTTTCTGTCCGTAGTTCCAGCTTAACTGTACCAAAGGTCCAAAGGTAAGCCATGGTAAACCCTGGTTATGTTGCCCGATGGACTATATAACTTGTGTTTGCCCAAACTGATCATATAAATTGAGGAACATATCGTGTTCATGACAAAAACAAGCATTTTCCAACACATTCCCACGTATACGTCCAAGAAATTTTGCCTTTGTTCAACATTTTCCCATATATGTTCCCATAATATGTCTATGCCAACACACATTTGCCTGTTTCATCAAATTCCCATAATAATATATCATCATATATCTATCATTTCATATCTCATATTGCCTACATATTCCCATCATATATTTACAAACAAATCTCATATTTACTGCGTTTTTTTCCAGGCGTTTTCCGCGACTGATTTGCTGAGGCCGGGTATTGACTTTGGCCACTTTAAGACCGGCCACTTGTGCCTGGGACGATTTGAGCAAAGGGAGATCGCTGTGAAAATACGAATTGTACTGGGTAGGATTTTTTTTTTTTAAATTCACACTATATATATATATATATATATTTATTTATATTTATGTACACTACCCAATGATATATACGTAGTAATATATATATATATGCATAATAGCTAAACATATAGCTATTATGTATTTATATATATAGGTGTATATATATATATATATGTATTTGTGGTTGCTTCTTGCTCTTAGAGGATACCCTTTATGTATATATATATATATATATATACATATGTACACATTACTGGGTAGTGATAATGATAAAGTATAATATATATTATGTAATGATAGGTTTAGCAAAGATGTTATCTTGAATTGGAGTGTTGTCGCACTTGGTGTTTTCACAAACACCACCCGGGTAAAGCCACAAAAAAATCACGGAGTATGGCCGTTGTGTCCTGGAGAAGTTGGCTGATGACTTGGCTCCATCTAATTCAGCTAATTAGTCAGCTCGATCTCAGCTAGACTTAGACCATGTGAGATTTGGATGACTACTTTCCCGGAAATCAATTGTAATGATGCAGAACATAAATCATGTATCATTGAATGATAGACATGAATCATTGAAATGCTGTGAAATGCATCTTAGTTTCATGTTCTGTCATCAGGTTTGACATGCAGTGTCAGAAGCATCTTTGTGGGAGCTCCGCAAGAAGATGGCCATAACAGGTTTCTCGAAGAAACGCAAGAAAACATGGCACTTGCCATGTGGTAATCTAGTATGACTTATGATAGAAACACATCAAAACACAAATTTCTATCACTCGATGTGTTTCTTTTTTTCCCATAGATTTCTAGATTTCTCGACGGTTGTGCCATGGCTTTGCCAGCAAAAACCATACGGGGTTCTTCAACCGGTACCCCGACAGGACCACGGTCGATCTCTCGAAGCGTGGCTTGGATGACGACGATTTCGTTTTCTTAGAGGACGCTGAGACCATCCTTTTCCATCCTTTTCCATCGAACGTGGCGAGGTAATGTGAGGTAATGTGAGATAATGTGTGGTTAGTTTAGCCACTTCAATGGGAGAAGCCGTTGCCGTTAGTAAAATGCCACGAAAGCCACTTCAAAGAGGGATCGAATTTCAGGGAGAAACGGCGAAAAACGCGGGTGATTGTTTGACCGATCTGTGAGATGATCCTCCGATATTGGGTAATTTAACATGATAAGCTCGAGAATGTCCAACTGTCAATGAGAAAACATGGAACAAACAATGACAACAACACCTGTAAATTGAGTGATATATGGCTGGTGTATAACACCTATCTGGTGGTTTCATTTTTTTATTTTCCATAATATATGGGATAATGCTTCCCTTTGACTCATATTTTTCAAGATGGTTAAAACCACCCACCAGATAAATTAAGTTATTTATGGCTGGTGTATCTGGAATCATCACCACCTGCTAAACTCAACGCCGCTTTTATCATGATTGTTAATAGGGGGTATTTTTGCTCCATGACCGAACCTTTCAGGATAAACGAAGAGTTTCCTTCCAAGTACAAAGTTGGTCTGGATTTGAAAGATGGGCAGCCAGCTGGAAGGTTCCATTTTGTGAAAGTGTTGCGTGGTCTTATTGTTTTCAATCGTGTTTATTGGATTTGGATGGAACATGTTTGAAGCATTACGGTTGGATTTAGGTCCTAAATCTTGGTATAACGATGAAATGATAGAAACTGACCAACATGTTTCCTCTAGATGTTGACCCATTCCAATAATATCTCGTGTGGTCCCGACATTTCTGTTGGGCGCTTTGTCATCATGGTCGGATGTGCGGCCTCCCAAATTCCTGAACTATCATTTACTGGATAAATATATCTGGAGGTTTCCATTACATGGATTTACCCCCAGTTCTCATCCATGTGATTTTCTGGATGGTCCATGAAATAAACATAAATCTAGCGATAAAGGGGTACCCCCCATGGAAGGGCGTCGCCTCCGACTTCAGCGACTCCTAAAAAACTCATGAGATTCGAGCAAAAGAGGGACAATGTTTTACCGAAATCGGCTTTGTCTGTGGCTTTGTGGCTACAAATCGCTTGTGTTCAAAAATCCCCTGATGAATTCAAACATGTCCCTTAAAAAAAAATTGTCCGTTGATGGATTAAATCCACCATAGGACCAGGACACACCTAAATCATACTATTGTTTGACAAAAATCTCAGTGTATCCCCATTGAAATCCTACCTTGGGTCTAGAACTTGTATTGCATACCCAGTACATTCCCATTTGTTGTCCCTATTGTTGATGGTTAACCCGATCGCCATGATCTTTAGACATCATCCTGACTGCAAGACTACTTAAGCATACTTAAGCTAAGTGCAGATTGGAGAAAATTTGGAATCTTTTTTGTGGTAAACCCAACAAGAAACCATTTCTAATTTTGGTTGATTTTATTGGATGTACCCTCTGGTAAACGTTTACATCACGAACTGGAAAGTCACCATTTTAGAGCTGGGTAAATCCACTATTTTCAATAGCAAACTGTCACAACGGGTTGAGCGCTTCACCGCCCGCTGGCGAGAGGAATGGCTTCGAAGATACGACTGTGTCGGGGGTCCAAGTCTAAAATTCGGGGGTCTATATAGTTCTGATAGCTATAAAATCCTATAAATCACGGGACCAAAACACAATTTGTGATGTTCTTTTCCTTGTACCTCCGACAAAGAATATAGGGTGCCTCGTCTCGGTGAATTGTGTCATTAGGAGAGTCAAACAGAATCAATGTCGTGGGTCCATGGCCCAAATTCTACCATTCGCTAGGGAAAATGGATGAAAATGGCCCATTTATAGATGTACCACGATTTACCCAATGAAAAATATAGGGATTTTCCCAGCCCAAGGGTCATGGCTTCGCTCCCAAGGTGACTGACTTGAACATCTCATGGAATTTTATGTCTAGAGATGGGATCCGAAAGCTGACGCGGCATATCAAGGACGCGCCGTCCCGGTAAGGCTTGGTTCAGCGTTCATGCTGAAGAAATGCTGATGTTGTATTGTACAAGTGTGTTTGGGTGCTGAAGTTTTGGATGATTGGATGCAGATATGCCCATGATGATATGTTGAATCTATATAAGACCAAGAACATGATGTGTGTCATTATACTTAATTGTATACACAAAAAAGTCTACATATTCATGAATCTGGTTAGATGTGCACCAGATAAGCGGGGTTCTTTTTCGAATGGGAGATCCCCAAATCCTCCCAGGTTACAAGACTAAACTGGTCGAATTTCGGATGATTTGGTGGCATGATCATTTTAGGAAACCTCCATATATATAATATGATATTTAATATATATATATATATATTTTAATATGTATGTATGTATGTATGTATGTATGTATGTATGTACGTACGTACGTATGTATGTATGTAATGTATGTAATGTATGTATGTATGTATGTATGTATGTATGTATGTATGTATGTATGTATGTATGTATGTACATGTGTATGTATGTATGTGTATGTAGTGTATGTATGTATGGATGTATGTATGTATGTATGTATGTATGTATGTAGTGTATTTATGTATGTACTATGTATGTATGTATGTATGTATGTAGTATGTATGTATGTATGTATGTATGTATGTATGTATGTATGTATGTATGTATGTATGTATGTATGTATGGTATGTATGTATGTATGTATGTATGTATGTATGTATGTATGTATGTATGTATGGTATGTATGTATTATGTTATGTCTGTTTAATGTCCTGTTTGTCCTGTGTTTCCTGTGTTTCCTGTCTGTCCTGTCTGTCCTCTCTGTCCTCTCTGTCCTCTCTGTCCTCTCTGTCCTCTCTGTCTTGGCTGTCCTGTCTGTCCTGTCTGTCCTGTCTGTCCTGTCTGTCCTGTCTGTCCTGTCTGTCCTGTCCTGTCCTGTCTGTCCTGTCTGTCCTGTCTGTCCTGTCTGTCCTGTCTGTCCTGTGTTTCCTGTCTGTCCTGTCTGTCCTGTCTGTCCTCTCTGTCCTCTCTGTCCTCTCTGTCCTGTCTGTCCTGTCTGTCCTGTCTGTCCTGTCTGTCCTGTCTGTCCTGTCTGTCCTGTCTGTCCTGTCTGTCCTGTCTGTCCTGTCCTGTCTGTCCTGTCCTGTCCGTCCTGTCCTGTCCGTCCTGTCCTGTCCTGTCCTGTCCTGTCCTGTCCTGTCCTGTCTGTCCTGTCCTGTCTGTCCTGTCCTGTCTGTCCTGTCCTGTCCTGTCCTGTCTGTCCTGTCCTGTCCTGTCTGTCTGTCCTGTCTGTCTGTCTGTCTGTCTGTCTTCTTTACTGTGGGATCTGTCGTCGTCCTCGTCTGTCTGTCCTGTCCTGTCCTGTCCCTAGTCTTTCCTGTCCTGTCCTGTCCCTGTCTGTGTTAAGTCTGTATTTATGTATGTATGTATGTATGTATGTATGTATGTATGTATATATGTATATATGTATATATGTGTATCTATATATACACATGTATGTAATTGTTTTACAGATACATACATGTACATAAATGTGCACATGCTGCACATGTGTTTTGTTTGTACATGCAGCATGCATGTCTTGTTCAGATCCTGAGTTTGCTGGCAAGGCAGGCAGAGAAGGGTGGAGGAAAGTTAACTGCAGAAACATAATTATTATTCCATCATTATAGGCTGATTTGTATACATTCCATTGTTCCAACACAATAGAACCATATTACTGATGGGCCATTACATTGTTATTTGATGTCAGATTAGTCCATCAATATATATATATATATATATACCGGTTGGTGGTTTGGAACATTTTTCCCATAATATATGGGATAATCCTTCCCAGTGACTAATATTTTTCAAGATGGTAAGAACCACCAATTAGTACATATATGTATATATATATATATATGTACATGATTATATCATGTTAGATGGGTAGAAATGGGTTATTTTGGATATAGTCCATGATGCTGAGGATGATGATAATAATTTGTCGCCCACATCGCATGGGCTCCACCACTGGCGCCAGTTTCAAAAGGCTGCTCTGGGTAAACCGGCGTCAAGTTTAGCTAAGTCCTCTCATCTGTTGCTATCAATATATTACCCTCCAGTAAATGAACAGTTCGACCCTGTCAGATAGTGGTTGGAAGATGAGTTTCGACCAAAAATGGGTGATAAAATCAGGGTCTACTTTAATTTACCAAGGGGTATATTATAACATATTTGCATATTGATATTGGATATTTTCTCACCAGCTCCACAACAAGAAAATGCGGTTGGAATTTACCATGGAACGTCCGCAGGAGTCGAAGGTCTTGACAAAGCTCAATTGTGCCACGCTCAGCGAGGGCAAAAAAAATGTGGCTTGAATTTCAACGACAAATGGGACAACGCCAGAATGGATGCTTTATCATGGAAAATCTTATATAATGGATGAATTGGGGGTACCCCCATTTTACAGATATGGCCCAACTAATAGTTATAAATGGAATTATAAGTTCTATAAATATAGGGTTATTTATCATTACAAACCCATTTATAGCTGTTAGTTGGGCCATAACTGTAGTTTCATTATCAGGTTTCCCACATTAATCACCATCGATGGTCTTTTTCAAGCCTTTTTCATATGTGTATCATGATGATTTATGATGTATTCGCATGGGGTGGCTCAAAATTTCGCGACCCATATGAGCTCACTATTGTGATATGTAAAAAAATCAAATCATGCGACCCGGGTCGCCATGTGGTGCGAAGCGGGAAGTTCGGTTCCCTAAGCACTCTGGTTTGGGATTGATTCAAAAGATTTGGACGACTGTTGTCAATTTCGCGCGACGCGCGTAGGCTATTCCAGTCAGCAAGTACGATATCGGACAACATTTCTTTCGATTTTTGTTACGTCTTTTCTTATTCGTACTTCTTCTTACTTATTATAGTTTTTTTGTCTTCTTCTTTTTTCCTTTTTGTTTTTCTTTTCTTTTTCTTCTTATTTTTTTCATTTTATTCCTGTTCTTCTTCTTTTGCTTCTTCTTTCTCTTTTTCTTCTTCTTCTTCTTCTTCTTGTGTTTCTTCACGTCGTGGCTCTAACCCCTATAGGCCCTATACATATTATTCGGCATACCTCTATTTGGGATTATCTTTATTGTGACCCCCAGTCATGGATGGTGAATGGGATGGTTTATGGCATTGGCTTTACCGCATTGAGTCCATTCTCTGCTCATTATTTTCACTGCATATATATATATATATATAACACCAATAATTGACCATATTTACGATATTGAGGTGTTTAATACATCCAATGATTTAATCTAATTTGCTTATAGTCTGGCAATAGTCTGGATTTCCAACATATGTGGAAACTAATTACTTTGAAATTGGACCCAAGTACCTTGAATGTTACATATCTGGTTGGTGGTTTGGAACATGAATTTTATGTTTCCATATTTTTCCATATGTTGGGAATTTCATCATCCCAACTGACTAGCATACTTTTCAGAGGGGTAGGTCAACCACCAACCAGATAATCAAATCCCACTAGCTTCCCGTTTTGTGCCCATTTGATCCTTAACATCCACAATATGTCATATCCCCCATGATACCTTAACATCCCAATATGCTATTTCTGCAAATCAGATATGATTAACCATCCACCATATCTATTGATTATTAACCATATTATCCCATAATTATATCCCATATTATTAGCTATTTCTGAAAATCACCACTCTCCGTCGGTTTTCGTCCCATTGGTCTCGTCATGGACCAGGTGTTGGTCTCCCCGTGACCTTGGAGGCGAGGTGTGACTGGTCTGCGTACCAGTGGTACTTCCGAAGCAAATATCTTGGATCCATAGGGAAAAACATATTATGAAAATATTTTATATATATAATGAATATATATATATATATATATGATATATCATAATATATCTATAATAATAATGATAATAATAATAACAGTAATAATACTAATATATAATAATAATAATATATATATGTATATAATATGGATGAAGTACCTATCAATAATATATTATCGTTATAATTCATAATGGATCAACTATCCCATTTATCGTTTGTATTGATCTACAAACCAATCCAGTTATCCATTTAATGGGATGTATAATTTGTTGGTGGATATGTGAATCATTTATTTGTATAATGGTTTATAGCCTATTATCTGATTATATAAATGAATATATATATATATATATATATATAATTATATTATCTGATTATATATAATTATTATTTATAGCATATATATATATATATAAATGGGATAATATAATGCTATGAATTATCTGATTCTTGGAGGGATGACATAAGTCCCAGCCATGACTCGATGCGTTGAGTCAGGGGCTCCCCAATTGACAATCCAGAACATCCATGAACATCCCATATCCATAGATTCCTATCTTTCATATGTTTCATGGCCGAGTAGCTCTTTTAAGTTTTTTTTGTTTCAGAAAGGATATTTTAGGAGAATAATGTGGTTAAAACAATGTTATTTTATTCATCCCCCAGTTATCACCATATTTGTAGGTGGTATCTAGTATCAACCATTCCCAGTCATGGCTGGTTTATGACATTGTTTTAACCACATTATTCCAATTATAAAACCACTATTATATAACCACTAGTAACCACTATTAACCATCATTAACCACCAATTAGCCACCATTAACCGCCATTAACCATCATTAATTAACCATCATTAACCATCATTAACCACCAATTAGGCACCATTAACCACCATTAACCACCAATTAACCACCAATTAACCACCAATTAACCACTATTAACCATTATCAGTTTCAATATCAGTTGACCAGGGATGTGTTCCACTTGATCCCTTGATCCGCCAGGGCTCGTCGCTGCTGGCGCGTGCGGTCGTGGAAAATCACACCCTGCGTCAAGTGGCGTGCGAAGTCCCAGCAGAGAAGGCTCCATTTCTGGTACCCTCTGGTAAACATACAAAAAACTATTGAAAATGGCCATAGAAATAGTGGATTTACCCATTAAAAATGGTGATTTTCCATAGTTATGTTAGTTTACCAGAGGGTATGTTGATAATATTTCTAGTACTACTGGTCTACTGTATGTAAAAAAATAAAATAATCCATATTAATCCCTATTACTAGACCTTAATGGGCTATCATAATCTGGTTGGTGGTTTGGAACATTTTTTATTTTCCATGATATATGGGATAATCCTTCCCATTGGCTTTCATATGTTTCAAGATGGTTAAAACCACCAACTAGATTTGATGGATCTTCGTCGACACTCCAAGCAAGGTGCCATCATTTTTTTACCAGATGTTGTCAGATTTTATCGGATCAAATTCTTGTCAAGTCAACTTTTATATATATTTTCCTCTGGTAAAACATAGAAACAACTATGGAACATCACCGTTTTTCGTGGGTACCCTCTGGTTATGTCAAAATAGCTATTGAAAATTGCCCAGTCGAAATAGTGGATTGTCCCATTGAAAATGGTGGATCTTTCCATAGTTTTATGTTAGTTTACCAGGCCGGGTAAATCAACTGCTATGGATCGACTGGAAGCCATGGCTTCATGGCTTCGCTAAAACTGATTTACGTGCAGATCTTGGGAGACACAGATGACATGAACCGCACGCTAGGCCGCACGGTGCGGTGGTGCCCTGGTTTGGAAAAATGTTCAGTTGTACGTGCCTCCAATGAAACATCGTTTTTTTTTTTAATGGTAGATATTAATCATGATATCTCCAGAATTTTTATTTTGGACAATTGATGAAAATATTGCTGGGTTCAATGGCAAGCATAACTTGGGCCACCCCCCGTTAAGCAGCGTGCGTTGAGGTTGCCCTTGGGACACTGCCACGACACCACGGAGAGACAGCAGGTGTGTTCCAAGATGTTCCAAGTGACCTGTCGCTCCACAGGAAGGTGTCCCAATGAAGTTGGAAATGACCCATGATTTTGACATACTTTAGGGCATATTAATATTGTTTTTTTCAAAGGTATAACTTGATTGATTTGCTGGATATCATTGATATAATACATACTCTCCAGTAAATTAACCCTTTGACCCTGAAAAGAAGCCTACGTTTTAGTGGAAACTCATCTGCCAGGCTCATTTTTTTTCGTACGGCCCATGTTAATTGGATCATAATGAAAAACTAGCCATGGTTATTTAACATAGCCATGGAAGCCATGGCCCATAGAAATAGAGGGTTTACCGAACTTAAAAATGGGTGGATCTTTCTATGGCGAACTGTTAAATAACCAGATGGTACATAAATATGTTGGTTCTTTATAGTTTATGTTGGATGGTGAAAAAAGAGGTTCGTGAGATGACCCAAAAAATAGACACACGGTGATCAGACCGCCCTTCATCCATACCCATGTCATTGGACCCCAAATCATCCAAGGTCATCAGACCCTTTTATTATTACCCTCCAGTAAATTAACATACATAGACCCTGCTTCCACTATAAATTGGTCATTTTCAGGGTCTATGACAATTTACCAGAGGGTATTATTGAAACCGATGGTTTTTGGGTCATTAGGAAACTCGAAGACCAACAAAATCATGTCATATCATCATATCCGTTTTTTTTCACCAACAAAATGGCATTAACCATGATTAAACCCAATATCGGGGGCTCTAACCTTGGATACCCCTGGGGGGGATGAGCATCCACCAGGTCCCCGAGGAAACAGATTTCTTCACTTCTAATATTGGATGAATGGAAACACGATTTCGGGCCCCAGAAAATATATTGATTTTCCAAGGTAAATTCAAATCCGAGCTTGACATTGATTGAAGTGCACGTGTAGGCGGTTTGAGCATTCCATTCGCCGATTTGAGCACGATCCTATTGTCCTTCCAGCACCAAACCTTTGTACTTTTGCGTTTCCGCGCTCTTGCGCGGACCCATCTGGGTTTGTTTGCGAATCAATAGGGTGGCCCAAAATATTGATAGTTGATCAAGATATGGGTTTGTCTGAAAATAGTGTACCCCTACACCCAATGGTTAGTGATCATTATCCCTATTAAATGGCTATTTCATTGGGAATATACCCCATTTTTAGACAAACCCATATCTTACGGCAGTTTTTGGGGTATCCATGGGTATTCCCCCCATTTTTAGGCACTAAAAGCAGGCCATGAATTCTGCCACCGATCCCTGGCAGATGATTCAGCAGTTCGGAATGGGCTTGGCCAGCCACCCCACGCTGCAAAGCTTCGCGTGCACGCGGACGCCCAACTTGGAATATGTCTGGAAAGCCCAGGGATTGTCGATGGAGAATCATAGGGGATGATATGAAATACTGGTTGGTGGTGACTGGAACCATGGAATTTTATGACTTTCCATAATATATGGGAAAATAACTATAACTCTTGTAAACTAACCAACATAACTATAACTCATCATTATTATTTCATATTAATTAATATGATAAACAATCATGATATGAAATACCCTCTGGTAAACTAACATAACTATGGAAAGATCCACCAATTTTAATGGAAAAATAACTATACATGGCTATTTTCAATAGCTATGTTAAATTACCAGAGGGTAAGATGTTCTATTTGTTCACAGTTCATTAGTTCATTTTGAATTATATGAATCAAATATGATGAATATTTGAATCGAATCAATTTGTTATATGAATATTTGCTCATATAGATTCACATAATATGAACTGAATATGTGTTCTATATATTCTAGTTTGTTATATGGCTATGGATCAATACCTATTAATACCATTTTTAGTGGGTTATTCACATCCATAAATCCCAGCTATTTTGATGTGAACTACAGGGGTACTATTGGTTTTGACCCATTCCCATATCTTCCTGTATAACTATGGAAAATCACCATTTTTTATGGGAAAATCCACTATAAATCACCATTCTCAATAGCTATGTTAAATCACAAGGTTTTGACACACTGCCATATGAATCAAATATGATGAATCGCTGTCGCAGCTCGAGCAGTCGACTCCCAGATTTGCTGCCGGATCTGAGGCCGGTCTCAATGACGTCAGAGAGAACAAGGCGCAGTGTGTTTTTTTTGATCACCATGAAATCACCATTAATTCACCATTAATCTGGATCAATCATAGTGAATCATAATTAGTCAATCATCCAAATCCCTATTAAAACCCTATTAATCTGGATTAATCACTATTCATCATAACCCATAGGATCCATGTATGGTATATATATATATATATACTAGTATGTATATATGCTAACATTGGGGGTATATTGATGGTAAATGTTAGCATATATACCAGCACCATGGATCGTATGGGAAGTGTCATGTTCACCGTGTTCACACCCAAAAAGAAAGAACAAGTAACGTAAGATATCCCACTAAAATGATCTAAAATGGAGGTGTCCAACAAAAGTCATGGGGGTACTGGTAATTACCAGTTCTCATCCATGGTTATTTTCGGATTTTCCATGAAATAAACCATCCAACGTGAAGGGGTACCACCATACTGTTGACCCAGGATTTATGAAATAAGCCGTGGAAAACCACCAGTTTAATTGGTCGGGTACCATTACCCATAGGATCCATGTATGGTATATACGCTAACATTGGGGGTATATTGATGGTAAATGTTACCATATATAGCATACATGGATCCTATGGGTTATAGCATATAATTACCACTATTTCCAGGGAAGCCTGCCATTTCAAGCAGAATTTATGAATCCGGGTTGACAGTAGCCAGTCCATGGATACTCCATGCTATTTTTGCTGGCCTACAAGCAGACATGTCCAGCCTGCTGTGTTTGATCAATTGATCCAAAATGTCCAAATTTAGAGTGTTTTTTCGCGAACTTGACTTGGATTGTCTGGTGCTTTGAACAAATTTGGAGATCAGATGAACCTCTAAAAGGAAAACAAAAACGTATGTGTGCGCAATGTTCAGAAGTAGCATCACAATTGAGACGACTCTTTTGGGTGAAACATATTGGGATTATCCCAGAGGTTAGCTACCTCAGTTGCAGGATGAAACCAACCAATATACCCCAGTTCTGTTTGGAAACCAACCATGGATACCCTCACCATGGATACTGAATTCATCTTGTGCCAAATTTTAAATCATTGAACACTACTGAAAATGCATGGAAAGTAACGGTTACTAACGATTCAAACTAGTTCATTAGATTCAGGGTTGAACACGGATCCTGGATATCATGACTAGTTTGATTCTTATTATTTATATATATATACACATAACACGCTTACACTTCTTGGACGTGCGCCCCAGAAATCGAAATTGGGTAACATGATAACGAGTTAAATATTGAATGTCCCCAGTTATATAGATGGTTATCTAAAAATTATGGGAAAACCAATGAAACCACTAAATCCACTGCTCCTCATTTCCCCTCTGACATTGCCACTTGACTCATCCCCCATTTTCAGAGACAGCCACAATATCATGATTACTTGGATGCACATCCAATAATATCGCAATTACATGCAGTTACGTATATACAATTATCTCATATCATATCGCCATTCTGGCTAGTTAAGTAACCATTGTTCCTAATTCTTGATGGTGAAAAGATCTTGAAAGCACCGTTTCATGTCAACATGATGGTGGATTCTCCTCTAGTAATGAAAGATGGCCTGGAAAATCGTCAGCAATAGTTCGATGATTCATGATTTTCCCTGCTATAAACATCCATTTATAGATGATTTTCCCAGCTATAAACCCGCATTTACAGATGTTTTTCCCAGTGAACCTCCACTTGCAGGGTATTTCCCAGCCGCGCCGCTTGGCGCTTTGACAGATTCGAGCCTTCCCTCCGGAGCGCAGTGGCGGCTGGCCACGCACACAGGCGGGGCCCCGAGTGTTTGAGCGATGCAAAAAGGAATAGGTAATCCAACTGCTGTATATATAAATATATATGCAATTATATGATAATCATATATATTTATATTGTTTATATCTAAACCATATCATTTCCTAAAAGTCATATATATATATATATATTGGTTACATATATATATAATGCTGATATATATATATATATATATCTAGGAAATCCATATTGGCCCTCTTTGTATTACAAAAAATCTACATATGGAGGTTTCCTAAGTCATGGGGGGGTATCCAAAGTCACCATAGGTTTCAATACTAAGTCATGGTCATCCATGACTTGGATGATTTGGGGTATCCCCATTTTAGGTGTCCTATGTGCGTCAAATATATGATGTATAGATATGCATGGGATGAAACAGGAATATGTACTAGTTTTTATCGGATGAAACTATGCTTTCCCCATCAGATACAGGATGAAACTGGATGAACTAGGAATAGAGGGACCGGTGTCCTTCAAATTCGCTTGTGCCAATCCAATTTGAATCTTCCCATTGCTCGAACGTTCAAAATGACCTATAGCTCATATTTTTTAATCTTAATAAATACATAGTATAGCAGTATAGAAGTATAGACGATCTTATAAAAATAATCTTTATATGCTAGAATCATATGTTTCTGTATTCAAAGCCACTAATGTATAGTTATATCATTTTTGTGGCTGTGCAGAACCGTAAATCCCAGCGATTTTTGTTGAAGCCCCGGCTGAGGTGGCTGTGTACATGTGGTTTCTGGCGGCCACCAAGCCTGACTTGGAGAGGTGCGGAAGATCTGGATCTATGATTTAAGGTAGGAGATGTTAGAACAACATGTTAATAGATTTAATAGGTCTCTTTAAGATTATGGTGGCGCTATAGGTCCATACATTGATATCCAGTATGGGTCAAAATTCAAGCCTCAGGAGGGATCACAGATTTTAGGATTCATGTTTAATATTAAGCATCTAATTATTGGGGTACCCAATTTTGACCCATACCTATCTATGGTCAAAGTTATCATCGATCACGTTAGTCTGGGAGTGCTCCCTGGTGGGTCCGGAAAGTGCACCACACACTTTGAAACGAGAGGCCCCCCCCAAAGGGGAAACAAAATAGCGATATACAATTATATACCTAGAATTGTATTTATTTAAAAGTAATTCGAGTTGACTAAACAAAGATTAGGATCTTCAGAAATTCTATACATATATATATATATATATAAATGATTATATATATATATACTACATAATATAATCAATATACTGTGAATATATTTATATACACACTATAATATATATATAACATGCATTTGTTCGCTATGTCGTTTTCATGTTATTTTTGTGCCTTTGTGCATGGTTGGACTATTATTGAATTGACCTTTCGATATTGGTCAATATCCCCTAGCTGAGCTAGGTAGCACCATCCATGAATCGTTTTTCTGGTTACTCACCTTGTTGTGAAGTTCCCTAACTGAAGTTATCCTATTTTTAGTTGTGGTCTACAACCTGGTCTAACTGAAGTCTCCTAACTGGAATTGCAACTGGTTTTTAAATAGCTTTAAAACCATTTTAAACCCTGGTCTTCTCAAGTACCTAGTCGCTGGGGTTATCCCTTATCATAAGTTACCCTCACTTACTAGCCAGTTACGATTCGTTGGGTATTCAGAAATCATCAGAAATAGATCTGGGGTGAAATGCGCGTCTGTCTGAAAATGGTGGATAACCAAAAGTTGTCATTCTAATAGGAAATTTATGATAGACCATGACGTCTATGAGACATGGGAGTGCCCCATTTTCAGAGAAAAGCATATCTTGTGACGACATGATGATTGGCTACAGAAGCTGTCAGTAGAAACTGACTGACTGGGAACCAGACAAATTTATACAATTTTTGCAATGATTACACAACAAACCCTCCGGAGATCCAACATGGGTTGCTGGAAATTCCCGAAATTTCGATTCTTTTCCCACTAAAGTCACTAAAGCCTCCATTTTCTTCTGTTTTTTTCCCGAGATTTCGCCATGTTTCATGACACTTTTCACGGTAGATCCCCGGTTCTCGCCATGTTTCGTGTTCAACGGAGGGAGACACGGCATCCGCACGGCAGGTTGACCCTCGGGGGCAGCGGCAAACCGAAGGTCGACTACCCCAAAGAAGTTTGTCAAAGCCGAGGATCCCAGTGATCCCATGATGGGGAACGATTTTTTTTCGGATTCGAAGAGAAAGGTCGGCGTTTTTTTTGCTTGAATTTGGGTACCATTGAAGCATCAGATTAAAACAGATTATATATCAGATGATCACCATTTCAGGGGTACCTCCAGAATGAATATGAGTTCATCAGGGTTCATCCGGGGTTGACATTACAGAAGAATTGGTGAACCTGGCCATGATTCGGGAAGGCTATTTGTCTCTATTCATGGCTGATTCTTGGGATAGAGCTGGAGTTACTGCAAAAACGGATTTCGTATGAGGAATGCTACAGTATGCTACAGTATTAATGTGTTTGCCCAGATTCGTTTCATCCATGAGTGTTTGCTTTCTTGTTGTCAGTCATGGCTTTACTGTACCTGTTTTTACCTGTCTTTGCAGTCCCTGTGGAAAGTCATGGATTTTTTCTTTGCCAGACACGTGACTATCGTGACTGTGGGTCACCTGATAGTATATGGTGACTTATATGTTCATTCTGATCAAAAGTAATAGACATGAGTTGGTCTGAACAGGCCGTGTTTTTGCCGGGTGTACTTTTTTTTCCCCCCAACATGGCACTTGGTTTGATTTTTGGAAACTCAGACGATAAATCATGTTTTTTTTTTGAAGTACCCGGCCTGGTAAACATACAAAAAACTATGGAAAATCAGCATGTTTCATGGGTAAATCTACTATTTCGACTGGGCCATTTTCAACAGCAAACTGTTAGTTTACCAGAGGGTACTCAAAAATGTTCAGACAAACCCATAGCACGCGACCCATCCTCATGTCCTGCAATGCGCTGAACCGAGTTTCAAATTCCACCGAAAAAGAAGGGGAGCAGCCGTATATAGTTACAGTATGTTATAGTTATAGTAGTAAAGTCTATATGATTATATTAAACATTATTAAACTATATATCTATGATTCAAATATCGACATACCTTTGTTACCTATGTTACCTATATGTTATACCTGTCAGTTTTCCGCTGATCACCGAGTTCCCCAGGGCCCACTTTTAAAACCGCGGCGTCAAGGTGCGAACCCAGATCTGATCCCCGCAACGTTGGGCGTCTTGCACGACGCAGGCCATCGGCTGCAACAGGCGCGAAGACAGGGGCGGGGGAGGAGGAGCTGTGTTTGAAAGTTGGAGATGTATTACAACATGTATATATGATATGATGTATTATAATTAATATTATATGTATATACAATTATTATTATTACTATTATTATTATTATTTATTATGATTATTTTTATTTTTATATTTTTATTGTTATTATGATTATTATTATATATTATTATTTTTAGATATTATTAGTTTTATATATTATTATTATATATATATATTATATATATATTATATATAAATGTATTATTATATATATATATGTTATTATCATATATATATGTTATTATCATATATATATATATATAAATATATTATTATTATATATTATAAATATGTATTGTACATGTATATCCTTTCCATCTTATTTTTCGATTCCACCCTAGAAACACCAAGGTTTAGTAATGAATCTTGTCATGTTCAGGGCCCGGTCTGTTGGTTCCATCAAACCCGTGTCCTCTGCCATGTTACAACCTATGAAAATTCAGATCCAGCATGATCAAACCATATTCTACCCTCTGGTAAACATACAAAAAACTATGGAAAATCAACACTAAAAATAGTGGGTAAGTCAGCTATTTCGACTGGGCCATTTTCATTACTGTAGCTATGTCAGCTGAATTACCCACTAAAAATTACCATAGAAATAGCTACCAGAGGGTATCCCAGGTGTCGCCCCAAAAAATGGCTTTTCGCCAGGTGTCGATCGCACTACCTCTGCACTACGCTTCACGTGCCATGGAACTGCTGAGAGTATCTCAGCGCGGTTTGGCGGTGGAGATGAGAGATTTTCAACTGTTCAACGGATTGGTTTTCGGAAAATCTTCACCGGAAAGCATGGATTTTCGCATGAAAGATGGGGCGAAACCCTGTAAATGTTCCCTTGAACCCATTGAACTGTGGCCCAGGACTTGGTGGACATAACTAGGCAAACTCAGATGGGTTTATGGGGAATTAGTTGGGTTTATAAACCAGCTTTATTTATATCACTTGGGGGGCACGGACTTGTATGATCCATTGGTTCAACATCATGCAACTTTGGGATCTCTCTGTTGAGGTAAGAACCAGGGATATCAGGGTTCTCTATATGTCCTTTTTGTTGTTGATGGGTGGGGTATCATGATACTATACTATACTATACTATATTTATGATATTGCTATACAATGGATATCAGTTGGTTTATCCATGAAACGTTGGATATCAGTTTGGTGTTATAATTGCCATACAATGCACTACAAGAATCCCTAAGGCAATGTTTCTAGTCGTGCTGTTTAGACTTGTTGCATCTCCTATTTTTACATGGATTTTGACCGATAACTTATACACCATCGAATTTCACCACTAAAAATAGCGAATGCTATGGATTTAAGATGATTTAAGCAATAAAACCAAAAAGCAGAAGAAATCATTTTTTTAAACATGTTCCCTCCAACCCGGACGTTGCTCCACACCTCAAGAGAATCATCATCATCATCATCATCATCATCATCATCATCTTTCTGGTGCTTGATAGGGAATGGGAGAATGATCCAAAGAATCCAATCCATATCCTCAACTTATCTTCCTAAAGGGATCAACATTTGCCACACCCTCTGACTTTTATGTTGATGATAATAAGAACATGAACTTATCTTGTTGAGGGGTCAAAATCCGCCACCCCCTCTGACTACTACGTTGACAGGGATCATTACATCATATCTTCATAAAGGGATCAAAATTTGCCACCCCTCTGACTTATATGTTGATGATAATAAGAACATGAACTTGTCTTGTTAAGGGACCTACGTAAATCCGCCACCCCCTCTGACTACTACGTGGACAGGGATCATTACATCAACTTATCTTGTTAAGGGATCAAAATTTGCCGCCCCCTCTGACTTTTATGTGATGTAATATATGATATATGTGCTATGTACTATTACATAATTCGGCCGCTTCTGATTCCGACGCGGAGCAACATAGGGGTTGCAGCGAACATGTTTTACCCTCCGGTAATCAAATGTGGCAAGCGAACAACCCCTATAAATAGAGCTTTACAGTTGGGAACATCATGGAATAAATGGATCATTTTCCAGCTAGTAGCCTTTTTCTTTACCCGGTGGATCACGACAGATTCCGCGCAGCCGTTGGGTTCGATGGGTTTCCTTACCGAGGTGTTGACGGTTTGTGTCAGTTTGAGAACTTTGAAACTGTTGGGCTTCGCTTCTGTCAGAACCTCGGGTGACATGTGGCGTTTTTTCATCACCAACGAGCCTCGATGTAAATGACAAATGACCAAAGGCAAATTGACGAGTTAAAAAAAACAAGTCAAAACGTGAGGGTATCATGATATATATATATATATATTATAGATATATCCGTTTTGTATGTATATTAAATAATGGGTCTATAATGTGTGTATAATGGGGATATATTCGAGAAATCATATTCAATGATGCATATATTCATGTATCTATGCGGGTCTATATAGTCGTGCAGCTGTTTCATGAAACCATGGTTAATTCCATTTTGGCATGTCGACCTTCGAGTCTAGCCATGCCCAAATTATGTCATTGTCATCGTCATCTGTATGTAGTTGTTTGCACCAACTTAGCTATCGAACGGGGGCCTCACATTGTCGAGGATGATTTACTAATTCAAAAAACAAATACCCAAGTAAATGAAACACCCAAAAAAATATCAAAGTCAATCTTTAGGTCTACAGGGACACAAAGATGGTCATAATGGTCTAAGTGTACATCTAAAAAAATATCATGTACACAAAGATGGTCATAATGGTCTAAGTGAATAACTATGGTTTATGGTACGCAAATAACGAACTAGTTACTGGGGCGAATCTAAACCAATTAGTAAATCATCCTCTACAGTTATGGCCATTTGTCAGTTATAAGTACTTATAACCCCATTTATAGAATGTATAATCCCATTTATAACCAGTTATAACTGATAAATGGCCATAACTGTATGAAATGGGGAGCTATGAGACTCCCACTTCAAAGATTCCCGAGGCCACCTTCAAAGATTCTCAGCTGCCGCCTGAATGGACGTCCATCGGCAACGCGCCAGGGAAGCCCAGGGAAGCCCAGGGCCCAGGGAAGCCCAGCCCAGCTGCAACGGAAAGTTGGCATGGCAACAGAAAGATATGGTTTCTTTATAGTCATATATAGTCATATATATGTAGTATTATGGGACATATATATATATATATTCTATCTCTGAATATCATATATCTGAATATATCTGGCTAAATTATAAGGACCTCACTGTTCTCCCGAGCCCTGGAATCATGGTTAATAAGGGGAATCATCCCAAAATTGCCCAGATATATAGAGGATTTAAAGATGTTTAGGGGCGATCATAGCTATGGTTAACATTGGTTAAGTGGTGATGTTGTTTAATGTTTATATCATAGTGTCTACAACTGGTTTTTTATGGTTTTTCACCATGGCTTCATTTTTTGGTTAGCTCTAATGAGGGTAATGAAACATCGAGAACCATGGCTGATCCCAGTTCGCAGTTTCGATCCATGGCGATACATCGATATCCCCAACTGGATAGGTCGGATAGCTAGTGGAAAATCCTCAGTTCTTTGCGATGTAAAATCAGAACATCACCTGCCAGCAAAAGAAAATCAGACGGTTCTGGACTACCACAGATTGATCTGAAATTAATGGGGGAAGTCTATTTTGTACCTTCGACGTGAAGGATGGATGGTTGAGAGTCAAAGCATGGTGGTAGGGTGATTTCCACACACTTGGACCATTCACCAATGGGGGTGTTTGATATGGGATGGGTTATTGATGATGGATTGGTAACAACACAAACATTGTCTGGTTGGTGCTTTGGAACATTTTTTATTTTTCCATATACTGGGAATAATCATCCCAACTGAGTAATATTTTTCAGATGGGTAGGTCAACCACCAACCAGTTGTGGATTGTGAATAAATTTCCCAATATTGGGGACTAGGGATTATGGATGGGATTATTCAATCCACCAAAAGGTGCAAACCAAATCTGATCCATGTTTGGCTGATAGGTCTTATGGTGTATCTCTAAAACCGCTATGATTCCGATTAACTTTCAGATCGTGTGTATGGGTCAAAACAAAGTTGCTGGTTCTGGATCAAAAGGAGTAATGAGGTACTCAAAAAACAGATCATTCATAGAAAGGTGTATAGATCTATAATATATGTTATTATGTTTCTGTTATACGTTCTAAGTATTTCTTACATGACATATTGATATATATATATATATACACATTGCAAAATCTCAGAATATCTTAAAGATACCAGTCCATTTGCACGTTCGGACCTTCAAGTCTCACCCATCTCATATATATATATATATATACACACGTGGTTTGCCAGGCAAGCAATACCGATTTACCCATTTGATCCACTCATATCCATTCCATTCTGCAAAAAGTGTGGTAAACCCAACATAAAACACCCGAAAATCGCCATTTATGGGTGGGATTTCAACCATCCCCAGTCATGGTAGCTGTTTCTGGCAGCCAAGGTTGACCACATACAAAATTTCATACGTTTTTTCTAAGCGTACCCTCTGGAAATAGCTGACATGGTTATTGAATATTACCATCTGAATATTTAACATAGCCATGGAAAATCACCATTTTTAATAGGTAAACCATCTATAAATGGGCCATTTTCCATATGTTAAATAACCAGACGGTACCATTTATAGTTGATTTACCTATTAAAAAATGAAGATTTTCCATAGTTTTTTGTATGTTTACCAGGCCGGGTAAACCAATCCAACGCTGGCGCTGCGTGTAGACGGCCTTTTTCAAACCAACAAGGCCTCGGTGGCTTTTTGAAGATCGCTTGCAGCGCAAGAGGACCGGCAACCATTAAAAATGACTTACCATCAATTGCTGGGATGTTTTTTTTTTCAATCCTGCAAGTTTTGGTGGTTTAGTAGAACTATCTGGGTAAATTATAGTGACCTCACTGCGACCGAGCCCTGGGAATCATGGTTAGTAAGGGTAATCATCCCCAAATGGCCCAACAATTCAGGTTAGTGAAATATGATAATTTACCAGAACTATGAAAAGAATTCGGATTTATGCTGGATGTAGATACAGTTGAATGGGTGAAAGACACTAAACAGCCCAACGCTGCACAGCCGCAGAGCTCACCTAGCTACACGTGCCTGGCATGAGCTGACACCATGGCAGGACACACTGGCAAGCACTTCATGGTTTATTAGCGGCAGCTCGGTGCATGTTTGGTTGCTGCCTTCCTCATCTTGCTCACAAAAGGGGGGATTGATGAATTATCTACATCTGGTTGGTGGTTTGGAACATGTTTTATGTTTCCATATATTGGGAATAGTAATCCCAACTGACGAAGTCATATTTTTCAGAGGGGTAGGTCAACCACCAACCAGACATTTTTTTTGGGTGGTGTCCCATGGATTTTCATCCCTTACCCAATAGCCAATAAAGACATATAATATAAGACACGCTGATTTTGGGCCGGCTTCATATAATTGGCATCCATTTTGAGCCGCCCCAACCACTTCTAGTGCGTGCTTGGTTGCCTTGGTGGTCCAAATGTCCTCAAGTAGTGGATGACCATGGATGACCCAGTTCCAAGCCCCTCATCGCAGGGGATTACTTGCTGGTGCATCCGACTTATGGTAAATAATGTCAAGCCTGGATTAATAAACCCCTAGCCCGGCTGTTGAATTGGGAGGGTACCAATTAAGTATCATATCAAATCACTATGTGGGTTGGGTACCCCCAGAATAAGCCATGGTAAATATGTATCATCCCCCTTCGGTACTCCTAACAAAAATTTGGGGGGTCGACCCCCTGGGAGAGGTCCCCCAACAGTATTTTTTTTCAAGTTGATTTTCCCTTTTTTTTGAACATAAAATCGGGTTGGGTACCCTGATTCGGGAAGAAGTACCTTGGGTACTACTGATTTTATCTAGCATAGACTGGGGCCCAACCCCCCCTGGGGACAAATGGAGCTGAGTAGGCAGGGTATATGGTTTTATTTCTAGCCAGGTTTCTTCTGTATTTTGCAACAAAACCAGCACAAAATATGAACACTTCTACCTTTTGCATTTTTTATGGTGATATATGATGATAAGGAACATTGCACATAGAAATTCATGTCATATTCACCATGGTTTTTAAAATATTTTTATATCTACAGATTCCCACCCTAACCATCACCTCGCAGCATCACATCCACAACCATCCGATTCATCCCACCCTAACCATCACCTCGCAACATTTTTACCACAGATGCACCAGCAGGATGTCATATGGTGCCTTGGGAAAAGAAAACTGGTCATGTTTTTGCTGGTCATTGTTTCCCAGAGAGGTTGCATGCCTGTGATTTTATTTGGGTGCCCCAACCTGTGGCACATGGGCCACAAGAAAAGAGAACAAGGAGGTAACCCTTCCCCAGCGAGGCCTCAATAGAAATTCCAATCCCCAACACATAGCTGGGAGTTACAATCCTCAAGGGTCAGCCTTCCGCTCGACTGTGGCACCACTCTGCTCCTTCTCAACCTTCTTTGTCCACTCCGCCTGTGGATAAGGAGGGATGGGTAGGAATTCCCAGAAAGCCCAAGCACATCATATACATCATCCAGCACAATCATCATAATCAGCATACCCAACCAAACAGCAACTAATCTATCCAAACTAACCACACAATCAAATCAGCAAAATGTCCATCAACCTAATCATTGTGAACAAAATTTGTTGGATACTGGTTGGAATCTTGGATATTAATAGATATTATTTCGTATGCGGGTCCTTCGATATGATCAAGATGATCAAGAATGATCAAGGGGAAACCTTCTGAATCCTGTGAGACCTTGGATGCCTAAGAGTTACCCTCTGGTAAACGTTTACATAACTATGGAAAATTACAATTTTTAATAGGTAAATCAACTATAAATGGCCATGTTCAATAGCTATATTAGTTTACCAAAGGGTATTTATATTTGTAGGCCTTGGGTACCTGGAATTTTATTTGCTTGGCCCCATGTGGTACCCAACCCGATTTTATGTTCTTTCTATTTGCCAAATTTTGCAAAATAATTTTGCATTCAGAATCCAGGAAATCACATATAATTATGTGGGTTTTTCTTGTTTTCCTCACATGGTTGGGTACCCCTAATTCTATTTTGAAAAATAATAATATTCTATTTTTGGGTGTTGGACCCCACCCAGGGGACACCACAGGGGGATATTTATCCGGGGTTGACATTAGTGGATACGATATGTGATGATATATGTGGTCATTTTTGGCTGATGCCATGAGGTTTCTACGCCATTGGAATTTGGATAATGCTTCGTTGGACCATCCGATGTATTCTCTGCACCAAGGTCATGTCTACGCTTTTAGTGTTCATAAGCTGCACGCCTATATCCAACTGCAGTCAAACCAAGTGGCCCTTGTACCTACTGCTGTTGAATTGTTTGTGTGATCCCAGTTCTGATAGCTAATAGAAATGTACCATAGCAGTTGCTCAAGCCATTTCATTAAAGGTCGGAAGTTTTCAGGGTTTCCAATCCCAAGCAACATGGATGGTGTTTAACTGTTTCTTGTTGTTTCAAGCCCATCCCCTATTTTCTGAGCACGAGTTATTTCAAACAGCTTGATGTTGCACTTGGAGGTTTCCTAAAATGGGGTTTCCTAGCCGAAAATGGACGGTTTCCAGTGGACAATCCTATTAAAATGAATACCAGGCCTGGTAAACATACCAAAAACTATGGAAAATCACCACCATTTTTAATGGGTAAATCCACGAACTTTCGACTGGGCCATTTTCAATAGCCAACGGTCACAAATTACCAGAGGGTAATTTGGGAGACCAGCATTTTTGGAAAGCTCCTGATATCTCCCTGCCGCCACAAGGCCTTGCCTCACTTGGAACAGTTCAATGATCTGGCCCTGGGCGGGCCCAGCATGCGCGAGTCGTTGGGGTGCCCAGCGGTGCTGGGTGCCAGGCTTCCAAAAATCTCATGGTTCAGGCCCCTGTTTCATGTAGTTTTTGACTATCTTTGACGATTTTTTGCAAACCTCGCAACTGAATCGCACCAAGCAGTTGGAATATGTACATACTCTCTAATAAACTAACATAGCTCTGGAAAATTGCCAATGATAGTTGATCTACCTATATAATAGGGTGAAATTCCATAGCTTTTTGTATGTTTACCGCAGGGTATCCTTCAAACAAATCATCAACAAACTGCTTGGCCTTGGGTGAAATTCCCGGGCCAGGCCTGAGCTCACGTGTTTGCTGCTGATGCAATGCGTGGAAGGTCTTTGCCTCAGGTCGTGGGTCGGATCCGTAAAACTGAATCAGATGACATGATGACATTCCCATGACGGATCCTAACGGTGCTGCTATATATGGTGTGCCATGGATGCCATCAATATACCCTTTATGTTAGCATTTTTCTACCAGCACCAGCCGGATCCTAATTATGGGATTGAACATGGACTTTCTGAAAGAACTATATGAAAATCAGAAAAAAAAACAACATAAATATATAAATGGACTATGAAGATCTATATGAAGATCTATATGAAGATCTATGAAGTTCTATGAAGATCTATATGAAGATCTATGAAGTTCTATGAAGATCTATATGAAGATCTATATGAAGATCTATGAAGATCTATGGAGATCTATGAAGATCTATAAAGATCTATGAAGATCTATGAAGATCTATGGAGATCTATGAAGATCTATATGAAGATCTATATGGAGATCTATATGGAGATCTATGAAGATCTATGAAGACATATCAAAAAATGTCTATGACTTAAATGACAAATGTGAACATCCGAGGCGTTGCCACGGATCTGGCCAATGGTGCAGGTGGTGGAGAAGCACTGTCAGGGAAGCCCAGGCTGTTGGATTTCCTGGGATGATGTAAAATTTTTCATGATTCTCCAGATATGTACTTAAGGATAATATTGGATATGATATATATATGATATATAATATGTATATGATATATTATATATATGTAAGTAATCAAGTGAATATGAAATTTATTTTTTTGAATGGGATATTCATCGCATTTCATGGGAGTTTATGGGAGGGTTGATCAACAATCTGATATTTGGGTGTGTCTGGAAATGGGGTAGAACCAAATGATCATTGTCCATTGCTACTTTGAAGTAAAAGAGGGGCAATCTCGAATTTGGCTGGGAACATATGGTAATATTGAAGATTGCTTAACACTAAAACATGGGGATCTATATGCAAAATTATGCACAGTTCATCTTCAAAAAGTGTTGTTTTTGACAGATTTGGCGAGGTTCTAGCAATTAAGAGGAGTCACTTCAAAATTATGGCGTATTTCAGGTTTCGAAAGTAGGTTGCAATTGTCCAAGACAGAACACCATATCTACATAAATCACTTGGAGTGCCGATACGTTATATATATATACATATTACATATGTTTTCATTCGAGTGATTTCAGAGGTGTTCAAGTTTGTATTCCAGCACCATGCAGCATTTTGGATATCAAACAAAGGTGAAATCAGCAAGAAGCAGCCCTCTATAAATCTTCCCCTTGGGAGATTGATAGAGGGTCAACGGGTCAACCCCTTTACATGCAATACATCAGTAGTGATAAATGATAAATGGTATACCAAACCGGCGCCTCTGTTTTTTTCCAGCTGGACATTGTTGGTGTCGTTGTTCATCATGTTAAATCGGACGCAGAAACGGACTCATCAAGCCATTGGTCAGAAACGGACATCCATTTGATGAATCTAAGAGGGGTTACCCTCTGGTAAACTAACATAGCTATTGAAAATGGCCCATTTATAGTTGATTTACCAATTAAAAGTGGTGATTTTCAATAGCTATGTTAAGCCCAGACTGGTACAAAATCAAATGTGTTACAACTCACTTCGGGGAGAATCCAATCTGCAAGGCTGAAGGCCAATCTGCAAGCAGACGCGGATGTGGACGCTTTTTGTGACATCTTACGCTTGTTGAGTCGGGGCCTCAAATGAGAGCTTGAGCCATGAGGATCTTTGAGGGAGGTGAGGTTGCGCTTATAGAAGCGCAATGTTCTTTATCTGTTTGAAAGTCTTGTGCTGAACCTCAAAGCATAGCGAATATTTCGAAGTTTTCTTTCACATGCCAGGAACACGCGTTTGACCGGAGTTGTCACCCATATTAGTGGCATCATGAACAATTCTCAGAGCTATCAGACATATTCTGGTTGGTGGTTGGGGTAATCCTTCCCATTGACTAATATTTTTCAGAGGGGTTGAAACCACCAACCAGTATTAGTGTTGTGCGATTTGCACATTGGATAACATTGGGTCATACATGGTCATACTTTTATGGTGATACGGCTAGCCGTGTCCTTCAGTGGACGGGACCTCGAAGCAACTTCCCTAAAGTAAGTTGTACACCTCTTCAAATCCACTGGAAGCTGTGGTTACAACATACTAGGACCGGCTCTGAAAACATACTGGCTAGATCTTACTATATGTTATATCTGGATGGAACATTGGACCTGCGTTCAGTTTCAAACATCCTCACAGATGTTTGCTAAATTTTGTTGGAACTGATATGAATCAAGCAATTTGTCTCTGGCTGTTAAAATACAGAGGCCGAACTCCACTTCTCATTGACTTGAACTTTTCGGACAAGCGCACGGAAACGGCCACTGGGCAGCGGAAATTGGGACCAATTGAAATTGGTGGCAGGAACTGTTTTGTGAATATAGCTTGCATACAGTTTCGCCAAGTGTGGTTTTCTTTGTACACCTCTATTCCAACGTGTTTGTTTGCATGTCAACCGGGTAAAGCATCATTCACTGCTTGTTTGCCAAAAGATCTTTTCTCGGTCGTGGATCTGTCTAAAACTTGGGAACCTCATCGAAGAATCGAAGCTTTGTCACTGTTGAACTGTTTAACATGTAATTATCCAATAGGGGAAAAAAAAGAACGTACATGTTTGAGACAGGCCAGACACATTTGGGTTAGTTTATGAATGTTTATGAAAATTTATGAATATACCAGATGGAAAATCAAGGTTCACATCCCCACCCCCCATTGATTTCCCTATGACGCCATTTCATGGCTTGACACCACCACAACTGCATGGCCGATTTTTTCGCTCCAGTCCGAGCGGAGCCAGTCGCAGCCATGGCAGTTGCAGCTCCAATCAATGCATGTCCGAGTGTGCCAACTCAGGCACGCTTCACATGCGCGGATGGGTGACAGTAGCTGATCGGTGGTGTCAAAATGTGTCAAACATGTCAATATTTCATCGGTTTCCAAGTCGTCATGGTACCATGGGTTACCCCCATAATGGTTCCAGTCGTCATGGATGACCATGACTTAGTATAGGTTAACCCATGGTGACTTTTTGATGCCGTACTTTAAGAAACACCCAAGTATGCCAGTATTTCATAAATTTCTTATATGGGGGGTTCCGCAAATGGGGATAATTACCCAAAATGGATGGTTTATGATGGAAAATCTTATGAAAATGGATAATTTGGGGGTACCACTTTTTTAGGAAACCTCCATATGTAAAAGTTGCACTATAAGTTCATTATTATCATGGAGTATCATGTATCTACAGAGATGATCATAGATGTGTTGTTTGTGCAGCATTGAGAACGCGAAGTGTACATGCGTTGATTCCGATTCCACATCTCTTTAGGGTCCTTTTGAGATTTAGTGCTGCCATGGCCCGCTAGATCAAACCTGGTCTTGGCAATGGCAGCTATGGACGTGGAAGTTCCAGTGCGGGGCGCGCCTTGGAAAGTTCGACATTGGGACCCTGCTACTATCGGCTTCCACGCAAAACATGTCCGGGATCTTGGGCCCCCCTTTCTTCAAAATGCTCATTTACCCTCTGGTACTTTAACATAACTATGGAAAATCACCATAGAAATAGTGAATTGTCCCATGAAAAGCGGTGATTTTCCATAGTTTTTTGTATGTTTACCAGAGGCTAATGGGGAAATTCTGTAGAACCTTGAGATGTGTTTGCCAACCAACATGAATCGAACCCACAGGGCTTGAATGTTGTTGGCCCATGGTACCGATTAGCTGAGTCTATGCACTGTGCCAGTGACATCATCAACCCTCCAGTTGGAACTTCCATCGCCTACCGCCTTGGCCTAGTCGTTGTGTTCTCCAAGTCACTTGACAATTCCGGCACCGGCGTGAAGTGTTCCGCAGGTGTGAAGTTTTCCTGGCCCGCCCTTGCTGCCTGTGTGGCAGCCTCGGCCACCTCAGCCACCCAACAGCAACGACCACGGTCCCGACGACACAGATGTTTGCGGGCGCTGACTGAGAGAGATACGGTGAAGATGGACACTTGACTCAGATTTAATGCCGGTGGGTGGTTTGGAACATGTTTTATTGTTCCATATATTGGGAATGTCATCATCCCAACTGACGAAGTCATATTTTTCAGAGGGTTGGGCTCAACCACCAACCAGTTGTGGATTGTGAATAAATGTCCCAATTGTTCGGGGCTAGGGATGAACTGGATGGGATTATTCAATCCACTTTTGGTGATAAACCAAATCTGATCCATGTTTGGCTCATAGGTCTTAATTGGCTCATAGGTCTTATTGATTTATTGTGTATCTATTGATTATTAACCATATTTCTCCATACATCTCACACATTATCCCATAGATAAATATGAGGTTATCACATTAACCATCATTAACCATCATTAATCATCATTAACCACAGTACAATGTGTGACATATACTAATCGATTTTCTCCCATAAAAAAGGGATCTTCCGGCGGAAGAGATGATGGGATTGAACTCATTGAACCATCTCAGCACGGATTTTGGATTCATGATCCTCGATAGCAGCTCGTCCGTTTTTTTGGGGTTTAGGTGTAGCGTTAGTTAAGGATGTTAAGGGGAGAATGGTATAAAGTCATATAAAGTCCGGAGTAGATTTGAGATATTCATATAAGGTTGAAACCGGAAAGGCGGCTTTTTCGTTCACCTTTGTCCGATCTTGTTGAAGGGAGTTTCCTTTCAGATTTCCCCTGATGTGTGTACCCAAGCTTGGCCAAAGGCATGGCCAAACAGGGGTGATGTGTCGGGTCTTGATGGAATATGATGGAATATGTTTAGTGAATTTGAAGAACCATTTTGATACATTTGGCATACACTGCCCGGGAGTAAGCCAAAAAGAGATTGGTGATTTCTTTCTGAAAAAAACGGCACCAGCAGAGTATGGTGGAGTCGTAGATGGTGTGAGGACCTCAGGTAGAGACAAATTAATTTCAATGGGAGCCATATTCCTAGCCCATCATCCCATTGAATTGTTCGTGGTCCTGCCAGGACGGTTTCCCTGATGAGCTCTTCTATTTGGTGCCACGAATCGGAGTGTGGCTTGCGCTATATTCTTGTTGAGATGAAGGTCCCAAAGTGGTAAGTGGTAAGGTGGTACTCGTACCTTGCTTTATAACTAAGTGAAAACTGGACTTTTCGGTGATATCAAAACATCACCAAATGATATAAAAAGAGTTGTGGGTAATCGGGGCGGGACTACCTGGTGGATCCATGACAGTCATGGCTCACCGGCAGGTACCACGTTGACGATGCCTTTCGTGCGCAACTGACCGAGCTATATCGGCAGCTGATTCCTTCCGGCAACGTGTTGGATCTGTGCTCCCAACACGATTCGCATTTGCCCAGCGAGGCCTGCCGTTGGTGGCAATCTCTATCGGGGATCATCTAAACCGGAAAAGATCGTTTTCTGTGGCCCTTTAACCTGCAGTGATCAATAGGCATAAATGTATTAAATGGTTATAAATGGGATTGTCATTCCATAAATGGGGTTATGACACTGACTTATAACTGGTAAAGGGCCATAACTGTACGGAGGTTTCCTAAGTCATAGGGGTGTACCCCGAAGTCACAATGCTTGTTTCAATACTAAAAGGGTCCAATGATTGGGATGATTGGTACTTCTATTCCAAGAATCCCTCATAGGAACATTTTCCATCATTTTCCTTGAACATCTTGAACCGATCCAGTTCCTATACCCTCTGGTAAACTCCTGGTAAACAAACATAACTATGGAAAATCACCATTTTTTAATGGGTAAATCAACTATTTCGATTGGGCCATTTTCAATAGCTATGTTTGTTTACCAGAGGGTAGTACCAGCAACGGAAGTGCACGAAAAAGCCCCATGGGTGCCATTGCATTTAGACATGAGGTTTAGCCAGGGAACGGACATACTGCCATCAGTGACTTCCTGTATCCCCCTTTGAACAAACCCATATCATATATTGTTGGTTGCATGTTTGTGTGTTTTCCTTCGTTATATCTATCTTTGTTCTAATTATATCCCCATGAACTTGAATTCTTACCTATAGTTTATCACTGGTTGGTGGCTTCAAACATGTTTTATTTTCCATAATATATGGGATAATCCTTCTCATTGACTTTCATATTTTTCAAAGTAGGTATACCATCAACCAGATCACATTTGTTGCTTGCTTTTTTTGTTGGGGATAAGAAGCAGCAAACCTTAATGCCGTCTTTCCAGGGCGACTACACCTTGACAGTGCATGGCATGAACCAATTGGAATTGATGGCCAACACACGCGCCAAAGATGCTGGCTGGGGTTTTTGAGGGGTGTGATCCGGTGGGAACCATATATATATATATATATATCATTAATTCATGAATTAATTGATTAATACATACATACATACCTACCTACCTACCTACCTACATACCTACCTACATACCTACATACCTACATACCTACATACCTACAGACCTACAGACCTACAGACCTACATACCTACATACCTACATACCTACCTACGTACATCCATCCATCCACCCACCCATCCATTCATCCATCTATCCATCCATCCATACATACAGTAGTCATCACTCAACCAGTTGCGGCCTCGGGCCTCGGTTTTTGCCCAGGATCGCTTCACCCGAAACTTCAACGAGGATCCCAGTCTTAGAGAACTGCCCCCAGCATTCTTTGATGCTGCGCCTTGGCCCTAGGTCATTCCATCAGGAGCCCGAGACGAATTCAACTGTTGAGTTTCTAGGGGATATGCATATATTTTTATATATTATAATTTATAATATTATAAATAAACATATATATTTTTACATATATATAAACATATATATATATATAGGTAAATATATATATATATATACATATATGTATATAGGTAAATATAAATATGAATATATATATATATATGTAAATATATATATATACATTTAAATATAAACAAACATATACATACATACATATATATATATATGAATATATGTATATAGGAATAATAATAATAATAATGATAATGATAATACGTGTACATATATATATATAAATTAATATTTGTTTAAAACTAAAGATAAAAATACTTTTATTTGTGTATACATATGTTATATATATATATATTTCATTAACTGAGTTTTTAAACGAACAAACACACAAGGTGTGGGGCACCTTGTACAGAAACGTCCAACCATCTGGGGAGAGCATTTGTTGCTGTTTTGGTATGGAAATCACCTTGATTTTTGTACGAAGGATCGGTGTCCCAATACCTTCGTTGTTTTGCTCTTTGCTTAAGGGTTGTCGTGCATAGAAAAGTGTAAGCATCCGTGTTGATACAGAAGTTGAATGGTCATCATGGCAGGGTTCTGGTTCTTAGAAATGGTCTTGATTTGGGAAACAAGCATCTCTGAGTAGTTGCATGTGGGGATGCTCCAGAATCCTACAAACCCCCAAACTTGCCACACAAATAAAAGTGTACAGCACACATGAATTTATTATATATATATATATTTGTATTATCATTCTTGTTGATAACACATAAATCCAGTTATTGTCATTCCAAGCACACCTCGCAGTTGCAATCACCATTTGGTGCTGAGTAGGTGACCACCTAATGTGATCCCAAATATAAAAACTTCAGGAACATAGACACATGAAAATCCACAAAACTGCAACATGCTGAATCACTTCTCCTTGTTTAGTGGGTTTATATTATAAATTTAATATATATATATATTTATAGATATAGATACATGTACAAGTATATATAGATATATACAGTATATATTTATATGCATATATATATATATATCTATACATATATATAATTTTGCATATACCTTTACATAAACAGCATCCTTCATCCTCCGAGGTGGTCATGGCTGTGTCCATTCAATACATGCAACGCCCGGTGGATCTCTTGAGCGAAGCCTTTCGCGTCTTGAAACCTGGTGGTGTTTTGATCGTCAGCTTCTCCAACCGGATGTTCTTTACGAAGGCGATTGAGGTCTGGCGATCCCAGCGGAATATGAAGGGTTTGGTGAATTTGGTGCTCAACTATTTCAGAGATCCTTGGAAGCAAAAATGTGTGTCTTTTTGTGTAGCAGCTACTTTGACGTGAACTACATGGATACCTCAGCATGCAACCTGCATTTTTGTGTTGAAGCGAATGTGGGCACTTCCTAGTTGACAAGATATTGGGAATGTTTGCCAACAATTACTAAATCTATAGCCATTGACCCATAGTAAAAAATGTAAATTTCGGCTACGCTTCAAATTGTCCATGTTCAAAAGGAACTTCCAGAGCAATTGCTCTGGACAGCACCGACAGCTCCCTCTCAGGAATCTGGATTTCAAGATGTGCGAGCTGCCAATAGGGTCCAGACCGATGACCAAACAGGTGCCTGGAAGCAGACAATTCCAACCATGTGGCACCCAAACTCGCTACCTTTGCAAGACCAGCCATGTGCATTCTGAGGGGTTGTGCATCCACTTGCTTGTTTGTTCGGATGTCTTTCGCAATGCCACGTTTCTTTTTTAGTGATGTCACCATTTTTGCACATATCCTATACAGTGTGTATATATATATATTGATATATTGTAAATGTTTTTACTACATTGCCACAACCCCTAAACCGAACCCCACGACCTTGTTCTTCACTCCAGACATGTCTGGTATAAACCATCCCCAAAAATGTCATTGGCACCTTTCAAGGAGACTCGTAATGTCATCATGTAGATTTTATAGCCGGCGAATGCGCCTGATATGTAAGTATTGGCCTACAAAGAAACGTTATTTCAAGACACCACACATTAGTTTTTTGTAGTAACTTTGCTCTTAAGAGTTACGAACCCAAAACTTATATGTGACTTTGACTTTAGTATTTCAGTACAAAATCTGCAAACCAAGGATGGCCATCCGGTGATCCCTTTGCTGCCGTGGTGGGTGTCAAGGAAAACAATGCAGGCGGATGTTTCAATGGATCTGTGGGAGTCCTTTAGGGATAGATTGGGATATAAATGGATAGGTATGGGAAATATTTTCGATTTTAGGGATATAATCATAATATTATGGATGTTTGGGAATTTGTAGGGAGATATTGGGATATAGGGAAGACAGAATGGAATATTATGGGATATATTGGGATATATTAGGATATATTAGGATACATATAAATGGTTTTAATGGGATACATATGGATAGAATGGGATAGATAATATCATATAATATATAGGATGTACAATGGATTTCATGGGATATACTGTAAATTGATATTACTTGCATGGGATGTAACGGTATAGATGACTAAGGGTATGATATATGATATATGACATAAATATATATATATATATGCAACGACCGCACGCTGAGATGTCAGTGGAATGATGAATAGTAAGGGCAACTGTCCCCATATGGCCTTATTTCAATTAGTGAACATTAGGCTTTATTAAGAAAAAGTGTGGATACCTGTGCGGTAAATCCGACAAAATTGTCATTTGAATTTCGAGTGGTTATAGGGACAATCCAATATACTCCATGGAAAGGTATAGTTCAATATTTCAGTATTAGAAATGACCATGTTTGTGTGGTGTTGTTTCAAAATGGCCGAAAGTTCTGGTGCTTCTTATTTGGTCAAATAGGGAACATGATGGAATGGCGTTCCCAATATTCTGAGAAAACCACTTTTTTCTCAATGGATTGTACTCGTAATATGAATAATCGTACTATTTTTGATCCACACTTTTTCGGGATGGATTGTAATTGATATCATGAATAGTGGCAATATAGTCAACCCAAACATCGATTTGAACTTGGAGGGGATAGTTTATACAACCCATTTCTATCCATTTCTGACAAACTGGAGATGAATTGACATAGATTAGGCCTTTTTTGCTGGCAGCATGCTGATTGATTGCATTATCTAAATGGTTCGGCCATTTCGGATGGCATTGCAACAAATGCAAAAATGGAATACGATCCCTCCGAATAGCCATTTTTGTGCCATAGGTCAGATTTGGGAGCGCGCGAATGGCATCTCTTGGCTTGAAATGAATGAAGCTGGAGTTGTTCTCTGACAGGTGCAAACCTTCTCGGGCAGCGACCTGGTGCAACAACCGTCGAAAGTTCTCTGGCGAATTTTCGCTGGGAATGACTTGAGCCATCTTGAGCCAGATTTGTTTGTTCTCACCAAGTCTGACCCAGTTCCATGTGAATTTGCTTGATCCATTTTTGTTCACAAAGATTTGCCCATAAAGAGGATGGCTCAACAACGCACTGGACACCTGCGCCAGCCGTGAAAACATGTGAAAACTAGATGGCCAACGTTGGCAACAAAAGAGATGAGCTGTGCCATGCGCTGTGAGTGCATGCACGATGTCCGCGGAAATGCTGCTTCGCAGAGGGGGGGCTAACCCAAAATCACCTTTTCCAGGTTGGTGAATTACGATACAGTATACATGTACATTCTTAAAATATGTATTATAGATATTTACAATATGCACACTCGTGTAGATTTAATTTTCTGTACTGTAGTTACCAGTAACGTTCTGAATCCGTTCGTGCATTGCATTCAGAGATGAGTCGATGAACCACGAACGCTGCTATCCTGTTGTGCTAACGCCTAACGCTGCCTTCTAGGAGCTCAATTTGAACGGCAAAGAAAAGGGGCTTTCATGTCATGTCCGTGCCTTATCTAGATGACAAGCAAATAGATGTAAGATGAAGATGTTGGAATATGTTTTTTGTTTGTGTATTATGCATATAATATGATACGTATTATGTGTCATCTTTCAATATAAGAGACATTTGAACATGTCCTCTCCAAAACCCGGGTTCGCCCACACTCAAACAACACATCCAAACAATATGATGATATACTTATCACCAGAGGATGAATGAAAACACTGGCTATACACATTGATTTTGACTTTAAGTTTTCAGGATTTAGGGTTTTAATTTAGGGTCATGGGTTTTAGGGTTTTAGGCTTTATTGTTTTGGAAAGTAAAAAACTTAAACCCTACGCAGGGATTTGAGCATGTCAAAGGATATGCAGGATTCGCCGCGGGCAAACCTAGGGTTTCCAGAGAACATGTTATTAATATATTATATTTACATATCAGATACATATATCATACATTTATATATATATGTGTATATATATATATATTATTTACATGTCATATACATATAGCATACATATTTCATATATATATATATATATATATGATATATATATATACACTTCATATACATATCCTTTACTTATGTCATATATATACATATCATTTACATATATCATACATATATCATATATTTATTGTATATTTATACATACATATCATATACATATCATATACCTATCATATACTTATCATTTACATATCATATACATATATCATACAAATATCATATATATATATATGTATGGTATATACATATATCATACATATATCATTTAGATATGATATATATATATATATACACATCATATACATATCCTTTACATATATCATATATATACATATATCATATATATACATATATCATATATCATACATATATCATATATCATACATATATCATATATCATACATACATCATATATCATACATATATCATATATCATACATATATCATATATCATACATATATCATATATATATGTTTTAGATATATTATATATGCAATGATTACTACAGATTTACCATGTTCATGAGCTATAGATGTACTACGTTTGTTTCGACCTGCGCCAAGGTCAAAGCTCAACAGGCCAAGTTGCTGCCACACCTCAGCGGCCATGGGGATGGTGACCCGGCGGACCCGTCGCCGGACAGGGCGGGCCCGGTGGTTCAAAATGGATGTTTCTTATGGAAAACTATGGAATAATTCCATGGTACAGTAATTAGTTTTCCATGGTAATTTTCTTATGGAAAACTAATTTCTTATGGAAAACAACTTATATACATGGTAAAGTAATAAGTTTATATGGATTTCCAACATATGTGGGAACTAATTAGCTTGAAATTGGACCCAAGTACCTTGAATGTTATATATCTGGTTGGTGGTTTGGAACAGCCGCGATGGCCCAAACTTTCCAGTAGTACGGCTGTGCTTACTAATCCTGGGTCGGTAGGTTCACCCGTTGCTGGTCATGGCCATGGCATACCCTATGAGTTTTGGTGAGATTTCAAATGGATGCAGCATTGATATGGTTTGTACCATCAAGGTGTTTGACCACATGCATGGGGCCCACCTTTTGACTGGACGGGATGGAATTGACTTCATCTTTGTTGGCTGTCTCAACTCTGGGTTTCACTCCTATACGATCATCAATGGTACGTTGAAGCAACAGTATCCGATCCCAATTGTTGTCTCCACCAAGCAGACGAGGGTTTTGGAGTTTCACCACCCTTCCTGGGATTCCATCAAATCAGTGGTGGATCTGTGTGCTGGTTTTGGCGGATTAGCACAAGGAGCAACAGCCGCGGGATTTGCAGTCCAGGTGGCAATTGATCACAATGAACGTATTCTGAACTTGCACAGCAAAGCGAGCCATGCCCACACCATCTGTGGCGACATAGGTGATTATGAGGTCTTGTATGAGACTTGGAGGCACTCAGGTGGAGCAGGTACTTTCACCTGTGGCTACAGCTGCCAGCCTTTCTCTCGTTTGGGCGACGGCAAGAGCTCTGCTGATGAGCGTTCCAGTAGTCTCACCAAAGCACTGCGAATGGCTTATTATTTGCAAGCTCAGGTTGTAATCCTTGAGTGCGTTGCACCTGCTGCGAAAGATTCGTGGGTGAAAGGGGAGATTGACCATTTCCTCAAACATACGGGGTTCCATTGTTCTCAGACTGAACTCAAGTTGGACGATGTATGGCCATGTCGTAGACACAGAGCCTGGTGGGTTTTGAGCTCCCCAATCATTGGACCTGTTGACCTTCACCCATGGCCTGTTTTCACCGATATTTCAGAAGTTTGCCATGTCATCCCATCTATTCGGTTGTGGGCTCCGGAGGATGAGAAGCAATTGACCCTTGATGAGATTGAAATGCAAGCTTTTGGAGTTCATGACAACCAACATGCCAAGTATCTCCTCAATGGTAAATCCAAAGCACCATGCGCATTGCATGCGTGGGGCTCCCAAACGCGCCCCTGCCCTTGTGGCTGCAGAAGTGCTGGGTTTTCACAAGCACGCCTTGAGAGCAAAGGCTTACATGGATGTCTCACTAGAAGTGCTGACCATGAGGACGGAACCAGTTCCTTGCGACATCTCCATCCAAATGAAGTTATGGCCCTTAATTCATTTGATCCTATTGTGGATTTTGGGAATGATGTCAGACTCACCCTCTCGGCAGTTGGTCAAATCGCCTGTCCTGTTCAAGCTCTATGGGTGCTCGGGGCTGTGATTGAAAAACTTGACACTTTGAAACATGAAAGAAGTTTCACCCAGACTGAGCAAATTCAGGCATACAGGTCGTGGCTTATGATGCGCTGTCGCCAGGTGTGGCCCATCCAACATGAAAACATCACTGACTGCAAGATGTTGTCACTGGTTGCATTTTGGAAGAACCACCGTGATCTTTCTTTATCGGAATTACTATTCCCTTTGAGGTGGGAAGGTCAGATTGATGGCACTGTCAGTATTGCCGCAATTTTGGATCATTTGATCAGAGCACAGGATGTTGTTGCCCCTACGATTCCTGATGTTGATTGCCCAATGCACTCCATCCCGGAGGATCTTGAGGAAACACCAGTGATGGACGAGCCATACATTGTGGACGACCCCACTCTTGCAGGATGTCTCTGTCTTGATTCATGTACAGTCATCTTTGCTGACTCGACTGAAACACCCGTTCGTTTCCACCCCAAATGTGGTACGACTCTTGCACAATTCCTGAATGCCCACGAAAAGTTGGTCGGAAAGTTTGAGGTTGACTGCATCAAAATTGGTAACAAAGTGATTTCTTGGGACCATGTCATGGAGGTTGCCCAAGTTATTGTTATTCACGGGAAAAGAGATGAGCCTGACTGCACCATGCCAGTATGTGAGCCCGTGGTCTCACCCACGGCAGAGTGGTCGCAGCCTGCAGTAGACAATGCGAAGGTCTACTCTCCGCCCAGAAAAGTTTCCAAATTTGATGTCGGTGAATGTGTCATTCCTAGTGAAATCCTGCCTGATGATCACTCATGGCTTGATGCTAGACCCCTGCATGGTCTTCAGGGTAACCAGTTTCTAAAATTGCAAATGCCTGGCATCCAAAATGCCCAACAGCTCTGGTCCCTCCGACACCAATACCTCCGTTCTGAAGACCGGCTGGTTGTGCTTCAGCAGCAAGAGCGATTTTGGGCTGATGATGAAATCAGGTTTCACCTACATGCGGTTGTACAGGCCAGCCAGGAATATCACATCCGATTGGGCAAACCTGTGGCCCCTGTGTGTGTTATTGACCCGCTGATTTCTTCGGCATGGCTCCAACATAGGGGCTTTGATTGCAAGTTGTGGGCCGAGGATCACCCTGAGATCAAAAATGATGGCATCCCTATTGCCACTGTGGTTTTGATTGGCCAGCATTGGGTGCCTCTGTTCATGTCCCCCATTCAGCATGTTTTGCATGTGCATACTTGGGACGGTATGGGTGCTGTTCATGAGGGATTGGAAGAAATGGTGACCAGCCTTGCGCATGCCTTAGGTTTCACCAATGCCATGGTAAGCAGGGAGCACAGGCTGTTTTTCACCTCTGATTTGTGTGGCACCCTTGCAATCGCTTTTCTCCGCCATGCACTGGTTGGCACACAACTGCCGACTGACTGCACTGAAGCCGCGGTGATCCATGCACGATTGAAAGATCGCTATGTAGCCGAAGTGCAGCGGTGCCAAATTGCCAGGCGCCCATGGATTTGGGGTGCTGGTGACAACCCCGCTTCCCCTGCCACTGGCCCAACCAGCAGTGACTTACACTTGGCCGTCAACATTTCCAGAGATCAACGTATTGACCTCATCAACCAAAAGGGGTTTGCTATGGGGGATGATGAAGTGCGGTACCATGTCATGCAACTGGTTTCCCATCAATCTGAATCAATGAGACCAATTGCGGAAAGAAAATTTACTTTCATGGAACCGTTGATTTTCAACTGTTGGGACTCCATTGGACAGGTCATTGCTAAACAATGGTGCTCCAAGAACCCTCAAATCAAGGACAATGGCCAAAACATCGTGACTGCGGTCGCTGTTGAAGACCACTGGTTGCCTCTTTGGTTTGTGCCACAAGGTGATGTCATGCAGGTTCATACTTTCCATGCTGAAGGGTCATTTGACACTGTTGACAGAGTCATCGCTGCCGTTGCACAGAATTTGGGTTTTCAAGATCATGCCATCCACCGTATCCCCACAGGACTTCCTGAACATGTGATGTGTGGAGCACATGCGATGGCCTTTATTGCCCATTTGACGGTAGGTATGCCTTTGCCGGACACCTTGGGTGAATTGCGCACTTTGCACACCAACATGAGGGCCTCCTTTGTGGCACACTTGTATTCTTTGGAATACACCCCAAAACCTGTGATCTGGGGTAATGGCACACCTAGGGAATCCGGGCAACTCCCTATAATGCCCGAAGACCAACATGATGCTGAAGCGCTCCGAACCCAACGGTCTCACATGTTGACTTCCCATGGTTATGCGATGGGTGATGACGAAATCCACTTCCATGTCAAACACTTGCTTGACTGTAGGGATCAGGGACCACGAGATGTTGGAACAGTGCGAAGATTCATGACGGTTTCACCAAAAATTTTGCATGATTGGTTGAGGGGAGACACTCGGGCCTTCCACACGTGGCTAGTGAATGAATGGAGACCTGCCCTGCCGAATGTGCATTTGGTGCTATTGGTTTTGCTTCAACAACACTGGGTCCCACTTTGGATTGCCCCAGCAGGAAATGTGGCGGAGTGCCACACGCTCAATGATTTTGCACCAGACGATCCTGAGATGGCCAAATCATCCATCAGATTGCTAGAGGTCTTGGTTACACTGAAGTCATGATTCACAAGGTACCTCATGGCCTGGAAATTGATCGTTTGCATGGCACCATGTCCATCATCTTTCTGGCCCACATTCTTGTGCGCACTAGATTTCCGTCAGATGTCCACCAACTGCGATCCCGCTGTTGGGACATGAAGATGCTGTTTGACAGGGCACTGGCGCAGTCACCGCCCACTTTCCCTGAATTGTGGGGCTGGGGATATCTTTGGGAATCCAGGCCACTCCCTAAATTGCCTGGGGTCGGTCCTTTCGTGGCCGCAGTTGCATCAGTTGCACAATTTCTTGGTACTGTGGTGATACCGGGAACCCTCACCTGTGACGCAACGTGTCCCATTGATTTCACTGGAATGAGCCACCACGAAATGATTTTTCATGTAGGGCAGTTGAACGATCATGGTGATCCCCTGATGCGGTTTTTTGTCGTGTTGGGAACATTGCAACTGTTTGCTCTCCTGTTGAAGTTTGCAAGTGAGAACACCGGTGTTTGGGGCTTTGCTTTCCTCCATAATGCGCATTGTTCTCCGATTGTGCTGGTTAAAGATGCCAACAAAGGTTTCCTTGTTGCTGAGGACAATGTGGAACTGCCTCCACATGTTGCTGCGAAGTTTCACCACATGGAAGTGCCAGCCTGTACCCACATACATTGCGGAACAGTCACATGGCTCACATTGGCCTCCCTTCGAGGATTCACCACAAATTGTGAAGACATGCATGAGCTTAGGAGTTTCCTGGCTCTGAGGTTTGCTGAGAGTCCGATGGCACATTTGGCGCCATCGATGTGGGGCTTTGGCCCGCACGGACAATTAGTTAAAAACCTTGCCGCTGAGCTGTTGAAGCATGGCATACCCGAGCAAGCAGCTGATGATCGTGCCGCTCAAGCCATCAAAGTGCTTGGGAGTGAACAAGTCATGACCGCGCTGAATCACCGGAATCCATGGAAGCAACTCAAACTTTTAGGAAACAACTCCAAGTTCCAGTTTGTCTTGCCAAGTGAGCTTGCCAAGGTAGTCGAAGCCAACCGTGGTAAGGCTGTCACTGGAAAGGGCAAAGGGAAGGGAGGTAAGACACCACCACCACCGGTTGAACTTGATCCTGCCAAGTTGACAGTGCTGGATGGGACGTTTCACACGCAAGGAGTGGTGTTGTCTCAGCTTACCATGAAGCAGATCGGACCCGTCAGTAGTGGTTTCATCTTGATGTCCCTGAATGATGCTGAACCGTATTTGCGTTCAGGGAAAGCGGTCTCACGTGAGCCACTTGCACTGCTGGTGCTGCACCGAGCTGGAACTGAAGTCCAGACTGCACTTCCACATTCGCCAGTCATTGTGCCTTGTCGCTGTACGGTCAACAATGAGCCTGTACTCGCTGAAGCGGTCATCGTCCAGGTTGGAACAGGTATGGTTGAGAAATCTTCTGGTACCACGCTGGTTTCTGTCGATACTCCTGACGTTGTGACCCTTAAGGTTCTGATCTATAAGGATGAATTGAAAGGTGACTGGAAAGAATTTTGTGCTACCCCGATACGGTGCTTGGTCTCACTCCTTCCAATGCTCAAGAGATGTTTCACTGAGAGTTGTTCTTGCCCATCGTGGCATAACACTGAAAAATTGCCATTGCGTGACCCCATTCTGGACGTGTGGAGGCGACAATTCCTCCGACAAGGTTTCAAGCCCTGCCCTCCTGACAGTGCTGAATTCTACTCAGTGTGTATCCGAATCCCTGCTTGCATCCTTGAACCTCTACTTGCAGCTTCAGGGACTTCAGGGGCCTACTGCGAGCCACGCACTGCTGATGGTAAGGAGATCCTTCCAGAGTACACGGTCATCTGGACACCGAAGCATTCGATCCAGGAAATGCAACACCTCATGCAGACGAACCCGGCTGTCACGGGGGTTGGCTAGACTGGGAGAGCGACGAGGACTTAGAGTGCATGTCCTTCAGGCCAAAACCATTCACCAACTTGTGAGACCAGACGCAGTTTTCCTCCCTAGCGGTCCGAAATGCGTTTTCACTGTGGGACCTTTCCCATATGGAGTGGATAGACAAGCAGTTGGCAAGATCCTTCAACAAGCAGGCTGGGAATGCAGAGCCCTCCAACCCACGACGCCATGCCCAGGACGTGGTGCCATGTGGACTGTTCAGGCAAATGAAGACCCAGAAAATTCAATTGTTTCTACCACCAATGGGGAAATTGTCATCACCAGGCAGAAGGTTGACACTGCTGTTGTTGCCAAGGGTCCCACCATGGTTGGTTCTGCTGCCACCATTGCACTTTGCGGGGCTGATCCCAACACCAAGACTGACGGTGACCCATGGGCACACACTGACCCGTGGAGGGCTTACAAACCACCGGTAGGCAGCACAGCAACTGGACCGACTGAAGGGATGCTCCAAATCGAGGAACGGATTCAGACTGCAGTGCTTGCCAAAATTCAAACTCCGATGGAACAAGATGATTTGCCGGACAGGGTGCACCAGCTTGAAGGCCAAGTTCACCAATTGCTGGCAAAACAGCAAGGCTTGGAGACCCAATTCCAGGAATATAATGGCCAGCACACCCAGCAGATGCACGCCCTGCAAGCAGATTACTTCCCAGGCACAGCAGCTCCATGGTCAGTTGGAGAACCAAAGCCAAAACATGCAATCGCTGTTTGAACAGCAAATGCAACAGATTAGGGGGCTCCTCGCCAAGCGCCCCAGAGATGATGGATTTGAATGACTGTGGGGCTGGGGGTTCGTTATGATGCTCTGGTTTGTTTCACTTTGGGGTATTGAGCACATAGTCCGGACCCTGAGCCACTTATTTTCAGTTTTGTGGGCATTTTGCCGACCGTACAGTTCCCAGAAGTTTTGGCCCCGTTTGTTGTTCTTCGTCACCCTGTGCAGGATCGGTGAAGCTGCCAACCCGGGCCCCAATCCCATTTTTGTCCTCGGAGCCTTCAATCCATCCGGACTTAAAGGTAAAGCTCCTTATATTGTTTCACACTTGGATTTTGGTGACATTTGGGCAATTTCTGAAACCCATTTGTGCAGTCAGACTCTGCAGGCGTTCAAGTCCAGTCTCCAATTTGCCGGTAGTCAGTACAGATATTGCGTTGGGGGGCACCCCGTGCCGTCCCAGCAGAACCGCATGTTTCACTCAGCTTGGAGAGGCGTGGCAGTGTTGTCTCGACATCCTACACGTGAAGTGCCCACATCCATCCCCCATGAAGTGTATGCATCATCCCGGGCAGTTGTTGCGTCAACTCTTGTCCAGGATGTTTGGGTCACAGGTGGGACGGTCTATGGTGAACCTGAGAGCAGTTCATATCCTCATCAAAAGCTGAATAATGAGACCATTTTGCATCATGTTGTAGCCCATGTCTGTCATTTGGCCAGAGGACCCCGCTATGTTGCTGGCGACTTTAACGTCCTTGCTGGAGCATTACCTTCTTTTGAGGTTCTTGAAGCGGCCGGCTTTCGTGATCTCCAAGATCTTGCCCAAGAGATGTGGGGACAGCCGATCCAAAACACTTGCAAGAATTCTACCCGAAAGGATTTCTGCTACATTTCGCCTGAACTCCAATTTCTATTGAGGAAAGTTGCTGTTTCACATGATGTCTTTCCAGACCATTCGGTCTTGTGGGGGGAATTTCACGCCATTTGTCAGGTAATACCCAGCCAAGTATGGACTCAGCCTGCCACTTTCCCTTGGCCTGCCGATTGGGCAGTGGATCCTAACCACTGGCAATCCACTGGAGATGATTGTGACACTAGGTATCAGAGCCTTTGGTGCCACATTGAAACCCAAGCATGTGCTGCTCTGCCTTTTTCTGTGCCCAAAAAGGCATTTGGACGGGCTGGCACCCGTGAAGTGAAGCTTGTTGTCAATGGGAAAGTTTCACCGCCTAAGAAAGCCAGACCAGGTGATATCCGGCCACATTACGTTTGTGCCAGTTTCCGCCATGCTCAGTGGCTTAGGCAAACCCGTAGACTCCAAGCTTATGTGCGGTATGTCACAATACATGGATCGGGTCATGACCATGCAAGGCAGGTCTGGGGGGCGATTGTCCGTGCAACCGGATTTGCTCCCTCCTTTCATGAATGGTGGGCTCAAAGCAATTTTCGTGTCCCTGGGGCACCAGTTGAGATGCCTTATGTTCCCCCTGATGCAAGGGTTGCCAACATGATTTTTGAGTCTTTTGCCATGGCCTTCCGGAGTTTTGAGAGTGAGCTGTTTCAAGCTTCACGAAGTTATGCCAGACAAAGACGTGAGGCCAACCCGAATGCCATCTTCCGTGACCTTCAAAATTCAAAGAGCAGTGGGGTTGACGTCTTGATCAAGCCTATTTCTGCCACTGTTGAAAGCGTTAGGGCTGATGAGGGTGAACTTGTTTTGGACCGAGAGGTTTGTTTTGATGTAAACCGGCCAATTTTTTGCAATGGTGCCCCACTTGCGGTTGTCCATGCGGAATCAGATGCCATTTGGGCGGAGCTCACTGAGTTTGTACCGGTTGGTTCAGTGGTCTCCCAGGCGAAATTCAGAGGCACCGATAGTGAACTCTTCACTCTGTTCCTTGATGCATGGAAGAAAATGTGGGAACGCCACCAGGATGTTCCCCTCTCCCGCTGGGACGGCATCCTCAATTTTGCTAGAGAGAAGCTGGTGCATCCGAGGTTGTCATGGCCCAACATTGATGTGAGTTCTCTGGTGTCCTGCATTTCACACAAGAAGACCACCACTTCTGGTGGTTTGGATGGTGTCACCCTTGCCGACTTGAAAGCTATGCCGTTAGCAGCTCACAGCAATTTTGTCTCCATGTACCTTCACGCTGAAGATACAGGGGAATGGCCACAGCAGGTCATTGCCGGGCGGGTGACTTGCATTGCAAAAAATGCCAGTCCTATGGATGCACTGGATTTTCGACCCATTACTGTGCTGGGTCTTTTGTACCGGTGCTGGAGCACATACCACGCCAGACAGGCAATCCGTGCCATTGAAGGACTGCTGCCCACTGGACTTTATGGAAGTCGTGCAAGCCACCACGCTGGCCAGGTTTGGTCGCATTTGCTCTGGAGCATTGAGCTCGCTTACGAGCATCAAACTTCATTGTGCGGCATCATGGCAGACATACAAAAAGCATTCAATTTTTTGCCTCGCCCAGTTGTCATGGAAGGTTGTGCCTTGATTGGAATCCCATTTTGTGTCTTGCGGGGCTGGGCGGGGGCGCTGATGGCTATGCCCCGTCGTTTCCAGATACGCGGGAGCTTGAGCCCTCCGGCCTATAGCAATTGTGGTCTTCCAGAGGGATGTGCCCTTTCTTGCCTGGGGATGATGGTGATTGATATTCTTTTCCATGAATACATGGTGCACTTCTTCCCTATGTGTCAGCCCTTGTCGTATGTCGATGATTGGCAGGTGTTGGTCATGGATCCCAATGCTTCGCAGCCGGTTTTTGAATGCCTTGAACGTTTCACACAGCTCCTTGACCTTTTCCTTGATCAGCGTAAAACACACACCTGGTCAGTGAGTCAGGATGGTAGAAAAGTTCTCAAGACCCAGGGGTTTGGAGTTGTTAGGTGTTGTAAAAACCTTGGAGCCCATGTCCAATACACCCGGCAACATACGAACAAAGCCCTGATGGACCGTATCCACAATGCGCAAGGGTTATGGATAAAATTGAGGCTCTCCGCTAGCCCGTATGCCCAAAAGGTCCGTGCTCTGAGGAGTGACGCCTGGCCGAGATGCTTGCACGCCATTGCAGCGACCACGATCAGCCAAGCTACGTACACCATGTTACGTGCGGGGGCAATGAAGGGACTCAAAGTTGACAATGCAGGTGCCAACCCGTCAGTGCATTTAGGCCTGGTCGAAACCCCCACTGCTGATCCGCAGTGCTGGACGGTGCTGCAAACCCTGCAGCTTGCAAGAGAATGCGGCCCTGAACAGCGTATTGAACAAGTGATGGCAGATATTGTAACTGGAAGCCTGGATTTCCCTGCTAACAGCATTACCCAAACTTTGCTTTCACGTATTCAAACTCTTGGCTGGCATGTCGATCATGGGGGGCGTATTCACGATGTGTTTGGACAGTTTTCCCTGTTTCACATTTCTCAGGCTGAACTGCAATACCGTGTGTTTCACCAATGGCTCCAAGTGGTTGACTCCGCCACCTCGCACAGGCCATGTTTTCAGGGCTTAGCCGCATGTGACCCTGCCGCCACCCGGCGATGGATGTCCACACTTGAAGTCTCTGACCAGGCCCTGTTCAGAAAGGTACTCAATGGCACACACATCACTCAGGATGGTAAACATTACTGCCAGGACTCGGACAGTGACATCTGCCCTTACTGTGACTGTACCGACAGTAGGTTTCACAGATTCTGGATTTGCCGACGGTTTGACCATCTTCGTGATGAAGTGCCTACGCATGTGTTCAAAGCTGCTGCACAACTCCCTGAGGCATTGGTCTGTTGTGGTTGGGCTCTTGCCCCCACCACCCAACAAGCATGGAATCAGTACTTTGTTAACCTGCACCCGTTGCCTGTTACTCCTGTGACAGCTGTTGGGACCTTGCATGTTTTCACAGATGGCAGTTGTTTTGAGCAGCATTGCCCTCAGGCCCGTTTTGCTGGTTGGTCAGTGATCCTGGCGGACACTTGTGCGGTCCATGACTATACAGGGAGCCGGATTCTGGATTCTGGGGTTTTGCCTGGTCTCTTACAAAGTGCTGGGAGGGCTGAAGTATTTGCAATCTTGCGGGCTTTACAAATTACTAGATCCCATAAAGGGGCAGTCATGTTGTGGAGCGACTGTGATGCTGTTGTTAAAAGACTTCGTAAACTGCTGAATGGAGGGGTGGTTAAGTGTGGATCTTCACATTCTGACCTCTGGGATGACATTCGTGGTTGTTTACAAGATCGTCAGGGCCCTACAAGTATCACACGTGTTGCTGCACACCAGAGTGCAAATGCTGCGGTTGATGTTTTCACCGAGTGGTGTTTCCGCCACAATGACCTGGCGGATAGGCAGGCGGTCCAAGCGAACCTGACCCGCCCTTCTGAGTTTTGGGAGCTCTACGCCTTGCATGCTCAGGCACGTGCAGTGATCCAGGAAATCAACCATGCAGTCCAGCGCCTCCAGCTTAACATCAGTAGGGAAGTTGTCCGTTCTGGTGAGCCAGTGGTTGTTGAAATGGCACCGATTGATGCAGCGTTGCCGCCGCCTCAGCGGACGTGGCGACCCTTGCCAGAGCTCCGCATACCGGCCCAAGCTGTGCGATGGTACGGCGATGCCCTGGTGCGCCGTATCCTTAGCTGGTTTTGGCAGTCTGTTGGAACAAGCCTGGAAGAGCCTCAATGGGTTTCCCACTTTCAGTTATACGCAGATTACATGTGCAGTACAGGGCACCCAGGCCCGGTCCACCTTACGAAATGGGCTGATGGTGACACCGTGCCGCTGCTGACTCTGCGTGGCCTAGCTTTCCGCCAACGCACCAGATGGTTTGTGAAGGTTTGGAAGGAGTGCCTCAAGCACTTGGGGATTAACCTGGAGTTCGCCTATGGAAGGCCTGTTTCACAAGCGGTATTGATGCACACGGGTTGTGTTTCACTTCCATGGCCGCGTGATAGACTTGCTCTGGTCGATCGCTGGATGATCTCGTGTGCACAGGCGACTTTCCGCCGACAGACCAGAGCGATTGATGCCCTTCCATTTGCAGATATCCAACCTGGTTTCCCACCAATCTACCAGTCCTCTACTGGTTCATGAGCACCCAAGACGGGTAGCATTCGTGACTAATGCTGCGCGCATCCGAAAGAGTGAAAGAGTGGTGGTTTGGAACATTTTTTATTTTTCCATATCAGAGGGGTTGAAACCTCCAACCAGATTTTATCAAGTTAATAGTTAAATGGATTAAGAATTAGTGAGTCAATATCAATATGATCCATTATAATAGTGTTCCAATGTGATGGATAACTAGGGGTACCCCCATTTCAGGAAACCTCCATATTGCCAAAATATATTGAATACCATCTGGTAAATTAACGTAAGTATGGAAAAAACTAGACGACGGATGGCCCGAGAGCGTAGAGGAGCAGGGTCTTCTCTTGTTAGTATGGAGACGCAATTTTAGAAACGATGTATGAAAGATGTGTTATAGGCAGTCGACAAGAGGAGTATCAAGACCAAATAGTGAGAAGCTTTTACACACAGTAGCTTTTACACAGACACTTTTACACAGAAAGCTTTTACCCACAGAAGCTTTTACATACAGAAGCTTTTACACAGACACGTTTACACACAGATACGTTTACACACAGACACTTTTACACACAGACCCTTTTACACACAGGAGTTGCTTTTACACACAAATGCTTGTACACACAGAAGCTTTTACACACAGGCACTTTTACACACAAACACTTTTACACAGAAACTCTTTTACACACAGACGCTTTTACACGCAGACGCTTTTACACACAGACGCTTTTACACACAGAGGCTTTTACACACAAACACTTTTACACACAAACACTTTTACAAAATCATGCGGTTTTACCAAAAGCTAGCTGAAAAACATCGAATGACTGCCACACGGCAACATGCAGCAGGCCTCCAAAATCTCCAAAGACGAGCACCACGGCCACCAAAAGAAGCTCTGGAAATGCTTACAGTCATGTTTGCTCGGCCAGTTCAGGGGGGAGCAGGGTCTTCTCTTGTTAGTATGGAGACGCAATATTAGAAACGATATATGAAAGCTCTGTTATAGGCAGTCGAGAAGAGGAGTATCAAGACAGGACAGTGAGAAGTGCAAGACAGTAGTTTGCATCGCAAACACTTTTACAAACAGACGCTTTTTACACACAGACGCTTTTAAACAAAAAGCTTTTACACACAGAGGCTTTTACACAAACACTGTAACACAAACACTTTTACACACAGAAGCTTTTACATACAAACACGTTTACGCACAGACGCTTTTACACACAAACCCTGTGACACACAGACGCTTTTACACACAGACGCTTTTTACACACAGACGCTTTTTACACACAGACGCTGTCACACACAAACACATGTACACACAGAGGCTTTTACACAAACACTTTTACACAAACACTTTGACACAAACACTTTTACACAGAAGCTTTTACATACAAACACTTTTACACACAGACGCTTTTACACACAAACGCTTTGACACACCGACGCTTTTACACACAGACAACCTCTACACACAGACGCTTTTTACACGCAAACGCTTTCGCACGCAAACACATTTACACACAGAGGCTTTTACACAGAAACACTTGAACACAAACACTTTTACACACAAACACTTTTACACACAGACGCTTTTACACACAGACACTTTGACACACAGACGCTTTGACACACAGACTCTTTTACACACAGAGACTTTTACACACAAACACTTTTACACACAGACGCTTTTACACACAGACACTTTGACACACAGACGCTTTGACACACAGACTCTTTTACACACAGAGACTTTTACACACAGACGCTTTTTACACACAGGCGCTTTTACACACAGACAAGAACGGCACAAGTAAAATTGCACTTTTACCTCAGTTTTTGCCGATCGACCCTCATTTCGTGCGAAAGGGTTGCTCCAGGACAAGTCAAATCGCAATTTTACCTCAGTTTTTGCCGATCGACCCTCATTTCGTGCGAAAGGGTTGCTCCGGGGCAAGTCAAATCGCAATTTTACCTCAGTTTTTGCCCATCGACCCTCATTTCGTGCGAAAGGGTTGCTCCGGGGCAAGTCAAATCGCAATTTTACCTCAGTTTTTGCCGATCGACCCTCATTTCGTGCGAAAGGGGTGCTCCAGGACAAGTAAAATCGCAGTTTTACCTCAGTTTTTGCCGATCGACCCTCATTTCGTGCGAAAGGGTTGCTCCAGGACAAGTAAAATCGCACTTTTACCTCAGTTTTTGCCGATTGACCCTCATTTCGTGCGAAAGGGTTGCTCCGGGGCAAGTCAAATCGCAGTTTTACCTCAGTTTTTCCCGATCGACCCTCATTTCGTGCGAAAGGGTTGGCGTTTCGTGACTCGCCGCCGGCACCACCCTCGGCCTTAAGAGAGAAAGATAAAAAGAAGGCGAGAGAGAGAAAAAGGAGAGAGATGTGAGAGAAGATGTGAAGATGAGCAGATGTGAAGATGAGCAGATGTGAAGATGAGCAGATGTGAAGATGAGCAGGTGTGAAGATGAGCAGATGTGAAGATGAGCAGATGTGAGAGAAGATGTGAAGATGAGCAGATGTGAAGATGAGCAGATGTGAGAGAAGATGTGAAGATGAGCAGATGTGAGAGAAGATGTGAGAGAAGATGTGAGAGAATATCTAAGAGAAGATGTGAGAGAAGATGTGAAGATGAGCAGATGTGAGAGAAGATGTGAAGATGAGCAGATGTGAAGATGAGAAGATGTGAAAGAAGGTGTGAAGATGAGCAGATGTGAAGATGAGCAGATGTGAAGATGGGAAGGTGTGAAGATGAGCAGATGTGAAGATGAGAGGATGTGAAGATGAGCAGATGTGAAGATGAGAGGATGTGAAGATGAGATGTGAAGATGAGAAGATGTTTTACAGACCCCCACTATTGGAAGAACCCTGCGCTCAGACGCTCTCGGGAAAAACACAATGTTTCATGGGTAAATCAACTCTTTCTATGGCACTTGTCAATAACTATGTTAGTTTACCAGAGGGTAGTAAGTTATAGTGAGTTATAGTAAGTTATAGTTGGTGTATATATATATATATATACATACACAGTGTTAAGTATATCAACTTCTACACGGAACTATGTAACTGGTTGGCTAGTAAGTATAGTAACGATAGTTAATAATAGTTATTGTTCCACTTCTTCAAGTAACTTTAAAATTGGTTTGTAAATATACCTAATTGTTGGCTCACTATTATTCCATGATTATCCCACTAAATTCCATGATTATTCCATTCTGAAGCCATTAAATAGACAGATTGAATTATTCATTAGACATACCATTGTTATTTCATTATACACTTAATTATTTCACTTTATACTATTTCATTAAAATTGCAATTAAATAGCTTTTAAATAGCCATTATATGTGAGACAACCCAGCATTATTTCTTTATTATACTATGAGTATTCCATGAATAGACATAAAATAGAATAAATTATCCATAATCTATTAAGTGCTGATTATATCATTACATTACTATTCCATGATCATTTCATTAAACAGCCATTACATAGAGTTAATTATTTTATTATTATTCCACTATTATTCCACTATTATTCCATTGTGATTCTACTTCTTGATCTATGATGAAGTGTTAATTATTCCGTTGTTATTCCATGCAATAGCCATTAAATAGTAACTAACTCGTAACTATATGACTGGTTTGTAAATACTGTGAATTATAAGCCATCTATACATATATATATATGGGATAACCCACTATTATCTCACTAGTATTCCCTGATTATTCCATCAAATAACCATTAATTCACCCTTTTTTGTGTGTCAAACCATTATTTTGTTGCTCAATATTATGTATTATTTCACTTCGTTGATCTATAATTCAATAGCCACTAGATAGAAACTCACTGGTAACTAAATATACTTAATTGTGATTCATATGTGGGATAGCCCACTATTATCCCGCTACTATTCCATGATTATTCGAACAGCTCTTATTTTCTTGGTTAAATGATAATTTGGTGGTTACTAGTATTATTCTTCCCTTTATCTACAGCTATGTGTTAATCAGTTCTTTGTTATTCCATTATAAGATTTAAGCTCCTCGTTCACTGTCTCTTATTATTAGTCATCATGCGTTATAAAGTGTTAGCCATTTCGTTACATTGTATTCCATTCTTATTCGATTAAATTATCCATTAAATAACAATTAAATAGCCATTGTATAATTTGGTATTTCATTGTACTCCATTCTTATTCCATTCTTATTCCACTAAATTAAATAGCCATTACCCTCTGGTGAACTAACATAGCTATGGAAAATCACCCATCTTTAATAGGTAAATCAATGAACTAAATGTGCCATTTTCAATAGCTATGTCACAAATTACCAGGCCGGGTAAATAGCCTTTTTTCCCCACCTGCCAGGTGAGGGTTGTTAGATTTTATGTCAGTTGCCTCCTCCTCCTCCTCCTCCTGCCTCGTCCTCCTCTCCTCCTCCTCCTCGTCCTCCTTGTCGTCCTTGTCGTCCTCGTCGTCCTCGTCGTCCTCGTCGTCCTTGCTCAACTGCGACCCGCGATCCACAGTGTTCTCTGCCGGACCTCAACCACGACCATCCACGCCCAGTGTTCCCTGCCGGACCTCAACCACGACCATCCACGCCCAGTGTTCCCTGCCGGACCTCAACCACGACCATCCCCGCCCAGTGTTCCCTGCCGGACCTCAACCACGACCATCCACGCCCAGTGTTCCTGCCGGACCTCAACCGCGAGTATCCACGCCAAGTGTTCCCTGCCGACCTCAACCACGACCATCCACGCCCAGTGTTTCCTGCCGGACCTCAACCGCGAGTATCCACGCCAAGTGTTCCCTGCCGGACCTCATGTAGGAAGATAAAATGTCAGATAGAGTGCCAGAAGATTTGCCAGGTAGAATGCCAGAAAATATGCCAGAAGATATGCCAGATAGAAATGCCAGAAGATATGCCAGAAGATATGCCAGAAGATATGCCAGAAGATATGTCAGAATATATGCCAGAAGATATGTCAGATAGAATGCCAGAAGATATGTCAGAATATATGCCAGAAGATATGCAAGATAGAATGCCAGAAGATATGTCAGATAGAGTGCCAGAAGATATGCCAGATAGAATGCCAGAAGATTTGCCAGATAGAATGCCAGAAGATATGCCAGATCATATGCCAGAAGATATGCCAGATAGAATGGCAAATAGAATGTCAGAAGATATGTCAGATAGAATGCCAGAAGATTTGCCAGTAAGAAAATGTATAAATGTCATGGTGGGGATCACACGAAGTAAAGTAATTTTCGGAGGATTCTCCGGTAACCATGGTCATGACCATAGATTTTCTAGCTCGCCAAGTTTGATTACCAGAGTGGTTTCAATATAGCCAGAAAAAAATGTAGCCAGAGGGTAATTTTTTTAAGCAGCCAGAGTGGTTTCAATTTGTTTTGTCTTTCTGTTCAAAACTATTTGGAATATTTGGTTTTGATGTGAAACTATACATAAACTCTGTTGCTCGATCCGAAAAAAAAAGGCGAATGGTAACCACAAAGAGGGAAATCAAAATCTGGGAAAGTGCGGACTCTTACCCTCTCTATTTATATAACCAGTTTCTCCCCCTTGTATTTGCCCTGGGAGCAGCCTTGAGGGGATTGTTATGGCTATATCATTGGCTTGGAACAACAATAACTAGGTACACTGGTTAATGAATTTTGTCAAATTGGTTCCTGTTGGAAAACATCATATGAAACCGTTTAGATACTTCCTGGATATAGATTATTGAGAGACATGTTTGGCTCACACATGTAGATATCAATGGCCCTGCATATTTTGGGTGTTTCGTTTGTTTCCCTTCGTCCAATTTTGCCAGTCAACCGATTATACAGAGCCATACTCGCATGGGGGATGCCGCGTTCTTGAGGTTTCTTGAACACAAGAGTCATAGTGAGACCCCGCAAGAGTATAGTTTAAGCAAATCCAGCAGGAAAATCATCGGCAAATAGCTGGGTGTGGCTGGGGCGAACTAACCCCCTACTCATGACTCAGTGGCATGTCATGACACTATTTGATTCGTGGTGGATCCTGCAACCTCAAATTGAATATAGGAGGATCACAAGCACATTTGCAGCTAAACATCTCTAGTGATGTTACAGTTATGACCCAACTAACAGTTATTTTGATGGGTTTATTTCATGATGTATAACCCTAGTTATACGAGTTTGTTTTCTATTTACACCTGTTACTTGGGCCATAACTGTACATTCCAATCCGCGCATTTCATTCCAGCGCCGAGGTGTGCCTCGGTTTACGCATGCCATCTCATTGAGGTCGTGAAATTGGGGGGCAACTGGCAACTGGAGAATTTTTTTGTGAAAGACGACCCCTGAAAAGCCCTTGCTGATGTTACATGATGTTACTGGTAATCAAACATGGCTGGCTATTCAAAGGCTATTTTTTGCTAAGTGGGACTTTGGACACTTGCTGAAGTTATTATAAATACGTGTAGATCAGCATCCTATTGCAGTCGCCCCAGTCCGCACCTTTGGCTTCAAACTTTTGCCAGGAACAATGTGGTCAGTGAAGCATTGCTCCAGGCGATGGGACAACGAAACCAGGGTTTCTGGTAAAAGAAAGATGGGAGATGTCACCAGAAACGGAATGCTGATGTTAAGCATCAATGATGAATGAATGGTAAATAAATGGTAATGGCAGTTCATCATTTTTTAACATTACCATCAAGAAGCAATCAATGTAAATGAATTCAATAACTGTCTATTAAAATATTGCTATCAGATGCTCTCAGAATGGTCAAGTTAACCAACAAATTACAGCGATATATATATATATATATATGCGGATTGAAGCAAGAGAGATGAGGATAGGAAAACCTCTACGGATCAAACGGGTTACAGTAGAAGCTGTAATGATGGTGCTGCTGTGCTTGAAGATACCTTCAATTTCTGCAAAAAACAAATCAGTTCTTGAGTTAAATATGAATTACTGTATCCAGAATGTTGTTGATTGGAAGGTGAAGCTGCCCCATTGTACTAGGTGAAGCCTTATTGGTTTAGCATGTTTTTTTTTTAAAAAAAAAAACTTAGATCAACATTGTCTGATCTTGCCCAAGACGAATGGAACATGTGAACAAATGACTGAAACCCCCGAGCAGCCACCGTACCTATCAGCTCATCAATCTGGCTGCAGATTTGAAGAATGACACACTACATCATTGCTGGCTTTCAGATGCGGCACCAGAATTTTGCTGGCTGGTGGTTCCTTTCACATTTGTAATGTGTTGTTATGTCCATCCCCATCATCCCTAAAATTGCTGGTTGGTGATTTGGAACCATGGAATTTTATGACTTTCCATTCAGTTGGGAATGTCACCATGAATGTTATGACTTTCCCATCATATTGGGAATGTCATCATCCCAACTGACGAGCTCACTCCATGATTTTTCAGAGGGGTTGGGCTCAACCACCAACCAGATGTGATCCGTGTTTTTCCTGCCACCGTCCCCATCCAGGGTGATGGTTTCATCATGTTTCATCCCCAAAACATGAGTTATACTCAGTGATTTTTATCACATGATTCATGATCCAATATATGATCTGGGTAAATTTGATCAGATTTGAACACGATTTAGATCCGAACCCTGTTCTCCCGAGACTCCTGTTCGCCCTGGAATCATGGTTTATAAGGGAAATCATCCCCAAATGGCCGCAAGATTCAGATTAGTGAGTGAAATATTATAATTGACCCAGATATGATCCAATGCCAGCTGATCCCAGAATCCATGTTTTGTGTTTCCTAACATCCCTTGGGTACTGTTAAAACACCATGGTCCGATGTTCAATGGTTGTCTCTTTCATGAAATGATGTCACCGCTTTTCAGGGCGTAGACTGCCATGCACCACTTCGCCAGCGGGGCAGCCTGGACATTAGACAAAAACAGCCCTGTGATGCCCTGTGCGTGATTTTTCCTGGCGAGATCACAATTCTCAGATGGAAGTCCATGATCAAACCACAGATAAAGAAGGCTTGCTCCAAGCCATAAGTAGATAAAATGCGATCCACCGAATGTAATTCGTCATGTTACGTCTATCTGGTTGGTGGTTTGGAACATGTTATATTTTCCACATTGTTCCATTTCATATATGGGATGTCATCCGATTGACTTTCACTCCATCATTTTTCAGCCGATGGTTGGGCTCAACCACCTCCAAGCCTACCTGGGTAGCTTCGATCCGATCCCCGCGATCCGAGGTTTGGCTTTGAGAATATCTCAGCCGTTCTCCCATCTCTCTTCACGGCGATGTGCGGTGTGGATCTAAGTGCATCTTAAGTGGAGCTCTAGCGATAGAATGACATGCTTTATGATCACCCACAAAAAAATGGAAATATAGTAAAACATTGTAAAACCATGTAAAACCTGAGGGATTTACACATATTTGGGACATGTTGGGACCATTCACCATGGTTTTCAGTGTTTCTTAACGGGGGACTATAGATTAGTTAGTGTCTACATGCCTTTATCATCCTGTTGTTCGATGCAACTTGAGTTGCAACAATTTACCATCACCATGGTCAATAAGAATGATGTATATATATATATATGATATAGTATGTATATATATATATAGTAATAGTATGTGTATATATATATATATAAGAATATATATATAATAATATATATATAGTATGTATATATATAGTATGTATATATATATAGTATGTATATATATATAGTATGTATATATATATAGTATGTATATATATATATAGTATGTATATATATATATATAGTATGCAAATATATATATACACATTATAAAATATAGTAATATATATTTATGTGTGTTTGTGTTTGTTTACAAATTTTAAAGCACATATTAGCATATTAAGCTATTAGCAAGATTGCCGGTTGATGTACAGCTACTGTACCCCCAAAATCCGCCATCCACCGTTCATATTAAACAGCCCCATGGTGACCATGGTCCCAAAGATGTATATGTTTTTGACATTTTACCATGGTTTCTGGGGGTGTTTAATTTTGAAAAAGGGGGAAGGGATGATGATATGTTCTCCAATTCCAGCTATTTATTCCATATCGGTTGGTTAAATCTTCATTGAATCCCAACTATAGGTACCATCCCAAATGTTGGCTTTCACCGGGCAAAGGTCGAGAAAAGCCACTCCCGGTAGAGCGCATCCGGGTAGAACCGAAGTGGCTTGGATCGGTGTTGGAATTGAGAATACCATGGATTTCCGGGATTACAGAATTACCCTCTGGTTATGACTAACAGTTCGCCATGGTATAGATGGCTAGATGGCCCATAGAAATAGATGATTTTCCCAGCTAGAAACCTCCATTTATGGTTGAGATTTTCCATGGCTATGTTAAAGAACCAGATGGTACAGAATTCCGTCTTGCTTCAAACTCGAAATCATGGGATTCGTTGAACGTGGGACCAGCACCAAACATATGGGGATGTCGGACTCGGAAAATGATGGTCAAAAACAGGTCGAAAAGGAACCAGCAAATGTGGGATGAAATGTGGTGATTCACTTTATTCAGATGGATTTGGATGATTTGGGCACCCACTAAGTGTCACTAAGTTCTGCCACTTGACATCATCCCCGAATTCCCAGGCTTTGCAGGGCTGAGATTTTTTTAAGCATTTAGAACCATGCCTCTTAAAAAAGACGAAATCATGTTATTGTTGTTAGAATTCCCAATTTCCAGAAAATCCCTACCTACCTTCCGTTGCATCATCCTTACGTGCGGGTACGTCTGAGGAAGAGCGGGGGGTATTCATCTTCACCCAGTTATGGCGGATGATTCCAAGATGTTTTCTTAGTTAGTTTAATTTGTTGTTATGGAACGGAATGATACAAAAAGTAGTTCACAAAAATCGATCCCATAATTAATTAATAATATTATATATAGTTCAAACAAATTCCATGATGCAGTCTCTGAAATCGAGATTTCTTTTCGAAAAGATTCAGAATCGATCCCATGGATGGGTCGACTGTTTGATGGATGATTTCCATGGCTTAACCACAAACCTGGGATGTCCTGTCCAGGTGGGTCACCTCGCGCTATGCGCGGAAGCGCTTCAAGAAACGGCCTCAGAGCTGGTTGGATGGCATTCAGGCGCGAGTTGGATAGGGTTTGTTGGATCAAGCAGAAAACAGAGGGGAAACAGAGGGATCAAGAAATGTGTAATGATATTAACTAATCTAATAATATATAGATGTTGCTGGGGTTAAGAAGTGCTAATGTTAATGTTAGTGGGGTTTGAATTTCACCATTAACGATTTTTGGGGGTCAAGAAGAGGAGAAGGATCAAGGAGACGAAGAAGAGCATGCAGCAAGACCAAGCACAAGAAGTGGCTACCCTTTGGTAATCAAACATTGCTACATTGCTAGCTGGAAAATGCCCCAGCAATAGTTCGATGATTCATGATCTTCCCAGCTCTAAACCTCCATTTACAGATGATTTCCCTGAGTTTCCTACGATTTTCCCATTCAAAAACTTCCATTTTTCGCTGGGGATTTCCGATTTCTCTGCAATCGCCATGTTTTTTGAGGCGGCGATGATTCGCTCGGAACGATTTGTGGAGATTGTGAGCGTCGTTGCCTTGATTCGGATCGCGATTTTTTGGTCAATCACTTGCAGCCCTGGGCCGGCCCGAAATACAGATTATAAGTCAGTTATCATCCGATTTATGGAATGATAACCCCATAGAAATAACATGAAATAACCTGAAATGTACCCATTTATAACCATGTAGAACTGGAAAAGGTCTTAATTTTGAGGATAATTTTACCTGCAAAACATCGAAAGTAGAAAGAAGTCGAATTTACTTGGGATGATATTGATGCCCAAGGGATACTTTGCGGGACATTTTCATGGGAAATATCATGGGGCCCATGAGTTTGTTTCATAAGTCATGGTGGAGCCCCAGTGACTTGGATGACTTAGGAGTATCCCCGTGACTTCGGCAGTCTCCCTACCCTCTGGTAATTTGTGACACAGCTATTGAAAATGGCAATTTATAGTGAGTTTTCCCGTTAAAAATGGTGGTTTCCCATAGTTATGTTAGTTTACTAGAGGGTATCTTGGATACTCTTGGATTAGCTTGGCCTGCAAACTATGACATAGACAGTCGATGTTTTCTTGCTGAATGGATATTTCACTCCGAAATGCCTGAGATAGATTAGATATACATATATATATATATATTCATATTGCAGGTGCTGTGTTACTAGCCATGGATAACACACACACATATATATATATATATATATGTACATATATGATATTATATAATTATATATATATATAACTATAATACAAAATATCATAGATCGTATTTCTCAAGCAGAAATATTAAGAGATCTATAGCTGTTTCTTGCGATCTTCAGAGGTAGGGATCTTGGCAGTTGATTTCGCTGGGTTTCTGGCCCATTTTTTCTCCATTCTCCGTCTGGTCATAAAATTTGGAAAATCTGTAGGCTCAACATGACAATCGGAACATAACCATCTGGACTCTCGACTAATAACGAATACCCATGGTCTGGTATATTTACCAATATGTTTGATACACCATTCCCATATGCAACCCATGGTGCTGGTATACCTACATAACTGGGTGATAAATATTGGGCAGTTTTGTTGGTAGATATTCCAGCACCATGGGTTGCATATGACAACGTGAAATCTCGGGATTTCCTAGAGGGCGACAGCCGATCGACATCTGGCCCTTTTGGTGCAAGGTGATGGTTCCCCAGTGAAATGTTTGTTGGTTTATAAACACCCCATTGACATCCATTAGGTAGTTATAAAATGGTATAAATGATATTTCCCATAAACCCCGGTTCACCAAAAAAATGTGCTTCAACTTAGCTATGGGCACATTCCGAATGTACGTTTACTTTCTTGATCTTCCTTGCACGTGTTACTGTGCCAGTCATCCAGCATTGCCGTAGTACTGTGGATGGTTGCGAAATCCTGCACCAATTGATCGATGGTAAACATCCCATTATGTATATATATAATATATATATATTATACATATATATATATATATAGAGGGTTTCAACTGTTTCAACCATCCGGTTGGTGGTGCAGGATTTCGCAACCATCCACAGTAGTTATCCATAGTTATTGCAGTTATATATCCAATAGGTATATCTACCATACATCAGGATACACCATATTTATATAGTTGTCCCGTATTGCCGTAGTATGCCCCTCAGGCCGGAACTTCTGTTCCACGGAGTGCCATTGAGCGCATGTCACCCAAGGACTTCGCGGATGTTTGGACCCCCAGCTCTGAATTGAACGTAACTTAACCAGGCCAGCTGGTTGTAGGTTTATAGAGACGGCCAGCATCAGCTAACTATAGATACTCTGTATATATATATATAACTATGTATTTATATATATATGATTATATATGTATACATGACTATATTATAAATATATCACTCCATATATATATATTTATTGAGATAACTCTATATATATATATATCTATACACACATACCAATATATAGATGTCCCGTTCTACCTCACATAATCCCCAAAGTTGGCCTAGTTATAAGCATTTTTTTTACCTAACTAGGAGCACCTAATTGGTTCGGATGTTGTTGGATGGTCAGAAATTCGATGGTCACAGGATGGCACCAGCCAGAAAAGCTTGGTGTCCCCAGTAGCCGATGGTCCATCATGGCTCCAGGACGAAGGGAGAAGGCGACCCGAACAAAATTGATCAATCACCACTTAGTTCTACAGCGAAATCACCATTTTGGGTGGGCAAAAAACAAAAAGGTGCTTTCGTTGTATAAAGTGATTTTTGTTGATCAATGGTGGGTCTCAATCATCACTTATATAGTTTTTCAGACGCACAAAAATGGTGCTTCTCATGTTTGATCATGTTTGAAACATTGAAGAGCCACTGGCAATGGAGGTACCATGGAGGTTGTTTGTGGTCCGCCTCAGGCGTTGACGGGTGTTGCCTTGGAAGAGCCCTTTCCGGTGGAGGTTCCTTGGGACGTAGCGACCTTTACGCAGGGAACGGGGCCGCGAGGTCTCCTGGGTACGGAAGGATGTGACGATGTGGAAAAGCCACGGGAAAACCATTGGGAAATGATCTACAAATGGTGTTTTATCATGTTTTATCCCCATGGAATCATGGAACTATGAATGCGTATAGGAGGGTATCCCAAATCGGGAGGAGAAGTTTGGACATGGCTGATTGTTTTGACATATTGTTTCCATTGAATTTTCTCAAGGGATTGTCGGAAAACAAGCGGCAAGGAGGGGATGAGAGGATGACTAATTCACCACTCCAAAGCGATAGATCGTATCATCACGGTGCATTGGGTCCTGACACGCTGGGCTGTTGGGTTGGGCATTTATTTGTCACTGACTCAGGAGATTCAGGAGTGACACATTTTGATCCTCAGTCATATTATATGACATATATTACAGAATATTATAGATATACTGTACCATTCATTGTCCCGGCATTTCAGCTGAAAGCCCCCTCTTTTTCCAAAAAATGATCTCAAGATATCTCAAGGGTGAGACATCCAGGGCATTTCTGAAACCGCGTTTCCTGAGGCGGAGAAGCTGCACCCTCCACATATGCAGTACCTTTGTTTTCCAAGTCGCAGGGCCTTCCAAAGCACCTCGGAGCCGTTGGAAGACTTGGAAGACTCGGGGTTAAAAAAAGACCGAAAAGGGCCATTGCGAAAAACATGGGAAATCCGAAAAAATCTTTGGGGAATAAGTGTTTAATAGAAAGTATCGGAGAATACAGCATCAACTTAAGATTCCTTTTGGGGAATGGAATTACCACTTAAATGTGCAGCCATTTGGGAGTGTATCTTCCAAAATCTTCGATTCCAGTTTTCTTGCACATAAAGTCACCCAGAAGTATCAAGAAGTTCATAAGCCATTGCAATATGGACCTGGGTATATCCCACGTTAATAACGTCGCCGAACTGGATTTTGGTTATTACCATCTATTCCATGTTACTGGTTGGTGGTTTGGAACATGAATTTTAGTTTTCCATTCAGTTGGGAATAATCATCCCAACTGACGAGCATATTTTTCAGAGGGGTAGGTCAACCACCAACCAGATATTAATAACCATACACCATATCTATTGATTATTAACCATATTATCCCATTAATATCCCACACATTATCCCATAGACTTTCTCCCATTTCATGGGATATCTACCATAAACCTAGGTTATTAATACCACTTGCCTTCTGCGGGATGTGTATCGCGGGTGAAGCTAGGCAAATAGCTCTTTGAATCCACCCTGCCATGTGTCATGACTTTTGGATCTCGAATCTAGAATAATATAGAACACTAGAATCCAAGAAATACTATGATTACATATGATTATATATGATTATATATATGATGATATATGATGATATATGATTATATATGATTATTTATGATTACATATGATTACATATGATTATATATGATATTATATATATGATGAGATATGATTATATATATGATGATATATGATTACATATGATTACATATGATTATTTATGATATTATATATATGATGAGATATGATTATATATATGATGATATATGATTATATATGATGATATATGATTATATATGATGGTATATGATGATATATGATTATGTTTGATTATATATGATTATTTTATATGATTTTGATATACATTTTGCGGACGTGATGATTTTCTCACATCCACATCCACACCCATCAGGAAGTGAGGTGGTCAAGTGAAAACGTAGTAGAGCATAAAGTAATCCGGGAATCTAGTCAAACACCCCCCATTCTAGAGATTTTGATAGTATTTATGCTATCCGGTGGTTACGCGGGAGCTAAGGAGCTATGTGTATCTTACGACATGATAGTATATTGAAGCAGATACAAAGTGGGACCCCCTAGATAGCTAAGTTGGTTTATAACTCCAATAACTATATATGGTTTATGAATGTTTATGAATGTTTTAATGATACCCATTATACAAGGTGGTGCCCCAGTTCGTTAGCTAAGTTGGGGGCCACATAACTCTAATTTCACTTGGCTTTATGGTAGATATACCGATACTTTTCATCGGGTTTATACACCAATAAACATAGCTGGGAATAGCCCCATTGCCAGCTCGGATTTGACCGGAAACGATGTCGTTTTTTTCCACTGGTTGGTTGATTATTAAATGGAGGTTTCCTAACATGGTGGTACCCCTAAATCATCCTTTTGAATAGGACGTTCCATTATAAAATACTATAAACCTTCCAGCTATTGGGGTACCCCCATTTATGGACACATAAATCCATTTAGGGCTGCCTCAATTGTTTCACAAACCATTGATCAACGCTCTGTTTCTGGACATCCTTGGGTTGTTTGGCGTTTTTTTGGGCGAAAAAAACTCTCGGAATTGCAGATGCTGAGATCCACCAGAAGATCCTACGCAGAATCTCTATGTGCCACTACCCTTGGACGAGGAGGCTGGGAGCGGGGTTGGAGCTAACAGGTGTTGAGGATACCACTTTCAAGGGCGAAAACGGGATCCTTTCCAGCGGATCAGGATGAAAGTGAAAAGTTGATGTGTCGAAGGGATTCGACTGGGGTGAAGGGGTGTTGTGATTGGTTTCAGCCGCATCAAAGTCCCAGATTGCGTTTTTTTCTGCTAGCGAAGGTTTTTTTTGGGTGTACCGAATGGTACTCACTTTGCACTGAACCAACCTGAGATGACAAAGATGTGGGTGAACCTGAATGCTTTGCGCCCTTTGTGATCAAATTTGTTGATCATCCTACTTTTGGAAGTAGATCGCATTTGATCAGAATGTTAAAATGGTTTCAAGATGTTATAAGATATTATAAGATATTATAAGTGTTTAGCTATTACCCCATGAGTACTTAAAAACCTGCGCGCACCGTGAATTCAGCCACTGATCTTGTGCCAGACGCGGAACGAGTTGCAGCTCCAAAAGTTGTCGCTGCTTGGAGCAAGTCACATGCGGTGTATTGGCCAAGAGTTCCCGAGATTTTGATGGGGTTACAGTTATGGCCCTTAACAGTAAATGGGTTTATAATGATATACTGGTTGGTGGTTTGGAACATGTTTTATTTTTCCATTTCATATATGGGATGTCATCCTTCCTATTGACGTTCATATTTTTCGAGATTGTTTTTCAACCACCCACCAGGTTTATTTCATGATATATAAGCCTGGTTATAGGAGTCATAGTTCCATTTACCCTCTGGTTATTTAACATAGCCATGGAACATGATCCATTTGTAGATGGTTTACCTATTAAAAATAGTGATTTTCAATGGCTATGTTAGTCATAACCAGATGGTATAAATGTTAGTTGGGCCAAAACTGTAGATTTTCATGGTTTATCGGCCATATCGGCCAGAGCCCAAGCATGGCTTTTTGAGGGGCACAGAGCGGATTCAAAAAGTGCCAGAATTTGAAGGATATTCCCCACGTCCAGAGCATAGCAAACCTTGCACATATGACATATGTTAGATAACTCCAATCTAGATAATTCGCTTCTTCTTGCACATCCATTTTGTCATGTGTTGTGTTTTTATATTGCCGAAAGAGGTTCCATTGCACCCTTTTCGATAAGTACGGATACTGACTAAATTTGCATGGCACCCCCAACAGTGTGTTTGTAAGATCTCCCATTTAATCTTTTTGATATGATAATATATAATATAATCATGATATAATATCTGGGTTATCCTTTTGGACATTTTTTATTTTTTTGGATTTTTGTTGCTTCTTGCTTAACATCGCCTGGCCATCGCTCAACCTTTGACTTCAAGAAGATCCCTGGGAGCAGCGCTCTTGATTGAGGCACTATTGGCCGGTCGTTTTTCCTTGAGTGTTCATTTCAACCTTTGGGTTGCAGCTTTCAACCCTTCTTTGCGAGTTTTTTTTTTGGATGGTGGGGAAGGGTGGACTCATTTCGTTGAAGGGTTCTGCTCCCTGCCACTGTCAGGCATTTTGGCGGCTGCTCGGCTTGCGCGGCTCCTGCGGCTGCTGCGGCGCGCCTGCTGCTGCCTTGGCCTGCAGCTCCTGCGCCCCTGCTGTTGGAGGCATTGCATCATCGCCGGCTGAGCTACTTAGTATGATTTGGGGTTTATATTAAATTATTATTGCAGACAGATAGATAGATTATACTTCATTAAATTATATGTGTCACTGCATATATGTCATTCCCATGGGTAATGTATGGTCACTCTTGGTCCAACAGGGCATATCCCACATCATCCTTAGTCAACAAAGAATTATGTTGTCATTCGTGGTGTGTATGTGTGAAGACCAAAGAAGCATGAGATCAGAAATTCAAAACATGGACGTATTCTTTAAGGACGAATCTTCTTTTTTGTTTCAAGCATTGGTGACCAGTTGTTTTTCATATCCCCATGCAGTGCTTCCACATGACTTTGCTTGCGCAGGTGGTTGCTTGCGGCTTCAGCGGCTTCAGCGGCTTGGCACTTGCGGCTTCAGCGGCTGCAGCCGAGGCTCGCACCACCGGTGTGGTTGATGACACCCTGGGTATTTGATGCTTTTAATTACCATTGAACCCCAAAAGCATCCCCAATTATTTGATGCCGTCGAATGCAAAAAATCATCAACGCAGTGAGTTTGACCTACACTCATCCCATGGACGGTTCACCTCTAAAAGAGCAGCTCACTGGCTCAGCGGCTTGGCGGCTTTCGTTTGGCACTTGATCAGTTGTGATGGCGGCTGCGCTGCGCAATCTTTTTGGTGGAGGACGGCAGCGTGCCCAGTCTAGCAACGATGAGAATGCTGAGGGGCCAGAGCCAGGTGGCACACCTGTTGTGACAGGCACGCCTGTTGATCTCGATGGTGAAGCCTTGCCGTCGCAGCTTGCTGAAAACTTTGAAGCGGCTGAAGCGGCTGAAGCGGCAGTGATGGCTCAAGGGGGTTCAGCGCTTGAAGCAGAGGCAGCGCTCCAGGTGACCGCAGTTGCACAGAGGGCCCATGATCAACGGGTCGACATTGCTCAGACTCTGGGGCGCAACTTGAGGAATTTCCAGCACAACATTTGCCTCCTCAACGGTGACCAGATCCAGCGGCTCACCTTGGACATCAACACGGCCCCTTTGTGGATGCAGGAGACGTACGACACGCAGGTGAATTTTACCTGGGCTTTGGCTGGCTTCAATGTCCTGCTGAGCTCGTATTTCCCTGGTGGCAAAAAGACTGCGCAAGGCATGGACCAGGTCTGTGCAAGCCCCTAAGCAGCAAAAAGATGCAAAAAGGGCCAAATGGCTGCTGTTATTTTTATTATGTCTAAAAATGGCAATGCTGGGTATCTGTTGTAAAACATTGTAAGATTGGTCGATTGCTTATTCGTACTATTATAGTAATGATAGTTATTGTTATTATATTGTGCAAACTTAGTTGATTGTTAACCACCTTGCAAGGTATCAGAGGTAAGTTGTGCAGTTAACTGAGATGAAACACCAATGTTTTGAGAGATCCCCTGAGGTATGAAAATCCCCGATGCAACGATGGTGGACCAAGCGAAGGATTTGCTTCAGCAGTTCCCGCAGCGCTCAAGCATTCCTCCGCGCTGGCAAGTCGCCTCTCGCATGAAGGGTAGTGTCGGATGCGAGTGTGGCAGAGAATAGGGCCCCAGAAATTACCACAGGGGAATCAGGGTCCGAAGACATCAACTGTTCAAATCTTCCCTTTTTTCTCGCAGCTTCTCATTGATTCCAGCCGCTGAGATTGCTGCTGCGGCCCGGGAGATGTTGGACCAATTCACGGAAGCTGCGACCTCTGACCAGGGCTGCACGTACGTCGGGAAATTTATGCTCTACCCCTTTGTCATGAATGGGCAAGCAAGGGGATACGATCTGCAAGAAGTAGAGGACAGGGTTGCGTATCGCTGGGAGATGTGTGGCTTAAAAACATGCTTTGATAATAACAACACACGATCTGGAATCCAATAGAACATCGTCCTCACTGGTTTGACTAGCCCCAGGAAGAATAATTGATCGAACTTGCAGCTAGGATCTACAGGAAGCCACCGCAACACCAACGGCAACCACAATAACAATCAACAATCAGAGCCGCAACAAGAAGATCAAACACAATAGCAACAAAGCCTAGAAGTAGCAGCAGCAAGGTGAGGGCCACCAAGTGTACCCACGAACACGACAACCACAGACAACAACAGCGACGAGAATAAGCATCCCCACAACGATAGCAAACACAACAATTACAACTACAATGTGCAGCAAACACAACTACCGCCACACCATGGATAACAAGGTCAACCAGACAGCGAGGACAGCAATGATGACAAAGATTGCAATGATGGCGACGACCACAGACACAGCACCAAAGGAAAGCGCATCCACCACAGTGACCACAACTAGAACAACCACGACAATGAGACAAAGCCAACAACCACAACAGCAGCCACAACCAGAACCTTTTTTCAATATATCTACGAAAACGACAGCTCGACATGTGTACAGAAGCAGCAGCAAAAACAAGAACAGGAACAAGAACTGAACAATCAAGACGAATAGCAACACGCATTGGTCTGGAACTTAACAGCAATGAAAGCATCAACGACAAGGACAACGACAACCACCGCCATCACCACCGCCAGCAGCAGCAGCAGCACCACCACCAACAACACCAACACCACCACCGCCACCCCCACTCCGACCACCACCACCACCGCCAACAACAACAGCAAAAACATCATCAATAACAACAAGAATGACAGCAACAAAGATTGCAGCAGTGACAACAACGAACAACTATGATCACAACCATCACAACATCAGCAACTTCAGCAACTTCAAGAACAACAAGAACAAGAGCAACAAGAACAACAAGAGCAACAAAAACAACAAGAACAACAAGAACAACAAGAATAACAAGAACAACAAGAACAACGACAAGAACAAGACGAACACGACGAAACAAGATAAAGAACAAGAACAAGAACAACAAGAACAACAAGAACAACAAGAACAAGAACAACAAGAACAACAAGAACAACAAGAACACCACCACCACCACCACCACCAACAGCAACAACAACAACAACAACAAGAACAAGAACAAGAACAAGAACAAGAACAACAACAACAACAACAACAACAACAACAACAACAACAACAACAACGACAACGACAACGACAACGACAACGACAACGACAACGACAAAGACAAAGACAACGACAACGACAACGACAACGACGACGGCACTGACGACGGCGACGGCGACGGCGACGGCGACGACGACGACGACAACGACAACAACAACAACAACAGCAGCAACAACAACAACAACAAAATCAACATCAACAAAAAAAGCAGAGGTGAGAAAGACAAGCACAAAACAGCTGCGATCTGAACAGTTTTGAAGGTTTTTGTATGTGGCAGTGGATTGCTTCTTTTTTCCCTGGCAGGCAGAAGGCTGGGGTGGATGGGCTCTCCCTTTCAACAGGGACGATGGTCTTTTGCTGCACATGAGCCTGTACGGCAAGGTTTGCTTGCAGTTTGCGAAGTCATTTCTGAGACTGTCTGGGAACCGTTCGATCGGAACCTCGCAGCTTGGTCAACTTGCAGGGAGATGATGAGCAGGCAATGCCTTTGGAGGCTCGCAACAAGATGCTGTTGAAGAGCAGCTTTTTCCATAAGAGCTTCGAGCCTTCGCACGCAGCAATGCAGAAGGCTGGACTGCTTTTTGCGGCCGATTCCGACAACACCCTTCGCAATGAGGAGCTGGTCCTCCTCTCGGTCCTGGAGCCTGGCTATGGGCAGCTGGTGGACGGGGCGAGCATGACCAACCAATCCATTTGGGTCACCTCCAGCGGCTTCTTCTATGTTCTGCGGTTTCTCCCCATCCAGACTGCCAACAGGAAATTCACAACCCCTCTATTCACGCTCAAGGCCTGGACAGCCCCTTCCATTTTTTTATTTTGTGTTTTCTTCAATAAGGTTGACTTTAGAAGTTAAGTGATAGATAACTGATAGCATATTAACCAACCCAAGTTCCAGGGCTCGTGCCTCTTCTTGCTTTCTTCCATTCAGGCTGAGATTGTCAAGGGGGACTTTGCCAACGATGACTTCATGGTCCGGCAGAAGAAGGAGGTGGACGTGATGTGGACTGGGACTGGCGGAGATGACTTCTCATTGGTCTGGGATGGCTACTACGTGGATTCTTGGTTTCAAGTCAGCCGGGGCTTGCTGATGCGCTCATACTTTTTTGTTCTGAGCGTTTTTGTGTTACGCATTTCTAAAAGCATAGCTTTGATCTAAAACTCAAATATGGAACTGTTTCTTGAAATTGCTTGGACTAGTTGGGCCGGGTTTCAAATTATAATTTTTAATATGTTGAAATTGTTTAATGCAAAGGTTGACATGAATCAGTAACTATGATAGATCTACAATGTTCTTCCTGACAAATTGGCATGTCATTGATTTGGGCGTAATGTGGCATGTCTCAGGAGCGGATTCTGGCTGTGAAGAAGGGCGGGAGCTACCACGTGATGGCCATGCAGCTCATCCGCCGTTTGGATGCAGTGGGTGCCCCCTACAGCATCGCCGTTGGTCGCTGTGTCAGGGCACCAGCTGGCTTACATCTCGGATTGATGGTAAGGGGAGCCCAGTCATACTGTGTGCAGACCATGCGCCAGACTGGTGACGCGGACCAGAGTCGTGCAGCACACAAGGGCGGGGGCAAGAAAGGCAGCTGGAGTGGCGGCTCTGGCGGCTCTGGCGGCTATCGGCAAAACCGTGATGGATGGGATCATGCACGCAGCGGCTGGGGTGGCCCTGCACCTTTTCGCGGCTCAGTCCCTCCCCCCGGTGCTGCCAACATGATGCCTCCTACTGCTCAAGCGGCTCAAGCGGCTCAAGCGGCTCAAGCGGCTCCTGCTGCAGCAGCCCCACCCACAGCCACAGAAGCAGCCCCGCAAGCAGCCTTTGCTCAACAAGCTCCACCTCCTGCGGCACAGGCAGACTCTGCTCAACAAGCTCCACCTACTGCGGCTCCCAAGGCTTCAGCGGCACCAGCGGCTCAGCAGGAGTATTGGGGCAACAATTGGTGGGGGGATGGCAGTCAGTGGTGGGACGATCGTCACCAGTACCAGGATGGTGGCGTGGACCCATATGACGATTGGGCAGAAGACGTCTAGATGGCGCAGAGCTGCACAAAGCGGCACTTTTTGAAAAGTCCCAGCATGATCACTGGGCAGATCGAGCTGCATGAAGCTGCAGCATTTCAACACAGACTTTCCATGGCAAGCGCATGGAAAAAAGAAGTGGGCTGTAGCACTTCTCAGTTGAGAGGAGGAAAGGGAGTAGCATCATCGTGCTAATTTCTTATTAGTCAATACCATTGCATGTATTTATTTTAATCAATAGCAGGAATTGTAGAAACCATAGCAGCTGCAGCGTTTCCCCGTGAGCATTTTCTTTTCACGGCCAGATCGGCTTGTTTTTCCCCAATCCTCCATGCCACAGCACGTTGCTGGTCAGGTGCGCCTCTTCCCAAGCTGCAGCTGCTCCAGCGCAAGCGTGCGCGGATCGAAGGCCCTTTGGTTGGATTGCATGGTGCTCATATTATAATGATGATAATTTAATAATTTGTTACATAGTATGATTGAAATTTTGCGCTGAGATAATGTTGGAGAGAGGATGTAAACAGATTGCTGTTGAAAGGATTGGGGAAAACATGGTTCCAATATGACGTCAGAAGAAAGCACTTCACATGCAGGAACAGGTAACTACTATTAAGTGGGGGTTTTCTACTACAATCACCATAGCAGTTCCAGTGTTTCAGCATGAGCTTCTTTCAGGACCAGATCGCCACCCCTTTTTTTCTCCAAACCACCATGCACGTTGCTGGTTAGGTTTGGCCCTTCCCAAGCTGCAGCTGCTCCAGCGCAAGCGTGTGCGGATTGAAGGCCCTTTTCTGGATTGCATGTTGCTGTTAATAATAAGTAAATGTAACTTATTGTTACATTCGGTTGGAAGTCTACCCTGAGATAGAGAGAGAGCATGTAAAGTCATTGCTGTTGAAGGCTAAGAGGTATTGTCATGTGATTGGGGCCAAGATAGTTTCAATATTTATTGAAGAATTTACTTTACATGCAGAAATAGGCTCCAATGAAAATAAGTTTGTTTCCTACTATTCAACCAACCATACCAGTTGCAATGTTTCTGCGTGAGTGTTTCCTTCTTTCATGACCAGATCAGCACCTTTTTTTCACCAATCCTCCATGCAATAGCATGTTGCTGGTCAGGTGTGGCCCCCTCCAAGCTGCAGCTGCTCCAGCACGGGGGTGCGCGGGTTGAAGGCCCTTGGCTAGACTGCATTTTCTTTGCGTGATTCTTTTTTTAATATGTAGACTGAATTTGCGAGCAGCGAGAACGTTGAGTCAACATTTCAAATCGTTGCTGCTGAAAGGCTCAGAGGCTTTTTTGGGGGGCAAACACCATTCCAGTTTGAAGTCAAGTCAAAGAAGTGACTCCACATGCAGAAATAGAATACAATGAAACAGAGGCATTTTCGACATTGACATCTTGATAGTGTGTTCGTTTTCATGCCTCCATCAAACCTTGGACAGCGCTGGGGATTGACAGCGGCTGGTTCTGCCGCCTCCAAGCCTAAGGGGAAACGGAAGCGTGGGGAAAGCGTTTCCGCTGGTCAGCCCAAGCAGAGGAAAAAGGCCAAAGCTTCTCTGGCTTCAGCGGCTTCAGCGGCTTCTGCGGCGCCAGCGTCTGTGGCCTCATATGCAGCAGGCCTTGCAGACGAGACAGAGGCTCAGCATTTGAAGAGGCACTGTGCCGAAGACTCTCACTTGAGATGCGCCCGCTGTAAGTGGCTTGGCATAGGCGTTTTCTTGTTTCAAACTTTAGCTGCACAGCTTGGATGCTTGTTACAGAAGAACGCTTCAGTGTCTTTTAGATCAGATTTTCCATGCATGCAATGCTTGACAATTAATGAGCTGCAGGGCGTGCCACATAAATATTCCTTTAGAAATTGGAACTCTAGTAAGTAATTCCAAGCATGACAAATGAGAAACGAATGTCATCCAACTGTGTTTTTGCATCGTTCCTTGTAGGCACTGGCTAAGTTTGGGCTAATCTTGTGTTTAGAGGGATGATCCCCCTACAATTTTAGCTTTTGCTGGGACGGTATACTTCTCACAGTAGCGTGCTCGCCTTACTAAATCGCTGGGCATGGGTGGGTGGGGGAAATCGATGTACCGCAACAAGCTGCTAAATCTGAGATGGATGTGCAACTTGCAGAGTGCAGAACCTCGCTCGGAGAAAAGTAGAGGCATAGCCTTTTCCAAGCAAAAGACAATCCTGCAAGATAAATGCAACGACTTTGTCCAGGCTTCCCTGGCTTCGAAGTGCATGTAATCGCTTACGCCTCACTACGGGATGACGCGTTGTGATTGTGTAAGAGGGCACTACCGAGAAGTATACCTATTCCAATTTAACCCTAATCAGCATCTCTCTTTCCCTCTCCCGGTTCAATTACTCATCCTGCTTCTTCAGGTTCATTCGCTTCAGAAAGTCTTGGGAACATCTGGGGAGCTTGCGGCACAGTTCTTGGGGCAAGCCTCGCCGCACGATCTGGCTAGCTGAGCGCCCAGCCCGCCGTGGCGGCGAATGGGGCATTGGATGCACATTTTGTGCGCATTTGGTGGATGTGCTAGCCAGAGATCCTAAGGAACGCAAGAGATTGTTTCTCGGCTAAGGGGTATTCTGTCATAGAATTGTAGATCCAAAGCATGGTTGTAGTTTGATGCAGCAGGCTGCAGGGATTGCGTTTTGAACATTGTGTCATTGAGGCTAGGGAGCCGGATGTCCACAAAGTGGGGCTCATACGAGATTAAATCCAGGACAGAAGGTTGATGTTTCAAAAGGCATTTGAAAGCAAGTTGATACTTTGCGAATTTGCCAAATTCAAAGTATTATATTATGCTGGATGGTGCCTCTTTCATTTTAGTTAAATTGCAGGAAGTGTATGCAAGCCTGCTCCATCAGACAGCACGCGGAGTGCACTGTTCACCGGGTAGCCAAGAATCTCTTCTTGAGTCCCGATCGTCCTGTTTCAGAGCTTCTCCCTTACGACCTGAAAGACCAGGATTTGTTTCGGGGAAATGTTCCACAGCCAGCAGACTGGCTCAGGGCGTGGTCTGCGTGCAAACGGTTAACAAGTTTCCGTTCCGCAGCGCAGCACTTTCAGACTGAAGATTACGCCTGGGGGAGGCAATGCTCTGTTGTGGCCAAAAGCTACTTGCCTCCATTGTTTCAGTCCTAGTCGGTCTAGTGGGGAAGTTTGTCCTCTTGCAGCCTTTTTTGCTTGCTTCCATTGGATCTAAGGCTTACACAGAATGATCTCTGTTATGCATTGGGTCACCCGATCTTTGCGGGAGAAGCGTTTGAAGCAAGCCAAATGCATCAGCATCTCAGTGGATGACAGGGCAGACTTCCGCATTGTGCGATACAGATGCGGAATGCCTGCTGGCTCCTGCGGCTTTGAAGGCTTTGCGGCTACTTCTTTGAAGGAGTGGGCTGAGATGGGTCAGTTGATCCATGAGGGAGTGCTTGGTGTTTTCAGATCTGGTGGCAATGCAGAGACCAACACCATTGAATCCCACGACATAGACAAATCTCAGTCCATGGCAGATTCGATTTTGGCAGTGAGCCGTCGTGCCTTTGAAGATCTGGAAGGAGATGTAGACGAAGATGGCTTGCAACAGTTTCTGCAGCAAGTGCGGCATTTTGCGGCTGACCAAGGCACTGCGGCTCAGAAGTGCGGCCAGATCTTGGCCAATCACGAAGCCTTCACAAATTTAGTCTGGGTTGGTCAGGATCCTGCGCATCAAGTGCGCATTGCTTCAAAGGATCCCTTACATGCCAATGAAAATTTCGGGGAGCAGTGGCAAAGACTCT